CTCGCTGAATCGATCTCGAGGACAAAGGAAATCCTGATTCTGTTCTGAATCTTCTCAAGTGTTATGGTTTCACAGATTCTCAGATCTCCACCATCATTACGGATTATCCACAATTGCTTTTAGCAGAAATCTCTTGCTCCCAAGCTGAAGTCTTTGTATTCCAGAGGAGGAGCTTCAAGCTCTGACTATGATTTCGCCCAAGAGATTATCAAAGCGGATAAGAGTTTCGATAACAAAAAGCTATGTCATTCTTCTTTGCAACAAGATAGAGCACAGGAGAATAAAATCAGAAATGTATTGGTCTTGAGAGAATTTGGGTGTGCCTCAGAGTTTGTTATCTCATTGCTTTTATCAGATTGCCAAATTGAAGAATCCCTCAAGAAGGTTGTTGAGATGGGTTTTGATCCGACCTCCTCAAGAAAGTTTATCGAAGCTCTGCATGCTGTTTACCAATTGAGTGACAAAACTATACAAGAAAAGGTCAATCTCTACCAAAGGTTAGGCTTTGCTGTGGGAGAAACATGGGGAATCTTCAACAAGTATTCAAACATGTGAAATTTGCTTGGTTCTCTCTCCTTGTCGTCGTCATGTATTCTCTGATACTCCATGGAAGAAAACGTTCCCATGCATAAATGGATCTCCACTCTTGTCCAAGTCTTTAAATTTTAAAATTAATAATGTAATTTGGGTATTAGGAATTTTTTTTATTATTATTAATTATGTATATACAAGTGTTGTAATTTAAACTATAACAGTCAAAATTTGAAAATATAAACTTAGACCATATAGGTTATCAATCTCTTGTCTATGATAACAGATAAATGAATGGATGTTTGTATTTCTAACCCACAATTTGTGGTCAATAACAAAAGTAACCTCATGTATTTTTCATTTTGGCTTTACTCAGTTTTGTCCAGATAATAACGTAAATGCCATTACTTTTCTCTCTTGTGGTCTACGGCCGAGGTCTACGTTTTCGGCCAGAAGACCAACAGAACCTCATCCTCTACACTTATTAACGAAACTGTCACTCTCATCAATGAACTCAACCACCATTTTCAACCAATTCCAAACTTTTAATGCTTCATACTCATAATTGTGAAACTCCAAACATAATTGCACATCTCATACACTCTAACTCTATCATTTTCTCCACATTTGCATCCCAAAAACTCTCTAATTCTACTTTTCCATATTTCAAGTTATTGAATTTCTCAAAATCGGGTTTGTGGCTTTCCTCACCACCGCCGAACGGTTCTGAAGGCTTAAAGAGACAGTTTCAGCCCTCGGACAGGCTTAAAGAGACAGTTTCAACAGATAGTTTCGATCCAATTGACCTAGAGACAAATAATCTCCATTGTTTTCTTGAAATTTCAAAGATATGATTTTTAAATTAGAGAAAAGGAATCAAAGAGATTTGATGAATTTGTTTGATGAGTTTGTGAATAAGAAATAAAAAGACTATTTAACTCTCATAGGGGTTCACGTAACCTATTTTCCATGTACTTATAGTAAATTTAGTTTACTTACCTCTTCCATGTACTAATAAGATTTTATTTATTACACTATTTTTAATTTAATATGTGTTTGGCTAATATAAAATTGATAAATGGGAAATCTTTTTCTATTAGGATATGACAAATATAATTTTTTCCTTTAACTATAATAGATTAATATATTTTTTTTAATTTTTCTTTTTTTAACATTTTTTTTTAATTTCCTTTTTCTCTCCCAAGACACATGTCACGATCTTAACAGACGTAAAATTAAAAGTAACACATGTCACGATCCTATAAATTATAAAAATCCTACGTGTCGCAACCACATCATGTGTTATACACATGAAACTTTATATAGTAAGATTTAGTTAGGGTAAACAAATATTTGTTCACAAAATTATTAGTTCAAATTGGTCATCCAAGTTTTTGTTTTTGTCTATTTTAGAATATTTGTTTCGGTGATGTTAGATTAGAAAGAAGGTTTCAAAATTTTAAGCAGCAAAGAAAAACAGAGATTCTGCCATTATTCATTTTTATTTTTATTTTTATTTTATAGTCAAACCATTCATCAATTGATCACTCAATTTTACTTTTTTCAAACTCGTTTTTGAAATTAACATTAACAAGCAATCATAGTTGTTAGAATAAATTTTTTATTAAAATATAAATTGCACTAAAAATAGAAAAATAGATTCAGTGCATGGTGTAAAAAAAATGTTAGATAAGTTGCAATTGCAGTGTCAATGTCATGCACCGTATGAAATACAATTTTGACTATAAAGTTGCATAATTTTATAAGAGAGAACTAAGATCATGCTTGTTAAGACTTTTACAATCTATATAATTGAAAGGGCTTGTGACATTCTCCAACTGATGTCACATCAGCTTCCCTAGAGAGTGCCACGTCACCCTCTCCCAACACTTACTCCAAAACGACGCCGTTTTTTATATCTGACATGTCAGCTTTTTTCCGCTGCTACCAAAACGACGTCGTTTTGTTTAATTCTTTTTAATTTTTGATCCCCTAACTTTTCTCGCATGTTCCGTCTTCTCGACTCCCTCTCTTCTTCACTGCGATGAACTGTTACAGATATACAGTCGGTTTAGCTTGAGCTTTAATGTTCCTCCCTCTTTAATCCCCTCTTCCACTATAAATTCGGTTACCCAACTACCCCATTCGATTATCGGATTACCACAAAACCCGTCGCCTTCCTCTCTTTCCCGTTCAGGCGGCCGATTTCACGATTTAGCTTCCATCCATTACAGAACCTCTGTTGTTCCCGCCCAATCAAACCACTCTCTCGCCAATGCCACTACTCAGAACCCGAAGAAGAAGAAACAACAACCCGCATCCACCGCCGCATCTGCCTCCGCCTCCTCCTTCCCGGCTTCACGTTTTTCACCACAATTACATTGAAATTCTGGTTTTGGTTTTCGTATTATATCTTGTGTTTGCAATTTAGGACAAAAGGAATTCAACTGTACAACTTCATCTGGAGACCAATCTCATTACCTTTGTTTCATTATCATTAGTGACACACAAATTGGTGTTTGCTATGTAGAATGTCTGTGTTCCGAACCAAGGCTGTGGAGAAATGGCGGAGAAGAAGACACAATATTTTCAATATCTATCTAGGGATAATATTGAGCAGATTTTGATTTCGATTTTTTTGGTTATGTGATTACTTCTGTTTAATATTGACTAGACACTGTTCTGATTGTGAATTGAGATCTAGAACTTACACACGTTAAACCTTTTGACCGAACGAAATTTAATACATGTTTTATGAATATTGTATTCTTGAGGGAGTTTTCAGATCAGTCTTGTATTTTTTTTTAAATGTTCATGACGTGTTTTATTTGCTACTTAACTAACTATTTAGATGACATTGCTGCAGAAACAGAGCATTGTTTTGATGGCAAGACTACCACTTGGGGATTTCCAGCAATGCTTCCCCTTTCACAACTTCATGACAAAGATGGTGGATTTCTTGTGAACGGAGAACTCATGATTGTCGCAGAGTTGGATGTTTATGAAGTTCTTGGCTCATATATGCATCAACGAAATCTTGAGAGGCATCCGAGCTTGTGAGCAAGAAAATGGAGAATGATGTTGTTGCTGAATCTAATGACTTGCTCAAGAAAATTTCACCAGTAAAGGAAATCAATGACGTCAATGGGACTAAAAAGGTATGAAAATGTCATATTGGTTTCAAACTTTGCGTTAGTTTACAAGAGAGAAGTTTAATATCACATTATAATGTTTCCTTATAAAGAGAGAGTGTTGTGTGTTCTGTGTTCTGTTTCCTCAAGTAATTGCTAGATTTAGCCCTCAAGTAAGAAAAAAGTCCCATCAGTTTCAGGTTTTTGCTTTTTAAGGACAAAATCATAAAGGCTAAAATTGTATCAGGTTATGGTGTGTTCTCTATGCCTCCAAAGACTTATGTTTATACACCTGTTTCCACTTGCAGGTTCAAAATTCTGTAAAACCCAGCCCAAAGAAGAAACTTATGTGGAAAGTGTTATTGATTCTCTTCTTCTTTTTCTTTGCTTGGCGCCATACTTGAACATGAGGAACTCTTGGCTGCAAGAAATAGAATTTCTGCTTTGGAGAAATTGTTGCAGAAGAAGTGATCACTGATCAGACCTGGAAGGTCTCGTTCGATGAAGTTGCTTGATCGATGCGCTCTTTCATTATTACTTATTAGGCATTTTTGATATTTTTCGTTTGTTCGTTTCCATCTTTTGTTTATGACTTGTGCGCTTCTCTAAATGAAGGGCCAATCGATTTTCTTTGGCTGGCTTTGATTTTGTTTGACCTGAATCAAAGTCAATTTGGTGGATTAACCTAAAAATCATATATCTAAAAATCATAAATCTTACTCTTCTTATGCCGGAAGTAATAGATTACATAGATAAACTGATAAAAATAGAGACGATCTACCACAAGGATGTACACGTGTTCATGTAGGTAATATGCTTCTGAATTCATTTTATTGTGGTCGCGTTTAACGTTATCCTACGACTAGCATTATGGTTGTTTCTCATCATCAATTAAACACCAAACATAATTATTAGACTAACATATATACTGTATATATGCTCACTTATTACATATAAAGAAGAGATGTACCAAGTATGGGTACCTTTCTCGACTGAAAAACCATCACCAGAAACAATTTACAACACTTTTAAAGTACGTTTACATTTTCACATATGAATCACAAATATATACTATAATAGAATTAATCATACTATCAACGCTGTAATATACTTTTAGTGTAAATAAATAAATTCTTATTCCATTTGTTGAACATTTAAAGAAAATTTACCCCAAAAGATAATCTTTGTACATACACAAATGATATTTAAACAAAATAAAATAATATCAAGACTAGAAATTACAATTAAAACAAAAACCCACGCATTGTGGGTTCTCCTAGTAAACATCTAAAAGTTGCATAGATCCCCTATTCGTAAAACCTACATAAAACGCATTGGCTAATGCATGATCAACTTTCTTTCACAATAAATTTCAGACTCATTCTCTACAACCTCCCCACTACCATCTTCACCAACAACCATATCTCGGCTCTCGAGATATTGTAACCTTCTTTTAAACTCACCAAAGTCCATTTCCATCATAGACAACTTTTCCTTCATAGTCAAGTTATCTTCCTCTAGTTGAGCAATATGAGTATCCTGATCATCAACTCGGTTTTCCAAAACATTATGATTCGGATAAATCATCTCAAATCGGCTTAAATCCTGATCTAATCTCCTCTCAACCTCTACATGCTCATCTAATTCACTCTCACACGATCCTCCTTCATCTTCATCCTCATCATCATCGAAAGGTTCCATTTCATGTCCTGCATCAGATCTCAACCTAATCAAACCTTTCATTGATCCATACCCATCAACTCCCCATCTTCCTTCGCCATATCGCCTAAAACCTCTCTGGATGGAGAGAATGTCGGAGTAGGCAACACCGATGGTGTCACGGGACATGGAGACACTAAATCAGTAATGCCACCAGATTTCTTCGCTCGGATAATAAACGAAGTTGTGTTCCTTGGAGCATAAGGAACATATCTATTAGCATACTTCTTCTTCGCATAAAACTTCCTGTTTTGAGACTGAAACTCGTTCAAAGCCCTAGGCTTGTTCACTCTGTTATCACCAGAATTACGCATTCTCCTGACTGGATCCATCTTCTTACCTTCCCAATTGTGAGAATAGTTAGTAGGGTTTATCAAATTAGGGTTAGGGCTAAAGTTTGGAACATTCATCATTGGAGGCTGATTTTTCATCATAGCATGAGACTGACCTAATAACGGAGCATGGTTCACAATCTGAAACGGCGGTGGATTCATCATATTCGACTCAACACAAGAGACACAAACACGAGCCAAAAATCAAACCCCAAAAAGAAATTGAAAAAGAAAAACCCTAATTTCGAAAATTCAGGGATCTCAAGCGATTAGATGAAGAAATATCAGTAAATCAGATAGAGATCAGTTCAGATGTTTGGTAGTTGAATCGTTAAGACACAAACAACAGATCAAACAAGATAAATTCTTCGGATTTGATTGCTTTCAAGAGAAAAATATTGATCGATTTTCGTATCAGAATATCTTTGTTTATTTAACTGGATTCTGTGTTGTGTTTTTTTGTGACTGATTCTTCAATAAATTTTGGCAGCAGAAGACAATTTGAAACTTTTTGATCGGAGCAGTTTATGAGACGATGAAGATTGTTTATATAGAGGAGAAGGGAAAAGACGCGATTTGTAGAATGAATGGCTGAGATGATAGAAGTCAAAACCAACGGCTAAGATATAGTTATCTTCAAAGTAGAGTCGGTTACGGTTTAAGTAGTATAATACAATGTTGGTATTGGGCTTTGTAACCGCATTTTACTGGGCCCAAATATCTAAAGGCGCGTCCTTTTGACTATGAGTCTGAATGTTGAAAACTAAACTGAGAGATTAACAAATACTCCTTTGAAAATATCTTATTTTGAAAATGTTTAAGTTTCATGTTTTAAATTTGTTTGTTTTCTATGCAAACCACATATTTATCATCATAGTTTTTTTTATTATAAATATTTTTAGTCATGGAGATACAATAATCATATCAAAGAAAATTAAACATGAAAACATGCACATTCATGGCCAGTAGAATTATCGATACAATTACAACGAGGATAATATTTATCTTGAATTTCGAATACGCATTGTTGGGCTCCCTCAGTAGGACTGCATTTTGTGTCGGTAAAGAGTGCAACAAGTTCAAAAGGGCGATCTTCTTTTGCCTCAACTACGTTATATCCACCACAAAAGATCAAATAATGAATAATATATCTTATTATATAAAGCTGGATGCGCACGACGTGGTTGCGACACGTAGGATTTTTATAAAATTCAGGATCGCGACATGTGTCACTTTTAAGTTTATGTCCGTTAAGATCGTGACACGTGTCTTAGGAAAAAAAGAACTTAAAAAAAAATTCCAGAAAAATGTTAATTAAAAAAAACGAAATTTAATTTAATCTATTATATCAAAAAGGAAAAAATAATATTTGTCATATCCAAACAGAAAAAGGTTTCCATTCATCAATTTTTTATTATATAAAGTTGGATGCGCACGACGTGGTTGCGACACATAGGATTTTTATAATTTATAAGATCGCGACATGTGTCACTTTTAATGTTACGTCCGTTAAGATCGTGACACATGTCTTAGAGAAAAAAAATAATAATAAAAATTTAGATAAAGGAAATTTGTTTAAAAAATTAATCCATTACAGTTAAAAGAAATAAAAATATATTTGTCATATCCTAATAGAGAAAGGTTTCCATTCATCAAATTAATATTATCCAAACAAATAATAAAATCAAAATAATGTAATAAATAAAATCCTATTTGTACATGGAATATGTTATGTAAACTAAATTTCCTATAACTGCATGTAATAGGTTACTTGAACCCCTATAAAAGAGAGTCAAGATTTCTCATAAATTCATCAAATTCATCAAATCCCTTTGATTCTATTTCTCCAATTTAAAAATCATGTTTTTGAAAGTTTTGCGATACATAGGATTTTTATAACTGACAAAATTGCGACATGTGTTTTAGAAAAAAAAAATTCTGGAAGTATGAAGATCGTAACATGTGTCATGGAATAAAAATAATAAAAAAATTAATATGTATAAAACTAACTAAAAGTTAATAAAAACAGATAACAAATAATTTAAATTCTTTTGTTACATCTATTAAGAAAAGAAAAGAAAAGGAAAAATACCAATATATAGTATTTATAATGGTCGAGGCAAAAACAAAATTGAGAAAGAAAAAAATAAATAGAAAACTAACAAAATAATTATCAAGCAATTAACTAATATTAAAAAATTATAATTGATATTCTAATTTTAAATAGTTTGATTTTCAATTTTTGTTAGGTAAAAAAATTGAAATAAAGATTTCATCAATTAAAATCTCTTGAATGGAATAATAAAAGTTTGATTAATTAATCAGTTGATCAGATTTAGACATGTGTAAGTCTTTCTGTATTGGATAAAAATAATAGTAAAACAAATTAATTCATTTTTTATCATTTATTTACAATAAAAATGTAAAAGTATTACCAATCTTATTTTATTTAATTTTAATATTTTTATCGGGTTTTCAATATTATTTTGTTTACGTTTAAAAATGATCAAATTTTGTTTAATATTTTCCATGCTTTTATTATAAAATCTTAAAATATACCCGCGTATACGCGGGCCTTAATCTAGTCTTACATAAATAACAATATTTTTTATCATACAATGTTTACATAATATGGGAATAACCGATCAAATAACAATAATAATATATTACCTTGCGCATGATGCATAGCGAAGAACATAATAGCACAAAAAACTACAGATGAGAGATTAACAAATACTCCTTTGAATATATCTTATTTTGAAAATGTTTAAGTTTCATATTTTAAATTTGTTTGTTTTCTATGCAAACCACATATTTATCATCATAGTTTTTTTTTATTATAAATATTTTTAGTCATGGAGATACAATAATCATATCAAAGAAAATTAAACATGAAAACATGCACATTCATGGCCAGTAGAATTATCGATACATTCACAACGAGGATAATATGTATCTTGAATTTCGAATACGCATTGTTTGGCTCCCTCAGTAGGAGTAGGACTGCATTTTGTGTCGGTAAAGAGTGCAACAAGTTCAAAAGGACGATCTTCTTTTGCCTCAACTACGTTATATCCACCACAAAAGATCAAATAATGAATAATATATCTTACATAAATAACAATATTTTTTATCATTCAATGTTTACATAATATGGGAATAACCGATCAAATAACAATAATAATATATTACCTTGCGCATGATGCATAGCGAAGAACATGATAGCACAAAAAACTACAGATGAGATAGCAGGCTTCATTGCAAAATTTGATAAAAGATCGTTTATGTTTCTTGCAAAATTTTCTTGTATATCTCGTAATAAAAAAATGTTATATCAACATTTTATATATATACAAGCACTTTTGTAAACAACAAAGAAACTTTCATAATAATTGTATATCTGACTATATTTAAACCAAAAACATAAAAACCTCTATATCTTGAATTATTATACTAACTTTCCAAATAAATATATCTTTTTAATAAAAAAAATACTTTGCAAAATACAATGTTTTAATTAATAACTTTTGTAAAGTAGACTTCTTTCTAACTTGTCCAAATATTAAAACTAATGAGAATTATGGACAAATTAAATTATTAATTAATAATTGTATATTTAACTATATTTAAACCAAAAACATAAAAACCTCTATATCTTGAATTATTACTAACTTTCCAAATAAATATATCTTTTTAACAAAAATTACTTTTAAAATACATTGTTTTAATTAATAACTTTTGTAAAATACACTTCTTTCTAATTTGTCCAAAATATCAAAACTAATGAGAATTATGGACAAGTTAAATTATTAAATAAGAATTGTATATTTAACTATATTTAAACCAAAAAACATAAAAACCTCTATATCTTGAATTATTACTAACTTTCCAAATAAATATATCTTTTTAACAAAAAATACTTTGAAAATACAGTGTTTTAATTAATAACTTTTGTAAAGTAGACTTCTTTCTCACGAAAAGTCCAAATATCCAAAGGTATTCTTTTATCTTATGAGAATTATGGACAAGTTAAATTATTATGACTTGTTTTCGAATCTCATATCTTGAGTTATTATTTTTTTTCATTTAAAAAAAAGAATAATTCATAGCCCATTTATGTATGGGAGAATTTCCACTTGTAATCCAGAATTTGTTTGTTTTCAGGAAATCTAACCCATAATTTGAATGTTAAGCAAAAGTAATCTGTTCGGATAGCGAAATTACAAAGTTCACCCCGTTGAACAGACAATAAAATTTTGCTGCGATTACCAAAGTAATTAGGTCAACGTAGTATTTATATTTTATATTTTAATTGCAAAAATATTAAAAAATATTTGATGAAACTATTTGCATACATAAATAAAAAAATATACATTTTCATCTAGGAAAATTATAATTGCATAAAAAGAGTCAAATTAAACTAACATAGCCAATTTAGGTTGAAAAGCTATAAAAACATGCGAGGTCTAAGAATTAAATAAATCTTAAACTTAATTTATAAAATACTAGATTAGGCCCCGCGTATACGCGGGTTTATTTTAATTTCCTTTTATAAAAATCATGAAAGAATATTAAACAAAATTTGATCACTTTTAAAAATAAGTAAAATAATATTAAAAACCCGATAATAAATCTCTAAATAAACTAAGATATGTAATATTTTTACATTTTAATTTTGAATTCATGATATGAAATAGAAAAGCTTACATGTGTCTAAATCTAATGGACTCGTTAATTTATGAAACTTTGATTATTCCATTGCTGAAACCTTTATTCTAAATATTGATGATTTTTTTAATATTGTTTTATCTAACAAAAAAATGGAAAATTTAACTATTTAATATTAGAAGATTGGTCCATTATAAAACTTTCTTTTTAATATTATTTAAGTTCCTTGATAATTATTTTATTAGTTTTCTATTTATATTGTTTCTTTTTCAATTTTGTGTTTGCCTCTTACCATTATAAATTTTCATTTTCATTATTAATTAGTTGTTTTAAATTATTTTGTTAGTTTATTTATTTATGTTACTACATTTTTCCAATTTTATTGTGTTGACATATGTAATCACCAGATCAAATATTAGACACATGTAGCGATCTAAAGTTAATTATTCTTCATTGATATCTTGAACTTTTAAAACATGATTTTTTATTTCTTAATGAGAAAGAAACTTAAAAAAATATAGCTTGTTATATTTTCCTTTTCGTATTTGGAATATGTTTTTTTATTCCTTATCTTATTGGATGTAACAATTTTTTAATTATTTCTTCATAATTTTCTGATTTTTCGTTTTTTTTTCCTTTTCGTAATAGGATTATGTTTCTTCTTTACTTTTCCTAATGGATGTAATAATTTTTTCTTTTTAATTGTTTATTTCTTTTTTTTCTTCTGATTTTTCCTAATGTACAAATAGGATTTTATTTATTACATTATTTTGAATTTTAATATGTGTTTGGACAATATAAATTTGATGAATGAGAAAATTTTCTATTATGATATGAAAAATATGATTTTTCTTCTTTTTACTCTAATAGATTTTTTTTTAAATTTTCCTTTTTCTAACATTTTTTAATTATTTGTTTTTTTTTCCAAGACACGTGTCATGATCTTAACAGACGTAACATTAAAAAGTGACATATGTCGCGATCCTATAAATTATAAAAATCCTACATGTCGCAACCATCTAGCTTTATATAATAAGATATGTGTTTGGATAATATAAATTTGATAAATGGGAAAACCTTTTTCTGTTAGGATATGACAAATATTAATTTTACTTTTTTTAATATAATAGATTAAATTTCGTTTTTTTAATTATCCTTTTTCTAGTATTTTTAAAAATATTTTTTCCCCTAATACATGTGTCACGATCTTAACGGACATAATCTTAAAAGTGACACATGTCACGATCCTATATTTTATAAAAATCCTACGTGTCGCAACCACGTCGCGCGCATCCAACTTTATATAATAAGATGTATAAAGTATTTTGACGAAAACTTTGTATTCATAAACAATACATAGACATTTAGAGATAATATAAAATAAACATGCATGCTAATAAGTCAATTTAGATTAATAAAAAAAAATTATGCTAGAAACTTGTAAAACCGTGAGAGGTCTACCAATGAGATCTACAACAAAATGAAATCTTGAAATTAAATTATAAAATTTATAAAAAAAATAATTTGATAATAAACGTGTATGCATAATTAATTCTTATACATTTGACATCTATTAAAAATAAATTATACGAAAAATGAATCAATCTATATATGTCATGACTATATGCTTCAAATTGATAAGAGTTTGGTTAGATAGTTTAGGGTTTAAGGGTCCAATTCTTAGGGTTTAGATAGTTTCAATATGAATTTTTGTTTTTGGTTAGTTTTTTAATCTATGTTTAATAGTTTTGTTATCCAAACCGTAAAGATTGTAATTGGCAAACAAAATAAATATTTGGTTCATGTTGTTTTATAAAATTTGTGGTTTAGGTTTTGTAGACCTCACCTGTAGACCGCGCTAGAAGGTGAAATTGAAACTAAAATTGCGGGAATTCAAAAATTTGAAAATCAAATGAGCGCAAACCATGAGTGCGAACAAAAATTTCAAAATCAGTTAGACCGCTAATTGGGACATGTGTTTAAATACAGACCTAAACCCTAATTCTCCGGAAAAGAAATTTTGTAGTCCGAGCCACCGCTCATCCTCGGCCCGGTCTCTCTATAACCGCAGTTCTCATCCTTTTTCTTTCTCGCCGTCGACAGTATCCCGGGTTCCAGCAGTCGTATTGGTTAGGTTTTCTTCTATTTCATTGTGCGGTTCAGAACTGTTCATTGAATTATTTTAATTACTGTTTTAAAAATAACATATAGCTTCTCATTGTACACAGGAATGGGGCGCTTTAACTGTTTAACGGAGGCTTCGAGTAGCTCTGCTAGGCTAGTCAGTAACGATGAAGAAGATGTGAGTTCTCATGCCAGTCGAGATATAAGCGTTGGAATAACAACCAGATGCTACTCTGGTTTCGTGACTCCACTGAAAATGATGGACCATACGGACGAACATCCTAGGCGGATGATCTTTGGCTGCAAGGATTATAAGGTACTGTAAACAGTTTTCATGGGCTTTTGTTTTAAAAAAAAATCACTTTCATTTTTGTCTTCACTCAAACATGGTTTGCGTTATCCTTGTAGTTAGGTTTCCCACATCATATGAAATAGTGGGACGAGGCTATGATGGAGGAATTTCTACAACTCAGATAGGCCGTCGATAACCCAGGTTTTGGCTTTCGCCAACCTGAAACTGAAGAACGTTAAACCTTGCTTCGGACTGAGGCAGAATTAGCTCAAGTGAGGAAGCAATGCTCATCTGTCCTTTTAGAAGAGTCGAGGTGACGTCGGCGGTTGCTGTAATTGCAGTGCTCATCTGTCCTTTTAGCTACTCGGTGTTTGGTTGAGCAACATTTTAGTTGGTTGTATGTAATGCAAATCATCGGATTCCCTTGGTAGACTTCGATTGTTAACAGAGTTGGCATAAACGCAAGGTAAATCTCCATCATAGACTTCCATTGTATACCTCCATAATAGACCTCCTAAACAGACCGACTCCCACAATTAACTATAATAAAGTAATATCAATAGACGAAACCGTAATTTAATTAAATTTATGTAACATCTACACTAAGATAAAAGATAAACCATACCGGATTGAGTTTAATCGAATAGAATTAACCTTAACCGGTTCAGTTAAATCGAACCGAAAACGAACCAAATTAAATCATTTAACCAACATATATATACGAATAACAGAAGACGTAACCCTCATTCGTAACCCTAATCCGTGTCTGACCTTCCGCTCTCTGCAAGAGGCGATCCGCCGTTTACCGAACCTGTTGTTGCCGGTAAGTTCTTCATTCTAGTTAAATGTTAACTACTTTAAGTTTCTCTTCCGCTGATAGTTATTTGACGTTTGCTTGTGGTGATATAATCATTACTGTTTCGTCTACTCACTAACGTCGACGCCGCGGTTTGAACATAGATGTCTTTATTTTTTTCTTCTCTTCCTACTTTATCCCGGTAAGACTCGTTTCTGGCATTGATTATCAACGTTAATTTTACTTTACATACTGCTATTATGCAACTCAATATGGTAATATTATTTCTGTTCGAAGTTCTGCCTCAGATTCCCATATTTGGTAATCCGCGCTTTGCGAGTAGACCTGAGACGTCAAGATTCCGCGAAGAACATGTATCATAACCGTATTCCCCATTATTATACCTCAATTGTAGACCTCAAATGTAGACCTTGTGCGTTCACCTAATTTGTAGACCTCACGTGTAGACATACTATGTACACCTCATGTGTAGAACTCTTTAATGAAGCGTAGTCCTCTTGGTTAATTGCTGACTTACTCTACTCGCTTTATAATCGTTTTGTAGGATGTCAAAGCCTACATTCCTAAGGAGATTCTACACCAAAGGAGGTGACCCGGACCCAGGGAAAAGCATTTCTAAGTGTAGCAACAACACCAAGCTCTTTGATAGTCTCATAAAATTCCTCACCGACGACGAATGGAATGAAATCAGTGACTCCAGGGTTAGTATCTTTCTAAGGTTCTGTGACCTTGAATTCGAGTGGGCTTCAAGGATAGTGCATGCTATGATTTCTTTCCACATTGCATGCAAGAAGAAGTATGAGATATGGAGCGTTGTTGGGGCAAATCCGATCAAAAACTGTAGACCTCAAACAGGTTACTTTTGCAATTGATTGAAATTTTTTACCACATTTAGACCTCCTTCGTAGACCTCTTACTATTTTGCATTGACCAACTTATTGATGTAGACATAAACCTCATGTCTGAAAACTGTGTGGACCTCATAAGTAGAGGTAAAGCGAAAAATAGTCTGTGCATTCATTTTCTCTTTTTTTTTTTTTTTACTTATAATGACCCACACGAGACTAACATTTACATTGATCCTAAACCCAACTAAACCCATTTACATTAAATCCAACCAGAAAAATCTGATCTAAAATCCGACTTCTTCTTCCCCAGAAAAAAATGAGTTCTTATTTGTTTTCAAAAGAGCCTCAGATCGATGATTAAGAACATCTCTAAGAGGTGAGAGGACTCACGTGAGGAGAGCTCCGGCGGCATCTCCGTGGAGCAGTAAAGCTGAAACCATGGCTTGAAACATCTGGCACAATCTTAAGTTCCGTTCTACCTAATTGGAGCATCGGATCATCACCACCACCACAATCAGCAACATCGACCCAATCGTCTTTCCCTGCCTTCACGAACAGCTCAGCAGTCGTCTCAGATCGATCCATGGAACCACTAAATCTTCAATTTCGTTTCTCTTTCTCATCCTCTGGTCTTTGCGATCTCTCTACTCTCTCTTACGTTTCTTTCGTTCTTCTCCTTCATTCTCTCTATTCCCTTTCTCATTCCTCATCTCTCTTCTCTCTTTCGCTTCATATCACTGTTGCTTTCTCTCTCTTCTCTGCGTTTTCTCTCTAAAAAGACCAATTTCTCTGACAGAATCGTGCCGTTTTCTCTCGATCTCTTCACTCTCCTCGTCTCAAATCAAACTCGTACTCGCTAAATCGGGTTATTTTCTATCCATTGTTTTCCTCCTCCGTTTCCAATCTCTCTGTTCTGCTATGATTTAAGCTGAGCTCTCAAGTACAATCTCTGCTAGAATTTTATTGGAGGCTCCAAATCGACGATAATGGTGGAATTGGATCATTGGGTGAAACTCGAGAAATGGGATCAGAGTGAAAGAGATAAGACATGGTTTTGGTAGAATTTCGTCGATTTGATTTTGGGATGGCGGAGGAGAGAAGAAAAAAATTAGGGGAAGAAGACGAACAAGTATTGGGTCGGGTCTGATTTTATTTGGTTGGGTCATGTTTGGTTGTAATCCGGTTTAATATTGGTTTGATATCAAGTTTAGAAAATTAGTGGTTTATTTATACATAATAAACCAAATAAAATCGGATTTGTGTGTATTGAGATTTCAAACTTTCAATTTGGGTAGATACAAGTCTAAAACTTTCGATCTAGGGAGATATAGATTTAGAACTTTGTTGTCAGGGAGAAATAGCACGAAGTCTTAGTTTGGTGTGGATCTAATACGACACCATACTTATCGTGGGGAAATAGATCGTCTAACCCCACAACTTTAGAGAAGAAGAGTAACACGCTTCCCGCTCAAGCTCAATTATTAGTGAAGCTGGACAAGACATAAAAGTTGTCGTACTATGCATGCACCAGCACCGTCAATTTGGAGATGCTGTTTATAATTTTTTCACACAAAAAAAATCATATTATTTTCTACTCTTTAAAAAAAAAAAAAAAAAAAAATTAATTAAGAGAAAAATTCTCGAAGATCCTCACTTTTCAATCTTGAAGCAGAAAACGATTCATCCATTAGAGTCAACTCTTCCCTCAACATGGGTAAATTTCCCGTTTCTCTAATTTCATTTTCAATCTCAATTCTAGACAACTATCTGAAAAAAATAAATTGATTGATTGAAAAACACTGGGTTTTTCATGATAAAATTGATTGAAAGCTAAAGACTTTTATGTGTTGTTAATGGTGACAGATGAAGAAGAACCGATGCTGCTAAAGCAAAAAGGCGAAGAAACCAAAGTCCTTCCTCAATTCCTGAAGCTAAACCAAACCCAATGGTGGATTCTTGTTTTCATCAGCATCTTCTTCCTCATCTCTGCTCAAGCAGCCGCTGTTCTTCTCGGTCGGTTTTACTTCGACAAAGGAGGAAACAGTAAATGGATCTCAACTCTTGTCCAAACCGCTGGCTTTCCGATTCTCTATCTCCCTCTCTGTCTCCTTCCTTCGTCTTCTTCACACTCTTCTTCTTCTTCTCTCTGTTCTCTTACAAGGCTTGGTTCGATCTATCTTTCTCTTGGTCTCGCCATTGCTTTAGACAATCTTTTATACTCTTTTGGTCTTTTGTTCCTCTCTGCTTCCACTTATTCGCTTCTATGCGCAAGCCAGTTAGCTTTCAATGCTGTCTTCTCTAAATACATCAATTCTCAGAAACTCACTTGCTGGATTCACAGCTCAGTGGTTTTTCTCACTGTCTCTGCGGGAATGGTTGCTTTCGACGAAGATTCCAACAGTCCTTCACGAAATTCCAAATGGAGTTACATGATCGGGTGTACCTGTACGCTTGTTGCTTCTCTGATCTACTCTCTCCAGCTCTCACTTGTTCAGTTATCTTTCGAGAAGATTCTCAAAAGAGAGACCTTTGCTATGGTTCTTGAAATGCAAATCTACACGTCTCTCGTAGCCTCTGTCATCGCTGTTATGGGGTTGTTTGTGAGTGGCGAATGGAAGATGTTGAGAATGGAGATGAGAGAGTTTGACGAAGGTCGTCAAGTCATCTATGTTTTGACTTTGCTTGGGACAGCGTTTTCATGGCAATTCGCTTCTTTAGCATCTCTGGCTCTCATATTTCTTGCGACTTCTCTGTTTTCGAACCTTATTGGTACGTTGTCTCTGATTGTGACGCCTCTCGCAGCCATTCTGGTGTTTCAGGACAAGATGACTGAGCTTAAGACCATCGCAATGTTTGTGGCTGTTTTTGGAGTTGGTTTTTATATGTACCAGATGTATCTTGATGGCTTGGAAGTACAAGATGAACAAGAAACTCAGGCTGATTGATTCTTTTTACCGTGTTGTATTGTTTTGTAAATGCAATTCTGTTATGTTTGTTTCTAGAAGTCCAATACCGACCTTTAATTAAACTGATATATCAAAGTATTAAATAAGTACAACTAATTAACGTCCACAAATACAAAAAAATAGAAAGAAAAAGCGTTAAAAACCACAGTATGCATGTGGTAATTAAAGGGCAATATAGTGAAGAATATTCCATTTTTGCTCACATGTTAGACCAGATCTCTGTTACAAAATGTTTTGTTTTTATATCTTTTTTTTAAATTAGTTGAAATTTTTTTATATCCAATTTCGTCGTTTTTCAAGCTTTACATTGACACCGTTTTTTTCTTTTTTTGTTTGACTTCTTCAGCTTCTACGCTTTTCTGAGTTCTTCTTCTTCTCTCTGCTTTCGTTCTCAAGGTCAGTTCTTGTGCTCCGATCCTTTCTTTATCCCATGTTTAAGGTTTGTGATTTACTGTTGTGATAGAGTTAATTTGATCTTTCTGAAATTAATCATTTTTTCGGAGTAATGGTACTACAAAAATAACATTTCTGTAGGGAAAAGAGAAGCTATGAACACTAATCCAGTCTCTAATGGGTTTGATCCTCCCGACTAGACATTTAAGACTGTGGTCGGTGAGATTAAGATCGATCAGTTCTGATTTCCCGACCGTTAATTTGTCTTAGCTCAACTTGTGTTTAGAAAATTTACTTAGCTTTGTATTCTTAATGACTGTTGTGATAGAGTTAATTTGATCTTTCTGAAATTAATCATTTTTTCGGAGTAATGGTACTACAAAAATAACATTTCTGTAGGGAAAAGAGAAGCTATGAACACTAATCCAGTCTCTAATGGGTTTGTGAAACCTGTTCTTACTGAAGAAGAGAAGGGAAAGGTGTTACTCTTAAGTCTTAACTTGTTCATTAATTGTTTTAGCTAAATTTAGAAAGAATATAAAGGCCACAAAAATCAGATCTGTGAGAGTTTTGTATTTGGTTAATTACAATTTGAATTCAGGTAGAGGAAATGAGAAAGCTGTTAGGTCCATTACCGGAGAAACTCTCGAGCTTCTGTTCGGATGATGCGGTTTTAAGGTATCTCCGAGCAAGAAACTGGCATGTCAAGAAAGCTGCCAAGATGCTTAAAGAAACCTTAAAGTGGAGAGTTCAATACAAACCTGAAGAAATCTCTTGGGTAATAATTATTAAACCATGAACAAAAAAAGAACATTCTTGTGATCTTCTTGATGATGATACAATGTGCTAAAATCTTGCAGGAGGAAATAGCTGATGAAGCAGAGACAGGGAAGATATATAGATCAACTTGTGTCGATAAACATGGACGTCCTGTTCTTGTTATGAGACCAAGTGCCGAGGTTTGCTTCTTTCTATCATCAACGCAATGCAGAGAGAGTTTCTTGCTTAGAGTTGACCCAAAAATGTTGAATATCTTCAGAATTCGAAGTCGGTGAAAGGGCAGATTAGATACCTTGTGTACTGCATGGAGAACGCGATACAGAATCTGCCACCAGGAGAAGAACAGATGGTGTGGATGATCGATTTCAGCGGCTATAGCTTGGCGAATGTTTCTTTAAGAACAACAAGAGAAACCGCTCATGTCTTGCAAGAACACTACCCTGAGCGATTATCCTTCGCTGTCCTCTACAATCCTCCCAAGTTCTTTGAACCATTTTGGATGGTATAACTTAAAACCCTTCATGATCACTTTCATTAGTCTAAAAACCTTAATGTGTGTGTGTGTGTGTGTGTGTGTGTGTGTGACCGTTGTTTATAGGTGGCTAAGCCCTTCTTAGAGCCGAAGACGCGGAACAAAGTGAAGTTTGTTTACTCGGATGACCCGAACACGAAGCAGATAATGGAGGAGAACTTCGACATGGACAAGATTGAGACAGCGTTTGGTGGTAGCGACGAGTCGGGTTTCAGTATAAACAAGCATTCAGAGAGAATGAAAGAAGACGACAAGAAGAGATTAGCTGCCTTGGAGGACAATCCTTCCGCTTCTCTAGAGTCACTCAGTTTCTTATCTGTCTCTGACGGCACCGCCTCTGAGGATGTCTCCGAGGACGAGCATCAACCTCGGAGAAACGGATCTATCCCATGATGAGAGAGTATAGATCCAATGTTTGTAACATTTTCCTGAGTTTCTTGCCTCATAATATGTTTCCTAATAATCTTGTAATAAAACCATTATAATGCATGAAAGATTCACAAGAACCATGATACAACCAAAAGCACAGGTCAAGATCTAGTACTGAATGAAAATGGAGACAAAGGGAGGTTTAGTCGTCGGTTTCTTGGTATTGTTTCATGATCTCTGAGCAACCTGGAAGCTCTGCATCCCTCAGGAACGCCAAGTTGTTGGCGAAACGTTCGTCGGAAGCGATGCCATTGAAGCGGGTGAGGGTTACGCGGGCGCGGTCGTGGCCAGGAGAGACGTTGGAGCAGCGTAGCTGAGAGCTACTAACTAAGATTGTATCACAGAACTGATCCTCATGGTCTTCACTGACCAAGATCTTGTATGATCCTGTGGAATCGGTTTTGGCGTCGTGCGTGTACTTTAACTCCATTGTTCTCCTGTCTTTGCATTCCAATCTAACCACCGCACCTAAATATTCATCAGATCCTCAAGATTAAAGATATTTCACAATTCTGCAGAAAATCGAAGAATCTAACTGATCTCTCCGATCTGACATTAATCGTTACTCACTCACACCGTTTCATCAATTTTCTATCAAAAATAAGACACAGTCCATAACACGATCGAGCAAAAATAAAATCTGATCCAGATCCACAAAATTCAAAAACATGAAATTGCAAATCCGATTAGAAACTGCAAAACAGAGAGATGAAAACGAAGACTGGATCTGGAACGTACCAGGGATGTAAGTAGAGGCAGGAGTTTCGAAACCAGCGAGACAAGTGTCGCAATAGACACGGCCACGTACGACGAAAGGGTTCTTGTTGGGACGAATCGCCATGGCGAGAACCGGTAAAAAGCAGAGGACCACAACCAAAACCGCTTTCGACATTGCAATTTTGCAGAAGAAAGAAAAAAAAAAAAAAAAAGAGTTTCTTTTGAAAATTTTCACAGAAGGACAGAGTTTTTGTCTTGAAGAGGATTTACAGATTTAAAAAGAGTGATTGTAGTTGTAGAGAGTAATGAGTGTGTGAAAGGGAAGTGGGCATTGTTTGTCGATATAACAGAATGATTGAAGCGCGTGAAGTGGTTATTTTTCTCGTACGCGCTGATTTTGGAGAAACCGTTAATGAGTACAACTGCATGTGTCGGGATATTGGTGAGGTGGCTTGATATGATTGGGTGGAGTGTAGGTTCTGTAGAAACGCTTAACGTAGAAGATTAGTGCTGCTGCTGTGTTACCAAAGAAGAGTAAAGATGAAGATAGCATAATTACTACAGCTTTGCTTTTTTAATTCAACGCTATGATTACTTAAGGAATTAGTGTCATCAACTTTTCTTACAATCTATGTTATTGTTTCAACAGTAAGGGGAAATTAAAACTTTAACATAGGCATGTGATTGTTATTTTTAAAACATCAACGTGGCATGTTATTATCAATTCCTAAATACAGTAGAAACTCTATAAATTAATAATGTTACAATCATGATATTTTATTAATTTAGCGAATTATTAATTTATCGAGAGATAATTTGAATCAAAAACTTAGTTTGGTATCGGAAAATTATATTAATTAATCGAATTATTAATTTATCGAGTATTAATTTATAGAGTTTCTACTGTAAGTCATTATGCCAATTCATATATTAATTCTTAAATGAGGCATTATGCCAATTCCCCTAGTATATAACAGAAATGTGTCAATTTGTTTATTTGCATCACTTTCTATAACTTTTCAAATATATATAAATAAAATAAAAGATCTCAACGTTTGATCTTAAATGTATATTTTCAGCAAAATATATAGTAACCTAATGATCCGTTTTAACAATTTCCTATTTTTGTTTTCCCACCATTTTCATACTAGTTTTTAGTTTTTTACGAAACTAATATAAATGACATTTTACATTACAAAAGGATCTTCTCAAAGTATATACGCATCCATTACATTATACTATTAGCCGGAAAAAAATTCAGTTTAACGAACAGAAAAGAAATTCAAATCCTTTCAAGATAATAACAGATGAATCACCTGGTCAACAAAAAGCTCTAACCCCCCGAAACTGAAGGAACGAGAATCGGACTTCAAACCCTAAAAAATTCAAAACAAACAAAAATTCTTATCCTTTTTCCCCATCCGAGCTTCACTTCTATTTATAAACCTCGTCTTCTCATATTCCGAACAAAATCCAACAAAAAGAAACCAATAAACACTACTCACTCTCAAAGAGAAATAATAGCAATAATGAAGCAATCTCTTCTTCTTTCCGTCTTGCTATTGTTACTATCATCATCATCACTCGTTGCACCCATCCACGCCCGCAACAAGGCAAAATCACCCTCGTCGGTACCAGCTCCGGCGCCGGGACCGTCAAACTCTGATTGCTCAACCGTAATATATGACATGATGGGCTGTCTCTCGTACCTTACCCCCGGATCAAATGATACCAAGCCAGAGAAAGAGTGTTGTGTCGGAATCCAATCGGTTCTAGAATATAATCCAGTGTGCATTTGCTACGGCTTGAAAACTAGCAATGAAATGGGGATTCCATTGAATAACAGTAGAACTCTTGCCATGCCTACGACTTGCAAAATCCCCATTGCTGCTCCCCATTGTGGTGATTATTATTTTTATTTTTATTTAATTTTGTCTCATTACTAATGTTTTTTTTTTTCTCATAATATTATTCATTGTTCTGAATTTTTTTTTTTTTTTTTTTTTTTTTTTGTTCTTGCAGGTTTAGCGGGAGGCGCGTCAACACCAGATGCATCAACTCCTGGTATGACTCCCGGTACGTGTTGAACTATTTTCATATTTTCTTCAATAAATAACCGTTTATGTTCGTCATTAAGATTAGAGGATATACTATTTTTTATCCCTTACCGATTGATTGGAAATTAACTAAAAATAGTAGCATCTTAAAAATCATTTTACGTTTCATTGTTTAGTTTATTTATTAGATTTTCTGGTAAACCAAATCTATTTCATTGAGGATCATTAGATCATATAGTCTAATTTCAAACGTCGCATTGCAATTGGATAACGAGAAAAAACATGCAAAAATACTAAATGTTTTGTGTTTTTCTGTATGTATTGATTGAGAAGGCAATTCACATATTAGTGAACTTTATGTATGTTTTGTTTTGTCTCGATCGGCTAATCCGTAGTTTTCGATGTGTGTTACTGTCAATCAATTCATTTTCGATGTGAATTTGGTGTCATCGCATTTTTTTGTTATAGTTCAACCTTAGTCTATGTTTAAACTAGATTTCATTTTAGTGGAAAACCATAACCCTGTCGTTTTACTTTTTGAGTTTTTTCATAATATTTATTTTTGTATTTTATGGAATATAATGTATGAATGATAATATGGATGCAGGTTCTCCATCGGCTGGAACACCCATGATTACGCCATCTTCAACCGAGTCACCTACATCTTCACCGTCTATGGCTGAGTCTCCGGAAATGAAAGCACCTTCTCCTTCAAAGTCTGGCACAAACAGCCTCTCAGTTTCAACACTGACCCTCGTTGCCGTTATAGTTTCTTTTATAGCTTGCATTTCCGCTTTTTCTAATTAATTTTACAACTTTTCGGTTTATCTTCTACGGAATTGGACATCTTATTGTTGTGATTTGAAGACTGATGTTTTTTTTTTACTTTGATGTTTCTGGTTAATCAGATTAGCTTTGTTTTTTAATCATACAACAGTCGTATAATTTAACTGCTTGGAGTTTTTGTCTTCTTTAATTAAAACAAAGGTGAGGATGTTCACTTGTTATTGGAGGGCTACACAAAAACCTGTGATTTCCCTTTAGAAAGGACCTTTCTTTCTAATTCCATAGATAGGTTTAAACAATAGTACCAAACCAGCTACACAATAACTATGTGTCTCTTCGGATGTATAGTTATTGTGTACCAAACCGAAGAGACACATAGTTATTGTGTAACCTTATTAAATGTGTAACCTTCTTTTTGTTTAACATAGTTTATCCACTTTGAGCCTTTATGTGTGGTTCCTTTTTGTAACAAAATACGCTTGTTTTTCACATGCATGGTAACTAAACGCCCCAACAATTAATAATTGACCTGAATCATCGTGAGTTGCTGGAGACTCAACAAAATCCACGTACCTGGCAATCCACATCATGCCAAAAATAGTATCAAGGAAGCAAACTCTCTCCTTCCCAAATCATTTTGGATGTTTGAAGCAACGTTGTCTCAGTAGAATCCCACCCATTGGTCTTTGGTAGTAGAGAGAAAGATTATTATACTATTTATGTGTACTATTTTGTTAGAAAATTTAATTTTATCTCATTAATTAATTTTTTTTTAACCTTTTAATAAAAATAGTTTATATCTCACTATCTTTCCACAATTGATTGTTCGTCTAATCGTCTTGCCTTTAAAGCTAATGTGTGTATCACGTTTGGAAGGTGCACGATGATGGTCACAGGGACATCAGTTCCAAAATAGTTTCTCTACATATTGGTCTGGATAACGATAATGAGCTCCTCGGTTGCTGGCTCGATCTCCTTCGCATCCAGCTCACCTAATCAATCAAAATCATAAACAAAGAATAAAGAAAATAAATAAACCACTGGTATTGAATTAGTGAGGACCGAGTTCGTAATATTATAGTCTATACAGACAATATCGTAACCACTAATCTATGTATATAATTTTGTTTAGTTTTCTATTATAAGTTCCCTTGTTTTGTTTCTTTTATATATAATATTATTCTTTAGGTTTTTGTTGACCTTATTAAATGACATGTCTTATTCCAGGAAACAATCTCGGATGTATTTACCCTCCTAGGCGGCTTTGTGAACAGTATCTAGCTGTGAGCTAGTCACACAAATCCCATCCTATTAAAACAAATGTCAAATGGTAAATTAAAAATGTGATGAACTAAGATGAGGTACATAAGAATAATATCTGATTGTGCTAGATAGATCTTTCTTTTTTTTTTAGATTGATATTGTTATGCTGACATTTTCTTGTTTTCTTACATTTTAATTCAATGTATCAAATATTATAACATACAAATATTACTTATATAGGTGGCTCAACCTTCTTCTTAATGTTTTTAGTCTCTCGCTTTGAGACATATTATTAGGCTCAACTAGATTTCAATGAGATAATAAGTTTATTTTTTTCATATAAAGTCATTAGTAAATAAATAAACACTTCCAGCCAACATTAAACAATACAGCCAAATGAATTAATAATATAAATTTTAACATAAGTTTGAAAGTACAAGTTATTCATCATCCATTCACGAGAGAAAACAACATGAAAGATTAACAAATAATCAAAAAGACAGAAAAAAAATAGCCAAACGTTCGACTTTGTCACCATTGTATGAATCAAACTCAACAACCATATATTACACATGTTATCATATAATCTCAAACAAAACCCATAACACTTAAATCAGTTCCTCCTTTTCAAGCTTGTTGCTCAGCCAATTTAGGAGAGCAATACGCCACTGCGTCGCCAACACTGAGGAAGATATTTTCATCTCCAATCTCTTCTGCAAACTTCGAAGTATGCAGCTTCTCTATCACCACTGGTCCCGGATTTGCAAGAAGCAACTGCTCAATTCCAAGTCAATTAAAATCTATCAGATTAATCGTTTACATCGTCTCAATATTATGTTATACACTTATACACTTATACCATTAGTTTAAGTAGATACAAAACAAAATGTCTTTTTTTTTTTTTTACTCTAATTTTGTATATTGTCTTTTTTCAAGAACTGCCTCTCTACTCTATATTTTAAATAATCGATCTTAATAACCTAGCTAATTGCAAGTTTGCAACCAATAAAAGATGCATTGGTTCAAACAATATATAGAATTACCTGGATATGTTTCTTCTCGAGACTCTTGTGAAGTTCTTCAATAGAGTGAATACCACTGGTATCAATATCGGTAACCGCTGCTCATATACATATATAAACTATCAGTAAGTTTGTATACCACTGAAAAGTTTAATAGTTCTAGAATATAAGCTCATACAATTTGTTCCAAGAGTTTACTAATTAAAAAACAAAAAAAGGGGAAATATATCTTTGTTAATCGATAAAGCAGTAGAATAATATTCTTACGTGACATTTCCATAATAACAAACTTGATTGCTGGCATGTCCTGTGCTGTAGCCTGTTCGTCCTCTTCTCGCAACCATCTTAGTGCCCTGTCACCAAAATTCAATTATTCCATGACGACGAACATAATAAAATAGGTTTATGAAAATGGATTAGCCCGTCTGATTTAGTTTTCCCTACGGTTGATTATTCGTTTGACCAGATTAAACCTTCTTAATAATGAGTGTTATTGACAAAAAGAAATTATATTCGTCTTTTTATTATGCTAAAACATGCTCTTTTTTTGTTAAAATAAATTTTTAGCTTTTGTATATTATGGTTACTCTTAAAAAAAAAGCATGTTTTATTATAGATAACTAGGTTTTAAGCCCCGCGCAAGCGCGGGGTTGTTTGCGATAGTTTTCTGTTTAGTTTTATTTATACTTTATCTCACATCGCACGTCCTTTTATTTTATTTTATTAGGATGTTAACACCCCACTTTATCTCGAGTTTTCTATTTAAACATTTTAGCATATTATAAATATTATGTTTGTTTACTTCTGTTAGACTATAAACATGCATATGTATTTGACTCAATGTTAAAATTTGTAAGTATAATGTAAAATCGCATTTGCACCGAAATAAGATGAAAAAAATAATATATATACTTTTTTACATATCTACTTTGTTGTGGTAGCATATGAGTCTCATGACCATTGATTATTTTCTATTATGTTAGTTTTGTAAGTGAATATATTTTAAAACAAACATATCACAATCCTTAAAATTATGTTTTTCACTGCAATTAAATTTACATATAAAAACTCGACTTCTATTTGTTTAAAAAAGCAAACTCTAACTCTATTTGTCATTGGTTTTTTATTATTTTAATTAATTTATATCAACTTTTTAATTTGTAAACACATTATAACATTTAGAAATAGGATAAATCCTTTTAATAAAAAGGTAAATATATACCATTTCAAGTTAAATATATTTTTACTTATATTTAAACTTTTTCATAACTTTTAACATCAAATTATCACATAGTTTATATTAATTAAGTAATTTAGTTGTGTATTTTTCTTAGTTTATATTTAAAATATAAATATATGTAAAGAAATATGAATAGTCATGTATTAAATATCTTAAAAACAATTTAATGAAATGTGGATAATCATGTATTAAATATCTTAAAAATAATTTAATGATTTTTTTGCTGATGTGGATAGCCTAGATGGAAAAAGCAACTCTCCTATTATAAGATCTACGTCTACGTTTAAATTGAATCATATTAATTGTTTTTGTTTGTCAATACTCACATTTCTGTTTGAATTAAAAATTTAAAACACACAGTAAATAAAAACATTAAATATTTACCTTTCTCGGACATAGTTGGAGTTGGAAAAGTAGATGGCCGAATCAACACGGATGATCATGATTCCGGGAATCTTGACAGCATCAGGGTACTGCAGAGTGTTCCGATACACATTCGTCTTTGGAACCTTTCCAAGAATCGCCGTTCTTGGTCTCGTCACTTGCAACAGAATCTTCGCAAACGATATCACAACCTGTATAAGATAGTTTCACCAATAATTAAAAATAAGTACCTATAAGCTTTTTTTATAAACCACGATCTATTTTTAATTTAAATAATTAAAAATAAGTATAAGCTTTTTATATATAAACCACGATCCATTTTTAATTTCACCCATAGATAAGCAAGCTTACGGAGATCAAGAGGCCGATCTCGACAGAAACAAAGACAACTCCTAAGAAAGCTCCCATGCAAGCCGCAAAGTCGAGTTTATCGATCTTCCATATGAGGACAGCAGCGTCAATGTCGATAAGACCGATGACAGCTGATATAATGATGGCTGCGAGGATGGCATTTGGAGTGTACTTGAAGAGCGGTGTGATGAACACTAATGTTAGAGCTACCACTATGGCCATCACTATGTTTGAAACTGCTGTGTGACATCCCGCCATGTAGTTCACGGCAGATCGTGAAAACGAACCTACAGGTTTTTTTTATATTTTGAATATATGTTACGCATGACTGTTTATGATATGTGTTAAGTATATCTACAAATGTATAAAAAAAAAATGCCTGATTTTTAAACTAAATTATGTCTGTGATTTTTGTTTTTTTAATAATAAAAATCATTATTATTATTCAATTATCCATTTTAATTTATAGATTAAGAAAGGCAAAAAGAAAAATCATTATTTTTCAAAGATATATACAGTATCTATTTAACACATCAAAAACCTTTTCTTTTTTCTTAAAAAAAAATGGTCGTAGCAGCGTAGCTTACAAACAATTTTGAGACAATCTGATGTTACTAATGCTTAGTTGAGTATAAAACTCATTTCTAAGATAACTTTAAATTGGAACCTATAAACTTTGACAGTAATATCAGTAATGTCAAGTTTAACCAAAATCTAAAAAAAGTAAGTTCTTCATATCTAAAGTTTTGGCAGCTTACCAGTGGCAATGTAGCAGGAAGTGAGGGAACCGGCTACATTCATAGTCCCCAACGCGATCATCTCTTTGTTCCCATCGATCTGATAGTCTTTCATTGCGGCAAATGTTCTTCCAATCGCTACAGCTTCCTGGAAAGAAAATGTATTCCGATGGAAGTCGGCATATTTGTCAATACTAAACAATATGCAGATTTGAATTCGGATGGTAACACAACAACAACAAGCCTAGCATAAACCATTAGGCTACATGTTTTGGTCAAAACCGGCGTATTAAGGATGTGACTTACCGTTAAGGCGACCATACCAGCAATGCCTCCAATTCGAATTCCTTCGGTCAAATATTTTCCCGAGAAGAAAATCTTATTGAAGGAAATCGGATTGATTCCTTGATCAATATGCTTCACCTTCATATTTTACATCGTAAAGTATTTTTTGTTACACAAAACAGTCTATGAAAAAATTCATCAATTTTTTTCTTTTCATTATTGATAAAAACGTATGATTCATTTGCATGTGTGTGAGCTTACAATTTGGACTCCTTGTTTGTCCGCACGAGTTATGAAGACAAAGAAAGTGGAGACAATGACGGAAATAAGAGGAGCAATCGCCGGAACCCAAAAGAGTTTCCTGTGCTTTTTCCCCTGTAATCAAATTTCATATTAGAAATAAAGATAACAAAGATGCACGAGTAATGTTGACAAAAGAAAAGGTATACGCAAAATATATACAGAATAGAGAAGAAGAAAAATGTTACAATGTATTTGCAGACGAGGATAAAGGTCAAGAAACTGGCACCAATGAGAATAGTCTGCCAATTCCACTGGAAAAATCATGAATAAACGAAAAAGAATGAGATTTTGATTTGTTTGGTTATAAAGTTTAGCATTGAGGAAGATGATGAAAGAAGTAAAAAGTGTTAAGACTTAAAACGTACCCCATGACGAGCAGCCGCGAATACGGACTGCATGACGGAAACAATATCAGTTTTCTTGGTGAATTTCTTTATGCCAAGAAAACCCTTAAGCTGTTGGAGAGCGATTGTGATGGCTGCGCCTCCCATAAACCCAACCACCGCCGCATGCGAGAGAAAGTCTATCAAGAATCCCAACCGGAGAAACCCGAGGCCGGCCTCGAAAATGCCAGCAAAGAAAGTGGCGGTGATAGCAAGGCGGAGATATTCAGCAGGGTTCTCAACTGGATCGATCACGGCCTGGCACAGAGTACCAAGTAGAAGAGACACCACAGCCACTGGTCCAATGGCAATATCTCTAGAACTCCCCATGCCCGCGTACACCAATGGTGGCACGAAACTCGAGTCTACACACAAAAACATGCATTAACTTTTTAGAACACAAGAAGTAATAGTAAGATTTTTAATAAAGTTTCAGTCAATAATTTAATTTTAGGTTCAAAATAAAATCAAAATAGGCCAATCATTTGATGAAAAAGTGTAATATGAATCTCTCATGAGTTTCTCAAAATTGAGGCAACCTTTTTTTTACATATTTTATTTTTAATATGAGAGACTTCCAGTGAGTATTACCAACTGTTTGTTGCTAATTTAGGGATTAAAACCTTCTCCTTAACCAGAAAAGGAAACTTAGGTTAGTAATTATTGTTTAGTACTCACAAAGTCCGTATTTTGGATCCAGATTAGCGAGCTTTGCATATCCGATATCCTGTCATCCATGAACCATACACGTGAGATATAGATTTAGATATATGAAACGCGAATATAGAAGGAGGAAATGCACAAACAACTACGTGAAATGTTTATGAAAAATAAAGTCTTGATTTGTGAACCTGAGGGATGCAAAGACTAGCAATGGTGAGACCGGAAATAACATCGCCTTGAAGTTTTTTAAGATTGTACTCTCTAGCCCAGCCAATGATCGGGAATACAGCCTGGATTCCAAGCAACGCCTTCTTAGATGCGCTTTGGTCCTTGAAATCTCGAAGAGGCGCATCGTGGAAAAACATTTCTTCAATGCCCGACTTGAACTCCTTTGCCAAACCCTCCTTCGGGGGACGTGCCACTCTGTGACGGACCTGTGAGTGCTCATCAACGGACCCTCCTCCGTCCGGTGGATTAGTGTTCGCCATGATTGCTCAGATGTAGCAGCCTGAAAATGTTACTAATTTAGCAATGAAGAAATGAAATGGATTCGTAATGTGGTAATAAGGTTTAGTTTTAACCTTTGACGAAGGATATTATTGTTTGGAGGTATTGTAGATTTGCTTTGAGGGATGGAAGTGCTGCTGCGTTGTTTATATAAGTTGTGAAATATTTGGAGGTCAACTCTCTCAAGATCACAGCTTGATTCTTTGACATTTCTTGTAAGGAAAAAAAACATGGTACACTTTGATTAGTTCAGCGAAAGCCAACATAAATTTATTAGTAAAGAAAATATGAGAATAGTATCTAACAATATTTGAGGTGTATAATTAATATGATACTCAGAGGAATTAAGAGCAAAAAGTTGACTTTGGCAATTTATGCGGTGTGAAGATAAACACCAAAAACATAATTATCGATTAAACTAAAATGCTGGTTCAAAGTATCTGTTTTAACTTTTAAGTAAATATTTTCAGTTCATAATCTAGCTAAAGACGTTATTTATTTGAAGGAGGGTCATAAGCAAAAGGTAAACAATATTATGAACAAATAGAAGTGTTTTCGCTCACGTTTCGTCACGAGCTTAATTTGCAGAATTTCTTTTTTTTTTCTTGTTGTTCATTAAAATAAAAAAATTATATGTAGAATTTGAGTTGTGAGATATGAAAAAATTAACATATATATATATATATATATATGCTTATTAATTTTCATTTTCACTAAATATCATGGCGTGAGTTGATATAACGAAATCCATATATATATTCAGACAATTTGTTCACAACACAACCATAACATCTCGTTGCATATTTATATATCATACTATATATCTATATACCTATATAACACAACTTAGTGGGATGGAGATTGTATATGGTTGGTCAAATTTTTCTGGCATCAAATAAACTAATAAAATATTTGTTATGAGGATGAAAACATGATTTCCACATAACGTGTAAAAAACTAAAAACATCAAAATTTTCACTTTTAGTATTAAATTGGATATTTTGTGTATTTTAATGGGAGTGAAATAGTTTATATATTTTTACGGTCAAGCAAAAATTATATAGTTATATATTTCTCAACAATGATAAATCTATGCATTTTTAATTCAAACGGCATTTTGTCACTTCCGTTATATGGTTTAACACACTTGACAAATCCATTGTGAAACTAAAGATTTTTTAATGTTCGAATAAATTAGATCTGATAAATATTTTGTGTATGTTTTGTGAAGCTAAAATAATTCGTATATTTTTCTTCAAAATTCTGTATAGTGCATGTATTTTTAAGGTTCTTTTCCGTTTTATATCATGCTTTTAATCAAATTTTGCTAATATTGTGAAATATATGACATCTGTAAAAAAAATCTTTTATATTTCTATTGGGAAGCTTGGATTTTTCATTTCAAAGTGTAAATTGCTATCGATTTAAACTTCCATACACTCACAATCTAGCTTTAAAGTTTAAACCATCAAAACTAAAAATGTTGAACTGCTCTCAATTTTACGTCATTAAAAAAATAGCTAAATGAAACTGTTCCATTTTCGTTCAATTATACAGAGTGGCATTCTATTTTTTTTTTAAAATAAAAAATTAAACTTTTTCCTTATAATAAATAAACAAAAAAAGAAAAAAATGATTTATCATCTTCAGTTTATTTTAACGACAGAATCATCAAACTATAGTTAACAAATTCCGATTGGAAACCATCTTGGTGAATCTTTGAAATCAGATTAGGAACTTGTTGTTGTACCAATCTAGTTGTTGTAAGTCAAAGAATAAAATATAAGCAATTTATATCTTGAAGATTAAAGATGCGATGTTCTCTATTTTTATCTCGACTTCACGATCACGTTCATAATTTTTTTTACGATTTTGGGTTTGAGTTCACACTTCGCCGTGTGGGACAACTCCACATTACCCATTTGAGCTTTTGCTTAGCCGCTTTACAAAAAGTATTTGCTAAAGAATATGTTCACATCCGAAATTAGTGTTGCTTGTCTAGCTAATTGTTTATCTAATTTATTTATGTATGAATTCTTTATAATAAAAAAAACAAAAAAAATACTCATTTTGTTTATGTTGTAATATTATATAAGTATATGACTCAGTTCTCGGAAGTCTAATGAACAACCTTAATCTCTATAGATCCTATCGACATTCGTATACTACTTACGTGACAGTGCACCTGCATGATATTATTCCAGATATTGCAACTGGACCATTTAGTCCTCTTTGAAGCTGGACGGCACCAAATGCGCATCATCGAATTACCGTAGTGTATAAATTGGCCCTGAGGCGTTTCTACTCTAAAAGGATTTTAACGTTTTTGCATGGTTTGATTTTAGTAATCCTTTAAATACGAAAAATTTAGAGCTAAGACAGATATTAATTCCTCAGATATCTAAGTCATATGGATTCTATCTATAAATATGCACCATGTTATATAAACTGGCCCTCAACAGAATTTTCTGTTAGGAGTGGTTTATAACAACTAGAAATTCCTTAATTTGGTTTATTTTTTTGGGTTTCAAAAATGTTTACTATGATATGGAAAAACTGATTCAAATAATTCAAACTTAAGTTTTATTTAAATTACTATAACCAATTGGATTTTTATGATAGCACGATAGAAATAAAAATAGAATAATACTTTTTCTTGTCTATTTGAAGATTTGAATTTAGATGATGCAGAAGTTGTTGACAAAAAAAAAAAATTAGATGATGAGATAACAATGGCACTATCCAGTGGAGACGGGGTGGGGCTTGTAGCTCAGAGGATTAGAGCACGTGGCTACGAACCACGGTGTCGGGGTAGTACAAACTACAAACCATGAGAGAATAAAGTCTGATAGAAAATAGAGATATGTGCCACAAATTTCTCTGTAATAGTAAAAGAAAAAAAAAATGAGTTTCTAATATTTGTATTTCATTTAACTCTTTCGATAAATCCTTTTCAAATTTATTCTTAGTTCATTTATTTGCTTAAGAATATGTTCACATCCAAAAAGTCGTTAGGCGTTAGTCGGGCGATGGCTTCAAAATTTTCGATTTTTCAAAAATCGGAAATAAAACGGAGACTAGTCGGGGAGGAATTTTTATTACATTTTTTAATTTATTAAATATTTTTATATAAAAGATAAAACATAAATATGAAAATTATATATTTCAAAATTAGTTAAAACATTTTTCAAGTTTTGGAGAACAAAACTCTTACAATTAGTAACAAATTTTATTATTTGGGGTTAATAAAACCTCAAAATCGATTTTTTCTCATGTAATTGTTATCAATTATAGTCTTGTTTTAGCTAAAAAAAAATTAAATAGAATGAACATTCCTTAGTTGGCCCCCATTATTGAAATAATTTGGAATTGGGTCAAAGAAAATTCGGAAACCAAAGATTTGGCTCATCTCATTTAAAAATTTTCAAACGATTTTTCTCATTAGTCGGATTTTTTAAAGTCGCCACGTTTTCACCCCAAATCCGACTTTTTAACTGATTAGTCGGAGAAATCGCCGACTTTTCGAACAGAGGTTATTAGGCACTTTAACAGAAAACTGTGATAAAAAATACTAATGATAATTGTGTTACATTTTTTTTTTCCTAAAATATGCGTCACATTTGGGATACAAGAAAACGAGAGACGGTCATCAAGTGTGTAAATGAATGTTTTCTAAATCTAAATTCTATGGACTTTTGAGGTACCTTGTACGTGAAAATAGAAAGTCAAAGGGAGTAGTACAATTACAACTGTTTTGTCTTCTACTGCTGTCATCCCATTAAATGTACAAAAACAAGTGGTGCTCACAGATTAGTTTCTCTGTAACGCCGTCCAGGTTCATTGTGTCGTTACAATTAAGAGATGTTCTTTGTTTTAAAATCACCATCTATGTTTCAACGTAGACATAGTGTTTGATTTTTTTTTTTTTTTTTTTAAACCATAGCATTTGGGAATAAAAATATCTAAGATATATAAAAATCTGTTGGAGAATATTTTATGGTGCTCATATTAGAAGATCACGGTCCAGACATTTCCCTCCACTGACCGGGGGCAACTTCCATCCGAACTAAACCGACTTGTTCAAGACTTAGCATTAGAGAAACATGTTTTTAGCCTCTTAGTAGCCAAAAGAAGAAGAGGGAGTCGAAGATATTGTAGTGTTTGATTGTAAGTAATTTTCAAAAAATATTAGAAATGAAAGATTAACAAAATAATTGTCAAGCAACTAACGAAATAATAATATGAAATAAATTAATTCAATCTTCAATTTCCAGTAGTCTTTTTTTTTCAATGGTTAACACATAAATCTTTATTAAAATTAATCCTATAAACAAAAAACTAACAAAACAATTAGCAATCAACTAACCAAAGAAAATAAAATTATAATAAATATTTCTGTAAATTAAACTAACAATTTAATACTCCCTCCGTTTCAAATTACTTGTCGTTCTTGACTTATTTTTTTGTTTCATTTTACTTGTCGTTTTGCATTTTCAATGTACATTTATATATTTTTCCAGTTTTATCTCTATTTTTTAACTGGTTAACAAGTCATATTAAACAAAAATGTGTATTAAATAGGGATAAAAAAATTAATCTAGCTAGTTTCTTAATCTGCATGAAAATCTCCAGAACGACAAGTAAAAAGAAACGAAAGGAGTATTTGTTTTATTTTCCATAATTTGTTTACTAACTGTAATATATTAAATTACAAAGCCCGGTGCACGTGGATCCAATATGATATACTCCCTCCGTTTTCTTTACTTGTCATTTGTCATTTTAGAGTTTTACATGTATGTTAATAAAACATATTAGAATTTCTTTGATATCATAAAATATCAAAAGGCTTTTAGTATTTTTCATCATATGTAAGGTTAAATTAGATATTTTATATTTAAAACCTATATTGGAAAATGAAAACAACAACTAAAATAAAACAAATAATTAAGCATAGAACGACAACTAGAGTGAAACAAATAATTAAGCATAGAACTACAACTAAAATGAAACGAAATGAGCATATACTATGTGATCACACATGTCCCAAATACACACGTCTGATTCTTAACACTTTCTTTTCATAAAATGATTCTTACTTCATAGCACTTCTACTAATTAATTAGGCAGAGTTTTTTTTTTTTCTTGTTTGTCTCTTTTTTTTTTTGGTCATTTAGTTAGTTAGGGATTAGTTCTACTTCTATATAAAAAGTATACTCCTTCTATTTCATAATAAGTATCATTTTGACAAAAATGAATCTGGACTATTTATTGATGTATCTGGATGTACTTTGAATAATACATCCAGATATATCCATATATATTAGGTAGGTGAAGAGTCAAAACAACAGTTATTATGAAACGGGGGAAGTATTATTTAGAGTATTTAAATCTAGAGAGACAAAATTGCATACCAATTAAGAAAATAGCAATGAAACATAAACATGTTTCGAATAAATAGTTTGGATATTTTATGCCACATTTTTGTTTTTTGACCAAATACACTCCCCAAAATTTATATATAGAAACTTAAAGTGTTATATCTAATAACTAATTGATTTTCTCAAAACTAAATTATTATGTACCGTGTTCGGAGTTCGGACATAATCTAATTGTTTACTTATTCAATATTCATCAGATACAGCTGGTACACTCGTGTACTTGTCTATTATATCGTGTGCCCTTCGATTATATCTTTGCTAAATTGTCTCCCTTTGTTTTATTGTTACATATATAACTGAAGAAATGGTTTCATGGACTAGATATACGATGTGCAATTTTATAAAAAAATTACGTGTCTTTTGGTCCTTCCTTGTTTTTGTTTTTCCAAGTTCTTCCCTTATAGATTTATTTGCAGGACAATTCCACTTTAGAAAATGTAAGCAAGATAGCATTTTTTTTTTCTTGAGCAGCGGAAAATAGCACTAGAATGCAACTTAATATATGTGCTTCACATTAAAAAAACAAGTTGACTTGGCATTTATTACAGTACTTCCACTATGACAAACAGATTCTCTCATTCTCGTATATCGACCAATGAGGTTGTGAAGAGTGGGTCCCAAAATCTGTTAAGATGGTGCCACCTCGGATAAAATGTATTTAGCCAAGAAAGTGTCTAGGTTCAAGTTATGTGCTTGAGGCTATTGTCTCCGACATGGTTTCTTAAGGGCAGTATTAGTATACTCATTCTTTCGATTTATAATGTGCCCCTTAGCTTTGAGCTTTAGCCATGTTTTACCAAATCAATTTCCAAAATAATATATATCATACCGTTATACGAGTAGACTTTCATCTACATTCATTCATATATCAACAGAGACAACTAGATAATTTAACAACGATATACAAGTTGTATACTCTCTCTGTTTCAAATTAGTTGTCGTTTTGGCAAAATGTATCTGCAAATATTTGGATGTATCTGGACGTGTTTTGCATTGCAGATACATCCAAATATTTGCAGATACATTTTGCCAAAACGACAACTAATTTGAAACAGAAGGAGTATAATATAATGTATTTTTACTTTTTTCGAGTTAATTTGATTATTTTAGTGATAGTGGTTATCAATCATACAAATATCCTCCTTTTACAAGTCAGTTACAGAATATATATAACTTACAAATATCATTATTATATGAACCTATTTTTTACGTACATGGTATGATTTTTTGCCATTTGATTAACTTGCAATACAATTGTAGCAGCATTCTTTCACTAAATTTTAAGACAAGAAAGTTGTAGAAAGTTCGATGGTACATAATTTAGATTCTAGCAACTCGCAAAAAGGTTGTAAATATGATTATATTGAAGGAATCAAGGAACCAAATATAAGTAACCATGTTACGAACATAAATCTTGTTTTGGGCAACATAAGACGGGTAGAAAACAAGGCATATTAACCAGTTTCACTCGTATTTAAGATTAAGGTTTTGTTTTGATTTCTGACATTGTCTTTTGAAGGCTAATTAATTTAGCCGTCCACCGAACGTACAACATAATCAGTGCACACGATCACGATTGCTGCCAAGTGTAATTAATTATAAAATTAGCGACGAACTTGATTGAAAGGATTCTCTTTGCTGTTGAATGACTTGAGGGATCTTATCCATGAAGAACCTTCAATATTGTATGTGCCAACAAATATAACCCGATACAGTTATTATTATGGTATATATATTATTTTATTCTTTAAAACGACACACTTTTTAGCTTGTAATTAAAAAAAAATGATGAATTTTTATTTTAAAAAATAATAATACTAGTTTTTTTTTTTAATTGTCGTGAAGGGATATGTGCATATGGTGTCTTCTCTAAACAGCAGGAACGTTTTGGCATGACACCCTTATTATTTTATTCCATTTCCAACCAAGGTTTATGATTTGGAATAAAAATAAATGATAAAAAATCAAAAGAATTTTATTTGGATATATATTTTGTAGTAGTGCAATTTGTGGAGAATGTTTTGTAAAAAAAAAAAAAAAAAAAAAAAAAAAAAAAAAAAAAAAAAAAAAAAACTAGAAAGAATTGGAAAACATGCAAACAAAAAATTATCGACAATATATTCCTCATTTTTGTGACTACTTTTGATGAAAATAAAAGAAAATCGGTATCCTTAAAAGAACAATGTCAAAGTCATGAGGAAAACAAGTTTGAGACTATGTTAATAATTTATTTTTTCAAGATAGAAAAACATAGAAAATTAGGTAATCAAGAGCAAATCTTTGGCGATCTTCTTCATGTTAATCAAGAGAGACGTTGTATTTATAGATTTTACATGCCATATATATAAGCTAACAGACTAGGTTAAGCATAGATTGAAGAAGGAATTGGATATTATTCTAGATAGAACATTTTGCATCTGGAAAAAGCACTCAAATGCGTTTAGTTTCTTTGACTTCTTTGTTTCAAAGGTTGCAGAATTCCCCAGAATTTTGTTATTTTTCAAGTGGGCATGTAGTTGCCTGTTTAGTTTTATATTTCCCTTGTACGTGTGAATGAGACATGATTATTTTCAAAACTAAGGGGGCGGTTATTAGGAGATGAATTTATGTAGAATTGATAAATTTTAAAAGTTCAGAGATTTGTTGAACTTATAAAGATTATATGTTTGATTTGGAGAGAGTTTGTATATTCAGAAAATTAATCAAATATTTTGTTATAATAGATTTTGAAATCTAAAGGTTATAAGTGGTATTTTGGAAATCTTGTTCCATGAGTTAAATTGTTTGAAATCCATATCCCAATAACAAGGATTTTAATAGATTTATGAAATCATTAAAATACAAACTTTTTGAATACCAACTGATTTTGTATGGACTTTAAAAATCACCAAACCAATAACAACATATCTTAATAAGATTGTTAGAATTCATAAACCAATAACAAAAGTTTATGAATAAGGATTTTAGGGATCTACACCAAAGACAAGAAAGCAACATCTTAATGGTTGGGAGAAAGTTGTTTGCCAAAGTCGGAAGGCAGGTTAAGAATCTGTAAAGCAAGCCTCATGAACAAAGCATTGATCGCCAAAGTGGGATGGAGACTAATGCATGATGATACGAGTTTATGGGCGAGAGTGATGAGGAGCAAGTACAAAGAAGAGTACATGGTCTTCCACGTGGAGAAGCATCATCGTCGAGATACTTGAAGTGATTCATCCGAGGCATGGTTGGATCATCGGGGATGGCAGGCAAGTTAACATCTTGACAGATAAGTGGTTAGGGGATAGCTCCTTGATTGAAGTGGTAATCGCGGATGTGCCGAAATTTGTAGGCATGAAGGTGTGTGACCTGTGGATAGATGGAGTTAGGTGGGACTTAAGGAAGATCGCGCCGTTCGTATCGGAGGACACTAAACTTGAGCTAGCAGCGGTGGTAGTTGACAAGGTAACATGGGTGAGAGATCGCTTATCTTGGAGAGACACACCTGATGGTCGATTCACGGTCTCATCAGCTTACCTAGAGTGTACAAACCGGATATTGGACATTTCTTTAATCGAGTATGGAGAGTCAGAGCGCCTGAAAGAGTCAGGGTTTTCTTTTGGCTGGCTGGGAACAAAGGGATTATGACTAACCAAGAACGGTTTTTGTCGGCATATCGGTGACTCGGAAATTTGTCAAGGGTGCAAAGGAGGAGTGGAATCAATCTTACATGTTCTTTGTGATTGTTTAGCTATGGCGGGTATATGGAAACATATTGTACCGCGAGGAAAACGACAAGTCTTCTTCGCTATGTCGTGTTTGGAGTGGCTGTCTGTCAATATGAGTGATAACACGAACACGGAGTATGGTCCATGGTCAAATGTGTTTGTGGTGGCTGTCTGGTGGGCATGGAAGTGGAGATGCAGGAACATCTTTGGAGATAGGACACATTGAAGGATCGAGTTAAGTTTGTGAAATAGTATGTGAAGGAGGTCTCTTTGGTAGGGGAGACGAATGAATCTGTGGGATCGCAAGTAGACATGAGTGTTTGGTCTCATGGATCCCACTACGTCTGAATTGAACAAAGCTGAATATGGATGGCGCATCGCATGGGAATCCGAGTTTGGCAACGGCTGGAGGGGGGTTACGGGATGGAGATGGTCAGTGGTGTGGCGGCTTTGCTCTCAACATTGGGAGATGCACAGCCCCATTAGCGGAGTTATGGGGTGGGTACTATGGTCTCTGTATCGTCTGGGACAAGCAGATCATGCGACTCGAAGTGGAGGTTGATTCATCGATGGTGGTTGGGTTCTTAACGACAGAGATTTCTGACACACATCTACTGTCTTTCCCGGTACAGTTGTGTCATGGCTATTATCGAAGGACTAGAAAGTCCAAGTTACTCATGTTTATAGGGAGGCTAATCATTTAGCTGATGTATTAGTAAACTATGCATTTTCTTTGCCTTTAAGCATGCATACTTTTGATTCAGTTCCTCCGGACTTATTGTCGGTGTTGAGTGATGAGTGTGGAGCCTCGCGATCACGACATATTCGTGTGTAATACTTTTCTTAATTAATAAAATCTGAGAGCTTGCTCTGGGGTTTCAAAAAAAAAAAAAAAAAAAAAAAAAAAAAAAAAAAAAAGGTTTTATGAAAATTTTAGGAATTCTTACAAATTCTTCTACCAACAACCCCTCTAATTGATGATTTGAATATCTGAAGGATGAGAAGACGTATTGCTTTGGATTATGAGGACCAGTGGATACCAAAACCCAATTCAACATTATTGGCATATACCAAGTAAGATGTTTTATAACAAAGCTCGACTACGTAACTCCATTTTACTCCAACTAGGCCTTGGGCCTAATTCTTTTCTTCCCACAGCCCATTATATTCCTCTCCGAAACCACTTCACCTCGTTTACACTAAACCAGCTCTTCTCTTGTAACTCAATCAAACCAATCGATTGAGTCACCTCAACGAATACTCGCTTTAAATGAAGTTTATAATTTTCTCACCTTATAATTCATTGATAACCCGATTAATTCACTATTACCAAAATTTTATAATAGTATATAATCATAACTTAAAGAAAACACGCTGTTTACATGATAAAACAAGAATTTGGGTTCTCGTCGCTAAACATAATAGTGTAAGAGTCATCGACGGTGGTCTCGTTGACGGATGCCGTGTCGGGGACTTTCCGAACCATGTTCGGTGGTGCCTTCTTGTCATATGCTTGAGATATGTACGGATTCGCCACCATCGTGTACGGAACATACGGCCATAGCTCCACTTTCTTCTTCGTTGACTTGGCTGCCTCCAAAACTTTCTTGGGATCCACGTATCCCATCACCGTTACCTTCTGTAGCTTCACATCCACGTCCACCGATTTCACCCCTACACAAATGAGACCAATCAATTTTTTTTTTTTTTTTTTAAATTTATTACAACCACAATAATGGATTAGGTGAATGAATTACGGATCATATAAAAGCAAAATCTAGCACTATGAGTCCTATGAAAATTTTCTTCCTAAATTCAGTAGATTTCACATTTTCAAAAATTTATGTAATTAAATACATACCTTTGACGCCGGAGAGGATATGTTTGATCCTACGTTCACACCCTTCGCAGTCGATACGAGCAACTCGGAGAGCTACTGTCTGCATTTGTTTCTTCTTCTTTCTCTTCCTCTTCTTCAAGAATTCCGATATATATTCCATCGTTCCTTCCACTCCCATTTTCACTCACACCAATCCGTTTTGCAGCTCTATTTTGTTTACTGAAGAAATTAAAGAGGAGACGATAATTATAATTAAGGAGAGTAGTGATGAAGTGAGTAAGAAGGCTCTTTCTTTATACCATATAAAGGTGGTGGCGTGGTGCTTGGGTAATGGGTACTCACCTTATCTACATTTGTCTACAGTGATCAGTGTATTTCGTATAATAAGATCGATGGATGTGACAAATTAAGGGAGATTACTTCTTTATTTGTCGACTAAAAATATTAGATGACAAGCATTAGTGCCTATGAAAGGCGAAAACGAAGTCTACTTATTGCTTTGAGGGTCTCGTAGAAAGTGCAAGAAACTTTCACCGATATGAAATGAAATCTTTGGCATTTAATCCATATGACCCAAGCTTGGGTGGTGATATCGTACGTGTTCTTTTTCTCTTTGTTTAATTGTTAATTGATATACAAAATTATGCATTAATCTGTATAATAGTATGAATTATTCGAGAGAGTAGAATCAATACAAGTATTATTTGAGCTTGAACCAAAATACTTACTAGTCTTTGCAGATTGACATTCAAAATTGATAATTTTATTTTTAACATACGTTTTTTATATGTAGCAGTGTAGCACCATGTCCTACTTTTCTATACCCCTACCTAATTAGAGGAGTGGAAAAATATCTCAAGGTAACGAATTTACGCAATAAATCTACATTTGAGTCTCTAACTTTCATTAACAAAAAACAATAGCTTCATAAATGTAATGTTTCTTAGCAAAGTTTAAAAAATTCCAGGTTTCATGTGTGGTGAACAAGAGTTTATAGTGTGTAACAGAGTATTAGTTATGAGATAGTAAATAGTCCAAAAAATGTAAAACAAATCAAAAGAAAACCATAGATTTTGATTATTATTTAAAAATTAAATTATAAAATAATGTGTATATTATTGCACAAAAAAAGCAATGTGTAAATAATTGAGGAGGCTTTTGGTCGATGCAACGTTATAAAATGTAAGTGGCTACACAAGCTGTGACTAATGTGAAGGACACATGGCAGTTAGTGATTGTGTCAAGTTTCAACGGCATGCATTAATTCAAGCTTTTGATTGGGGTCAGTAGCATTATATAATTAAATGAAACTGACAATATGTAAAGAAGCGTACAAAAATGCAAATGAAAATGACTTTCATGTTAAATTTCGATTTGTAGCCAAGACATGTGGCAAAGTTGAAGTACAATAGTGGATGCGATATGGATTTAACGAACCACCTGTTAGTTTGTTACTATAGAGATCATAAAAAATATTAGTCAATGTTTATACATGTCAAGATTATCATTGCATAGGCGTTTACCAGTTTTAATTTCATTATTAGTCTGTCTGTACATCAACCATTGAAGAAGTTAGCAAATTATGTTATCGAACGAATAGTTTCCTTCTGTTTGGTAACATCGAAATGTACTACCCTAATTTGGATAAAACAGCATAGTATATCTTTGAAGTGAGACCGTAAATTACACTTTTTAAGAGTTCATATTTGGTTTTGAAAACCAACTGAATGTATTGCGTGGTAAATTTTGTTAAAAGTTCACTGTGGGAAATCTTGTTCACTGCATACTTAATCTGAAACTAAACTAAACACCTAATGCTCTAATGGAATCAGTACTAGTTATCATGGATTGATAATTTTACTGAAATATATTTGATTTTTTTCTTTTATGATTTGTATAAATCTCTCTTATTATCCTTTTGGTAAAAATGTCCTTTTCTAGTTTAAGCAAACTCTTAGGAGATTAGGTCACATATGTCATATGAAACTTGTTTAAATAGGATTCTTGACAAATTTTTAACCATGTGTTCTATAAGGATGAATGGATGATCGATAACATAAAAGAGCCATATCAGATTTAGTTAGAAGGGGGTTGCTTTCTAACTGTTTGCAATGAAGAGGCAGCACATCTACCACTCAAATACTGATATGCCCCATTATTATATAATGTATTTACTTATCACGTTGCTTGAGTACAACTGTACAAGTGTCCCCTTTCTATTTATATAATAAATTTTTTTTTTTTCTTTTTCTTAAGCAACATACAATGTTCTATCGACTAATTTGAAATCTTATATATAATCAGGGAGTTGTTCTCTCCATCTAAGAGTGTCCACTCAGCACAGAAAAAAATTGTTTAAAATATTTATTAAATATATGACTATTCATATTTCTTTACATTTATTTATATTTAATAAAAAATATACAAATAAATTAATTAATTAATAAAAAGTATATGATAATTTGATGTTAAAAGTTATCAAAAATTTGGAATATAAAATTGTATATTTACCTTTAACATTTAACTTCAAATAGTATATATTTACCCTTTAATTCAAAGTGTAACTTCAAATTTTGAATTATGATGGTTATATGTTAACTTCCATGTTTTGGTTATATTTTGAGTTAACCCAACAATTAACACTAACAATATGATCAATTTTTTTTATTAAGATATTAACACCTTACTTCATCTCGAGTTTTCTATTTCTAAAATTTAATATGCATTTGACTCAACGTTAAAATTTGTAAACATGGTGTAGAATCGCAATTGCACTCAAAATATGATGAAAAACAAAAACATGTATAACTTCTTACATATATGCTTTGTTGTGGTAGCATATGACAATTGATTATTTTCTATTATGTTAGTTTTGTAAATATAAATTGTATTTTTGAAACAAACATGTCACCATTCTTAAAATTTTCATGCTTTTCGTTGCAATGAAATTTAAATAATAACTCGACTTCTATTTTTTAATAAAACAAACTCTAACTCTAATTTTTTATTAGCTTTTTACTATGTTAAATAATTTATATTGTACTTTTTTACTTGTAAGCACATTATAACATTTTTAAATAGGATAAATCTTTGAGTTAAAACCTAACTATATACTATTTCTTTATTTCATCTCCATTTTATATTACAACTTTCTTTTAACTTTTAACATCAAGATATCACATACTTTATATTAATCAATTAAATTGTTTGTGTATTTTTCTTAGTTTTGTTTATGTGTAAAATAGGAATATATATAAAAAATATTAATACACATATATTAAATATCTTAAATACAATTAATGATTTTTTTGCTGATGTGGATAGCCTAGGAGGAGAGAGCAACTCTCCTATTATATATAAAATTATTATTTTTTAAAGTCCATTCCCCTTTTGATTCGGTAATACGACGATTGTTTTGGAAACTTTTGCTAAGCTTTTCATTTTATTTTGGCAAATGCAACTTTCGTCAACGAAAGACAAATTAGTAGGTGAAAAAAAGTAGTGAATTTCTATGGATGCGCACCACTCATATTATATTGTTCTGATATTTTATGCACGTAATATCAAGAAAACACATACAACATATCCAAGATTATCCGTTTTCTTTAATTTAAAATGAAGGAGTGTGAGATCTGAGATAGCACACGTCGGCAACAGGTATCAAAGATTGAGTTTTCTAGGAATTGGGATATTTTTACGCATAGAGAATCGAAAGATTACAAAAGAGTTTGGTCTCGTCAGCAGGTTTGACGAGACTATGGATGAAAAACAAGAGAAAGCTGAAAGCGAATGCTAGGGTTCTTGCTGCTAATTTCGGATCTTTTTGCAGGAATGGGGGGTCCCATTATCTAGTGATAATAGATCGGCTTCTCGATGAATATCTTCCTCTTCGTCGAATTGGAAAACTTCCTCTTGTCTCTGATTTATTTTCTTTCTTCGAGTCGGAATTAGTCTTTCTTTACATTTATCCAAAGATTATGCCTTCTTCCTTAAGACTTGCCATTTTGCTTAGATGGTTAGGGCTAAAGTCGGGGTGGACTTTAATGATATTACCAATTGTAACTGACTCAAAAAAATATACTAATTTCACCTGAAAACATTCATTCGCACTTTAGTTTAATTTACCACCTTAAAAAATTTTTAAAAACATTTTTGTTGAGTCAACAAGCTTACATTAAAACACCAATAATCAATTTTCAAATTTCTTCCACTCGATCACATTTTTCATACTTTCGAAAAGTATGAATCGAAATATCTAACAGAATGTGTATGTGTGAATACAAACTATTACAGTATTACTCACTTCCATATGATCAAAACATTACCCATTTGGTATTGGCACCTTATGCAAATATACTGAACCCTTGAACCATCGCAGTACTCAGGTATTTATATTACATGATTAATTGTATAATGTAATATATGAGTGTCATATTAACTAAAGTTATTTTGTTTGGACAGGGAACAGGAGGTGGAGGTGGTGAAGACTGAAAAACAGAACGACCATAAGAGTTTATCATAACTATCTGGATTATTTCATGTTTTTCTAAGTAGTGTTTTAGTTCATCTTTGTATCTGGATTCATTTGGTTTCTCTTTCTGTTTAATACAGTTGAACAATATATTTGGATGTATTATTTAATTTGAATATTTATTAAAATTGAAATTTTATTTTACCAATTTTAAATAATTATTCAAATTAAAATCAAAATGTGGCTAGATTTTTAAACAAAATGTGATTCATATCGTTTACAAATGACACAAAAAGCAATTAGAACTATAAGATAAAAGTGATACAAAATTCATTATCTACTATCACATATAAAATTAAAAAAAAAAAAAACACCTCAGGATGGCGATTGCGATCTTAGGGTTTTGAGATGGATCTAGAAATTCTTCATCTTGGGGCTTTGGTTTTTGGTTTTAATTTTAATTCTTTGAGGGAAAAAGGTTTTGGAAAGAATGGACAATCGGAGGTTTTAATGGAGTTTTTGTGTGGATTCGATTGAGATCGGATGGGATCTGGATCTTGATTTGGTGGAGTTGGGTCTTACGAGGTGTATCCGTCGATTCGATTTGGTGTCTTATGTCTCCATATTTGAATCGAATCGGACGAAGATTTGGGATCCTGGCTTCCGGAAATTTTGTGGATCTGAGAGTGATGTGGGAAAGATGTGATGTCCGGAGGGAAAAAGAGGCAACAGATAAAGGGTCTCACCGGATTCCGAGGGATTACGAAACTCTGTTTTTCGATTTAAGGAAATCAGATTTCGTGATCTGGAGGAGGGAGATCATGATCAGGGATCACGAAGTTCATTTTGGAGATATTCGGACAGTATATGGAAACAAGGTGGGAGACTTTAGCATTAGACAGATTGTGTAGGGATTTGGGGTATTGATGAGGATGCATATATATGGGACGTCCCAAGGTCTTCATATCATCACTTTCATCAGCACTTAAGCTTTTTCTCATTTGGCCTTTTATCTTTCTTTGTTTGGTTTGTTGTGCGAGGACGGATCATGTCTCAAGCAAGCAGGATCAATGGTGGTGGGTCGAACGAAGGAAAAGAGAAGCTGGCGCCGAGGCTGAAGATCACGGTGCCACGTTTTGACAACACGGAGCTCATCAGGGGTTACTCGCGTACGTTGATTGGGAGGTGCATGAATCCCATGATGCAAGATGTGCAATCCCTGTTGCATGTGATGCCACGGATCTGGAAGGTGGAGGAGCGAGTTGCGGTAGCAAACTTGGGACTCGGAAGGTTCCAGTTTGATTTTGATAACGAGGAGGATATCGTGGAGGTTCTCAAGATGGAGCCTTTCCATTTCGACAATTGGATGGTGGCTCTGGTCCGGTGGCAGCCGGTGGTGGATCCGTCTTATCCCTCGGCGATTATCTTTTGGGTTCGAATGATGGGAATCCCTCTTCATTTCTGGGCGGAACCAACTTTTCGAAGTATTGGTGAGGCCTTGGGTGAGGTGATGGCTGTGGATATCAATGAAGGGAGAGTCTAGGTCTGTCTGGATGGGTACAAACCCCTGACCTTTGAAACGACGGTGGAGTTTCACAGCGGCGATGAAACACTGGTGGTTCTCAGATACGAGAGGCTGTTCGGATTTTGTAGGGAGTGTTCAAGTCTGTGCCATGATGTGGTTCATTGCCCTCTACTGAGGAAAGCTCGGGAGGAACGAGAGAAGCAAACAAGGAGAGAGGATAGACCAGATGGAGGTTCTATGAGTTACAAAGGTGTGGTCATAAACGGACCTCAGAGTGGGAATGGCGGGATACGACCACCTCCCAGTAACCAGCCGACGGACTACAAGGGAAAGGGTAAAGCGGTGGATACCAGGAAAGAAAAAGGATTGCGTCACACAGGCTTTCGCGGCAAAGCTAGGCATGGTGAGGAAAGCTCTGTGGTTCACCGGGTTCCAAAGAGGTACATGCCTACTCTGGAATTGAGGAAATTGGCTTCCGGGACTACAAGGGCCGGAGGAAGTACTTCTATGGCGGGAACTGGTACAGATGGAAGGACTGTTCTAAGTCCTAGTTACCAATCGGCAAAAAAGGCAGGAGCAGTGGAAGTAGGGGTCACAGCGGTCATTGAGAATATTCCGTCAAGTGAGCAGCTCTTGGCTGAAGCTCGAGAAAAAGAAGAGAAGGAGAAACTGGAAGCTAAGGTTTATGAGATGGAGGGAAGCTGGGGAAGTGAAGAGGAGGGTGAGAAGGAGGGTGAAGCAGGAGATGAAGATACTGCTGCTGAGGATGAGTTGGGTGATCTGGAGATTACTGAAGGTTTGCAGGAATCTTTGTCTCCGGGATGATAACCGCTCTTGGTGCAGGAACCATCATGGAGGAGCTGGTGGAGAATGATGGTAACATTGAGGATCATATGCAGGTGGAAAATGCTGTGTTTGCTGAAACAGGCAAGGAGGTTATGATACAGGGTGAGACTCTGGAGGCGCCTGTTGCCGCTATGGATGCAGCAGCGATGCCGGAGAAGCGGTTGGAGCGCAAACAGGGTGCCCAAAAGAAGGTTTTTAGGGCAACGGTAGGTATTGGAAGTGGAGCGATACGGAGGTTGACACAGGCGGCCAAAACACCAAAAAAGAAGGTCATTAGCAAGGCCGCTACTAAAGGTGTGGGAAAGGCAGGAATGGGAGACGATCCATCGGGAGAGGATCAACCAGAGGATAAAGTTACTTAATGTGTGTGTCAAGTTGGAAGTAGCAGGGTCTGGGCAACCAATTCACTATAGCCTACTTAAGGGAAATATGGGGAAAATTTAGACCTGTTTTTTACTTCTTTCTGAAACTAAGCAATGTCTTTCTTTTATTCAGCAATTTCGATTTCAATTTGGGTTTGATATGTTGTTTACTGTGGTTCCATGCTGAGCAAATGGTGGATTACCATTATTTTTTAATAATAATAATAATTTTACTGGATGTCAATTGTTTAACAACATTCTTATATATGACGGTTATTATTGGTTTTGCAAACATACGAGATCTTGTGGGGCCCATTTAAAAGTGGGATGGATAATTTATGTGGAGAATTTACAGATGGTGGTACAAAACCGAATACTACAAACACTGCAGTTATTTGGTGGGCCTATTAGATTTGGGGCCGTGTTTTTTGCTCTCGAGAGAACATTTTGGGCCATGATGCGAAGGAAAAATGGGGGATGTTTGGTCGTATACATGATATCCATGCACGATCATCCTGGGTGGTTCCTACAATCGAGTGGAGGCGGGTTTTGCCACGGGAGACAAGCTCGCATATTTACAAAGAGATTTCGAAATGCGGGTACTTAGTTGGAATTGTCAAGGATTGGGAAATCAATTCACAATTAGTCATCTTCGGGAAATTTGGGGAAAGTTCAAACCCAATTTTCTATTCCTCTCTGAAACAAAACATACTTATAGTTTTGTTCAACAATTTCAGTTTCACTTTGGATATGATAGGTTGTTCACGGTGGAACCATGTGGTGCAAGTGGGGGCTTAACTCTTTTTTTCAAGAATGACTATGATGTCAACATTGTCTATTCTAGCAAACGGATAACTGATGTGGAGGCTCAACATGAAGGAAAAACAATTTTTTTGTCATTTGTTTATGGGGACCCAATGGTTAAATTACGAGATTATGTGTGGGAACGGATAACCCGGATCGGAACATCAAGGACGGAACCGTGGTTTCTAATAGGAGATTTTAATGAGATTACAGGAAACCATGAGAAGAAAGGAGGAAAACTTCGCCAGGCCATCATCTTTTATTCCCTTTAATTTGATGATAAGTGATTGTGGATTTGTGGATTTTTCAAGTCGGGGTAACAAACTCTCATGGAAAGGTAGACGAGTGGGAAATTAGTGAGGTGTCGTTTGGACAGAGCACTAGCTACAGAAGAGTGGCATGATTTGTTTCCTTTTTCTCATGTGGAATATTTAGCAATGATTGGTTCTGACCACCGACCAATAGTTGGCTACTCTAGATACAAAGATTCCAAGAGGAGGAAGCAGTTCCGGTTTGACAAACGGTGGATTGGATTGGATGGTTTTAGATTCTATAGATAAAGGGTGGAAAATAATCGGGGAGCGGAAACACCGAATCTAGTTGAGAGAATACAGCAGTGTCGTCATGAAATTTCAGTGTGGAGGAAAAATAACCAACCATATGGAAAAGGAGAAAATCGCAGCTACAGGCTGCACTGGAAGCTCCAGGAGGATGACCATAGTACCCAGGAGGAACTCAATGCGATAACTAATAAACTAAAGGAGGCATATCGAGATGAGGAAATTATTGGAAGCAGAAAAGTCGAAATATGTGGTTAAAAGATGGGGATTTAAATACAAAGTTTTTTCATGCTTCTACAAAACAGCGACGAGTGACTAACCGTATAGTGGGTTTACATAATGATGCAAATGTCTGGGTAGCTGGAGAAAATGAGGTTGAAAAAGTGGCAGTTCCTATTTTGACAATCTTTTTACCTCCATTTCGCCAACAGACTTTACCTCAATGCGATAACTCATACCTGGACCAGATGGTATGACGGCTTTATTTTTTCAACGATCATGGCACATTGTTAAAGGATGTTGTCCTTACGATGGTGAACGATTTCTTGCTCTCCGGGAATTTTGATGAAAGACTAAATATGACCAATATTTGTCTTATCCCAAAATCGGAACGACCTACCAGGATGACGGAACTTAGGCCAATAAGTTTGTGTAATGTAGGTTATAAGATTATCTCGAAGGTTCTCTGCCAGAGGCTAAGGTGTGATCCTACCAAGATTGATTTCGGAGACCCAATCTGCGTTTGTACCAGGTCGCCTATCTCTGATAACATCTTGATAGCTCAGGAGATGTTTCATGGGCTGAGGACAAATAAATCATGTAAAGGGAAGTATATGGCAGTGAAGACAGATATGAGCAAGGCTTATGATCGGGTTGAATGGCCTTTCATAGAGCTTTGATGCGGAAAATGGGATTTGCTGAGAAGTGGATCACATGGATGATGAGGTGCATCACCTCGGTAAAATATAAAGTTTGATTAATGGAAACCCGCGGGGCCATATATCACCACACAGGGGACTTAGACAAGGGGATCCACTGTCCCCTTACCTGTTTATCCTTTGTACGGAGATTCTGATCACAAATCTTAAGAAAGCAGAGGATTTAAGGAAATTACAGGGCTTAAAGTGGCTCGGGCAAGTCCAGCGATTTCTCACCTTTTATTTGCAGATGACAGTCTTTTCTTCTGCAAGGCCACTGCTGATGAGAGTCGGGTCTTGCTGAGACTGTTGAAGGAGTATGAGGGAGCTTCTGGGCAACAAATTAATTTTGCTAAGTCCTCGATACAGTTCGGACATACGGTGGATGCAGGGGTAAAGGAGGAAATTCACCAGATTCTGGGGATTGAGAAAATTGGGGGATGGGGACATATCTAGGTATACCAGAGAGTTTAGGGGGCTAAGACAAAAATTTCAGTTTTCTTATAGACAGACAGCAAAAGAAGATAAATGGATGGAACTCAAAATGGTTGTCCAAGGGGGCAAGGAGGTTCTTATAAAATCGGTGGTCTCGACAATGCCTATGCATGTGATGTCCTGCTTTCGATTGCCTAAAGGAGTTACTAATAAGTTATCTAGTGTGGTATCAAATTTTGGTGGAGTACAATGGGCAAACGAGAGGGATGCATTGGTTGGCTTGGAAAAAACTCTGTCGTCATAAGAGCGACGGAGGCTTGGGTTTTAGGGTTCTTGAGGATTTTAACAGTTTTGTTGGCAAAACAACTTGGGTCTGATGGATAATCCAGAATCGCTTTTTTCACGGGTCTTTAAAGGACGTTATTACCGGAATGGTACTCCTTTGGACCCCATCAAATCCTACTCTCCTTCCTATGGGTGGCAGAGTATTGTATCGGCTCGACCTCTGGTTAACAAAGGGCTTATCAAAAGAGTTGGTTCGGGATCGTCTACCTCAGTTTGGGATGATCCTTGGATTCCAGCATCTCGCCGAGGTCAGCAAAAGGAAACGATACATTTTTACCCGCACCTTCGCGTGCGGGATATTATGACACCCGAAAAATCAACGTGGAATCTTCCACTATTAAAACAACTTTTTGACGGATCGGATGTATCCCTTATAATGGGGATTCCAACCTCACAGCGGGATACACCGGACTCGTGGGGATGGTTCTATACGAAGACAGGGCGATACACAGCCAAATCAGGGTATATGATTGCCCAAGAAGATATGGATGGTGACAATATGGTACAGTTTGGTCCAGACGTGCGTCGTCTTCAGGCACAAGCATGGAAAGTTCCTTGCACCCAAAAACTTCAACATTTCCTATGGCAAATCTTAACGGGGTGTATATCGGTGGGAGCATGTTTAAGGAGTCGTGGTATACAGACAGATCCACAATGTATGCGCTGTGGTATGGCGGCAGAAACGATTAATCATATGGTTTTGAATGTCCTCCGGCCTTACAGGTTTGGGCTTTATCCCCAATCCCAACAGCTGTCAACCGGTTTCCAACAGAAGGTCTCTTCACGAATATGGCACACCTATTCTGGAATTTACCGGACGATGATAGGAGGAAGATGTATCCTTGGTTAATTTGGTTCATATGGAAAGCCGCAATGATAAGGTTTTCTCTAACGGGGATTGGGACCCATATGAGATCATCAATCATGCGGCGGCAGAGGCATCGGCATGGGCGCTAGCTCAGACACGTCAGGGCGTCGTAGGGCTGCCTTCGGCGAATACGGTGAACTCAGGTTTTCGGGGGATCGATGCCAGGTAGATGGTGCATGGAAAGAAACAGACCCTCGAGCGGGATTAGGATGGTACAATTTCAATATGGAGACAGGGGAAGTACTCTTGGGAACTTGTAATCTGTGGAGGGGAGTTTCTTCTCTTCCAACAGAGGTGGAGGCTCTGCTATGGGCAATGCAATGTATGTTACGTCACAACAAGCTTGTAATGGTATTTGAAACAGATTGCTCCGACGTGGTACAGATGGTTTCTAAACCAGAGGAGTGGCCAGTTTTTGCGGTACTTTTAGAGGAAATAGATACTTGCAGAAGACGTTTTTCTTCGTTTTCCATCACGCAGGTGCCACGAACAAACAACATGAAGGCAGACAAGTTAGCACAGAGTGCTCGAGCTTTACCTACTAGTGTGTATTATGTAAACTCTGTTCTTCCAACTTGGATTTCCGAGTTATAGAAACAGAGGCTGTCGAAAAAAAGAAAAAAAAAAAAAAAAAAAAAAAAACTAAAAACTGATACAAAATTAGGATCACACGATACAAATACTAACATCAATTACGGCTAAATGATACAAATACTAACATCACTTATGGCTAAATGATACTACTAACGACATCAGTTATAAGAACTATACTAATTTTCCCATCATTTACTCTAAATGAAATAAAGATTAATATTTTTTATTTTGAATGATGCTATTTCCACCATAACACATATTTACATCAATTATAATAAATGATAAAAATAGTTGCATCATTCGCTAATTATTGACACAAATATTAGAGTCACCATTCCAAAGTCATTTATACAAATGATGAAAATTCATTTATATCGAAGAAATGATAGAAACAACAAAAATAAAGAATACAACACACACGATTTCTTGTATTGTTAATCTGGCAAGCTACTGAGGGACATGTAGAAGTCAGATTCAGTGACTGAAACGACGATGAAACTTGGTAGCACAGAACGGGAAAAGAGTCTTACGGCATTTGGTCTGCGCAGAGAATTGTTATGATCGCGAGAAGCCATCTTCCAGAAACAGCTTATAAATTCCTACAAGGTGGGTTTAAGGCGGAGAATAGAAACGGCGATAACGATAAGGAGATGAGATGAGAACTCCAATCGTCGGTCAGAACTTGCGGACGTAAAGGAAGGAGACTAAGCGTTTTTTTTTTCTTTTTTTGTTGGACACGTGGCACCCTCTTAAGAAATGAAATGCTAAAGTGGCAAGTTGTGGTTCAGGGACCGGCTCTAGACCAAGCCCAATGAAACATTTGTATTGGCCCCTAAAATTTACAGGCTCGTTTAATTTTTTTTTATATACATATTCTTACTATATACGTATTGCCTATAGAAATTTGAATATTTCTCCTACTAGTGAAGAAGATTGCATGCTTGCCGGAAAGCACGGACGAGCCACATGCAGGGAAACTTGCACGTGTGGTTCAAAGCAAGGAGATTACCTGTCCTGCTCTGTGCTAGCACGAACCTACTTGCCTCTTTATTAGGTTGGGCGCTTTAACCATTCAGCCATGGATGCAAGCGAGTGAATATATTAAATGGGTCAGCAAGTACAATAAAAGCTATCAATTTTTTTTGAAAAATAGATAAATTGGTCCAATCAATTTAAAAATGAAACATTAGAAAACAAAAAAAAAAAACCCTTTTTATAAGGTCACATTTTTTTTTTTCGTCTCTTATTTTCTCTTAAGTGTTAAGCTTCTCTGTTCTTCTCCTTCCTCACACAAAAGCTTGACTATCAATTTTTGATGAACGATTATGCAGGAAAGAACGCAAGAAGACTTGTTTTTCAGTAACCATAGTTTATTATTAGTGTTTCATTAGAAGTTTCAATAGTAGTTTGAAAACTTGTGTTCCTCAGTAGTTTGCCGCTGGATGATTTGATTTTTTTTTTCATGGATTTTGGTTTATTGAATTTTTTCCCGTTTTCTAGTTTGTTTCAAGCCCCTAAATTCTCAGGCCAGCTCTGTGTGGGACAAAGTTATTCATCTAGATTCCAGTTAAACACAACAATTTGCACCATTTTGTTTTTAGCACATAATCAAAAGTTTGATTTTTGTTTAGCATTTTACCAATTAAAATATATTTTTTTTTTCTTTTTTACCAATTAAAATATTTTTCAACACATGCATATGGACAAAAACATCTCTAGATTCAGCACGGCACAAGTCCCCACATCTAGAATCGGGCTTTTGGTCTTACATGCATATGTTGGGATACTTATCGAATTCGTAGGAATGAATTGTGTGTCATCTCTTTTTTTTAGGTATGTATCTCTAAGATCCAAGTATCCAAATTTAGCATCGAGCCTTTGGGCTTACAGGCGTATGAGATCTAGCACAAAGGCAACTTAGCTTTGAGAAATGAAGGAATGACAGTGTGGCCACACTGCCAGGAACCCAGATTCTGGATCAGCTTATGGTCAATAAAAAGAGAGGGTCGTCTTTCTTGCTTTTAGTGACAGTCACTAAGGATGCTTAACGAAAATATGAAGTAGTGACCCACACAAGGTACAAGACAAAGACAAGGAAGTAATTAACAGCCATATAACCACGACAACCTAGTGGTTCCCAATATCAAAAGAACCAGGCCATATACGCATTCTATGTGCGCAGGATTATTCAACTTTATATTATGTAGTTTTCCACCAATTCGACAGTAGGAAAATATTTAAACCAGAACCCATACACCTTCTGATATGCATCTGATGCGGTGATACTGAATGTGGCAGCTTAAAGTGGCAACACAATAATAGGGAAGAACGACACTATGAAAGGAGAACCAAAACACGCTAAAACTGTCGGTTGGGACGAAACCAATATTACATAATATGATTCTGGGCTTGAGGAATATACGGGGTTCGACTAAGAACTTCCTGGTAATTCAGAAAAAAAAGGAAAAAATATCTTTTTGTTTTACTTATTTTACACGAGTAAAATTCACATTAACCAATATTGATGCAAAAAGGCCTTCACGCATATTTTCACTCATGGTTCACTATGGAAATGAAATCTTGTTAATCTCTCATCAGAAACAACAAAACATGATAAAAAAAAAACGTTCTTCTCTTTTACCGGTGAAGTTGAAAGCATTGAATTTAAGGGTTAGTCACTGATAATAGCCTTTATGGGGAAAATTAGTTTAATAGGTCACATTTTTTGTTGTGTTGTGGAACTAACCTTTTTTTATTTAACTTGGGTATTTAGATTTTATTTTAATATATAATATATATAAAAAATGAAAAATGAATAATCAGTTTAAATTTATTATTTTGCATCATTTTAATTTGAGTTTGGCTTTGAACTGTCTGCATCATTTCCAGACTTCTCATTGTGTCCAACTTCATCATCATCGTGATCACGTTGAAAACCATCACTCCGTTTTCTCTTACTCGCACATAGGCAAACTACTAATGAAATCATTATTTTAATAAACTGGAAAATTAAAATTGAAGAAGCATATATATATTATAGTTTTCAACACATGCATATGTTCCAACAAAATAAAGAGAAATGTATTAATCCTCTTAAAAAAAACATTGCAATTAATTCATAGTAGCAAATGTTTGTTATCTTTGTTTTTACCCACCAACAGCTATAGTGGCTCCAACAGCAATATCAATAATCTTCTCCATCATCAATGTCATATTCACCATATTCTTGGAAGCCATGTCTCCATTTTTCCCGACCAGATTCTTAACTATCGCCGTGTTGTCCGTACAGATCATGGCTTCATATTTTGAAACGTCTGGTGACTTTTGGAGATCCCTGATAGCGTTATTGAAATGCTCTATAATGGTCACAAAGGCATCTTGACACCCTGCAAACTGCTTCTTCAAGTTTGGATTCTCTTTTGCCGCTTTTGCTGCGAAACTGGCAGATATTTGAGCTTGTGATATGCTGAATCTGAGCACGGCCTGGGCCGCTTGGAACTACATATTGAAAAAAAATTTGATGTCTATATATGATTGAGAATGACGAATGAATATAATTGCAGTTACAAAAATAGTTTGGAAGTACCGTGGTGGAGGCAGAAACAACCGGAGGATATGCGCTCAAAGTTTTGACGCAAAAGGCTGGGTACATGACTTTTTGGCATATGGAGTCGATGGATTTTGTTGAAGCAGAGACAAATAGAAATTGTAATGGAACTGCCAAAGTAACAATGACAAAACAGTTTGGGGAAGAAGCCATCCTACCTTGGTGAGAATTCAGATTTTGGTATTGTCTCGTTCTTTTTAGTTGTGGTTATATATAGTTAATTCTCTTAAAATTGGTCAATGTGGTATCATTTAGTTTCCTTTACTCATATGCTTTAATATTAGTCAATGTTTCAGAATTTAATTTTAATTCATATTCTCTTTGTAGTCTCCTTTCTCTATATGGAAACTACATTATGGATGGCTATGAAGTATGAACCATTTACTATATATATTTTTTTTTAAGCAGAAAATGTGGGACCCATTTTTGTGTGTGAAAAACGGTCTAAGATTTTAGATTTGTTAATCTATCTTCAAAAAGGCAGAGAAATAAAATCTTGGATAACTAGCTACACCTATTTCAATGTCATTATTCCTGTAATTATAATAATTCCATTTAAAAAACACCATTTGCATCATTTTGTTTTTGGCACAGAATCAAAAGTTTGGTTTTTGTTTAGCATTTTGCCAATTAAAAGATTTTTTCAACACATGCATATGTTCCAGCGAAAAAAGAGTAATCTATTTAACCACTTAAAAACAAAAATATTGCATGCCCTAGTAGCAAATGATAGTATAAATATCATTTCTCACTTAGACCTCAATTTCTCATTTCAAACCAACTTCATTTTTGACATATAAATATACTATCAAAAATGAGTTCCAACAATCCCCCACATGAATAGAAATGACTCTAGACACTGGACGACTCAACTCTAGACTTGACTCTCTAGACAAGACTCAAAAACGACTTTTGAGAGTACAAGCGAAAAATCCACTGTATATGAGTTGGTAGCATTTTTCAGCCTTGAACCAAATCACTGTATAAACTATCGGATTTACTCGACCAAGAGGTGAACATGATGTCTTGAACCTCTCGGGCTTTGATGTAAACCGAGACAATAGCTATAACACAGCTTCATTCTCTCACAGAATCAGGTTCTCTATTGTGTTCATTTTGGCCGTGAACTTGCCTGGATAATCATGAGTGAACTTGGAGAATATAGCCTTTCATTTATTCTCCTAGAAACGGCCCCATTTCACACTCACAAGGTGATTCGCCATTAACTTTGTTTAAAGGAGTATCCTGCATTACTCCATGTATATTTCAAAGTTATGGACCCAAATCATTAAAAGCAAAAGCTTATCCTCTACACCATACAGGTAGCACTGTTCATCATCCTAGGAACTGGGTAGAGACATGAGTCTCCCAGTGCTAGTTGATTCAGTTTGACTTAGTTTTCCCCTTGAACCTATTTCATGGGATCTCCAATCAGTTAGGTAGGGTTACCATCAAACTCCTCTTAAGTCATAGGCTTTAAACCCATTCCTCTTGATGATTTTACAATTTGATCTCATGACACACCTTTAATTGGATCCTAGGTTGTCATTCAAGTAGATATAATCTATTAAGATTACTCCATTTGAGATCAATTGTTTAACAATTTTAGGAGTGGCATTGCAACTTTTGCTATGCACCCCCACACTTTTAGGTATTTGTACAAATGTACTTTACCTTTTCAAAGTTCATATGACATTTTGTCAATGACTTTATGTGGTAACAATGCTTTTCCCCCACATTTCTTGAGATAACTCAAAACATGCCACTTAGCAATAATCATCTTTGTAAGAGTTCATAATTTTGATTCAGCAACTCTATAAGATTTAAGTGAACAACGAGCAGTCTTCCAAAGAATAAATGTATTCTCAAAAGAACACATTTAATTCTCATCAAACTCGCATTTTTCTCCACATAAAACTATTTTTCATCGTTTTTTTCCGAGTTGGATTTTAATTTCCATCTTCTATGCTTTGTACTTTTTTTTTCAAAGTCACATATTTGCTTCTTAGCAAATATACACTTCCATCAAAATAGATAGAGTGGTGGCACATGCGAACTTTATCCAACATTGCATACATCAAGATTCAATATTGAACTAAGTTCAAATGCTTAGTATTCTCAAGAGAAAAACATATACTATTCTCCTTGAGTTACTGTTCTTGTCTTGTATTAGTTTATATGCTTAGAGTACAAGGTACTGACATAACAATCTGATAATCATCAGAATATGGTACAATCATGTGTGGAAGACCACTACCAAACTGAATTTGGTGTGTCGACTCACTAGATTTGTAACCATAAAACCTCAACTTCAACTTGGTATAAATAAGATTTGGATATTCCAATAAATATCAGAATTCCAGTCCACATAGCAAACACAGTTTAAGGTGGCAGACCAATCCCAAATTTGGGTTGTCAACTCACCAAACTTGATATTCCAATAAATATCAGAATTCCAATCCACATAGCAAACACAGTTTAAGGTGGCAGACCAATCCCAAATTTGGGTTGTCAACTCACCAAACTTGTTGCCATCGAAAAAATATTTTAACATTTTCATGTTAATTTTTTTTTCTCCCATCAGATTCGCATACTAGCAAGTAGCAAACCTGAACAATATACCAAAATATTAGAAGTTCAAATGAATATACAAATTCAGAAATTAATACTCTAATTTCAATGCAACGATACGATAATGCATGCTACGTACTTAGCGAGTACATGCAAAACAACCCAAAAAAAATTTCTAGAAAAAAAAAAGACAACAACAAATATGCTTATTATAATATCACCAGTTCTGGGAAAACAATAAATTATGCCAACATAAAGCTTGCAACCAGATTTCATAGGGTTCAGGTTTAAAGTTCTACAAATGAGCAAAGAAATTCTTAAACAAAGTCAATACAAGACTTTGCCGAATAACTAACAACAATCATAGTCAAATAACCAGAATTAAACCAGAACTTTAACCGGGTGAACTAAGACAAACAATAATCAAGACTTTCCAATAGACCATTACTACGGAAGTTGAAGATGACTGTAGATAACAATTAACAAAAGAAAGACACTGCTAAATAGTCGAACAAACAACTCATTTCACAGAAATTAAAGCAAATTTCAGAAAACATTAGACCGAATATCTCAACATACTGCAGAAAAATTAACAGAGATAATCCAAAATCTCCTGCAAAACAAAAGACCTTAAGTGCAACGTGTAAAACTAGATGCAACTCGGTTAACTTGCGGAAAAACAGTCCTAATCGCAGAATGAACTCCTGTAACCGTTCAATCAAACAAACATGAACACCTGCTCTTAAAAAAAACTTAAATAGATATCAGTAACGTTAGTGCAAACTAATAGCAAAAACGGATTTGAAATATTTAAGATTGAAGTCCAATAAGCATAAAAGACTATCACTTTTCATGTTCTTATCAAAAACTTCACAATTAATCAGTTTTCGTTAGTGCAATAAACAAAAACGAAAATTTACAGAATTAAGATTGTAGAAACGCAATTTCTATAATGGGTGACTGATTATTGTAAAGTATTAATATGAACAAATTAATATAACATAATATTAAAATGATACAAGATAAACAAGAATTAAGGGAAACAAAACCGGATTTGCAAGAGTCAAGATATGATATCTTTCCTTAATTCTGTAAACGCCCTGTAGTGTGACGGTTGCATGGCATTCCGAATCTCAGGATAAAACTGCACATTTCTTATGTTTGCATCACCCAAATCATAAGCTCACGAACCATGTTTTATGTGATGTACTTTCATAAGAAAAACAAAATAAAAAGAAGAGAAGTAAGTGATTGTTTTTTTTTCTTGTTGCTGTTTGATCACTTGTTTAATAATCATGTTGGCAAGAGAATGAGAGACATGCTTTATATAGCCTTATGCACAACATATTCCAACTAATAATGTGGAATTGAAAATTTATTCTCACCATAATGATTCAACATGCAATTAGTTTTATAAGTTATAAAAATCACAATTGATTTTCTCACTTAATTGCTATGTTACCAATATTAATGAAAAGAGATATTTTTGTTGACTATTTTTCAACAACAAAATTTAATGATCAAAAGAATAATCTTAAAGACCGTTGGCCAGTTTGCCAAATCCCGAGGCCCGAAAACAAGTTCAGCCCGGATATCTCTTTTCTCCACTTTATATTCAAGAGGATTTCACCTCAAACTTCTAATATGGGACATTTCATAAATGTTATATTTTATAAACCCACTTAGACCTCCATTTCTCATTCAAACCAACTTCATTTTTGACATATAAATATACTATCAACCAACAGCTGCTTAATTGGACCGAATAATAAAAAAATAAAACATATGTTTAGGACTGAGAATGAGACATGAACATCATTGCAGTTACTTCAAAATACAAACTATTACTGACTTCCATATGATCAAAACATTACGCATTTGGTGTCACAATATGAAGATAATAAGACATGCATGAATATATTCTTCGTCCGACACTACGAAGGACCCAAAATTTCTTTCTTCTTGGGCTTATTTTCTTTTGCCACATTAATTCCCTAGCCCAAGCCCATCTCCTCCTCCAAAAGTTTGGTCGTGTGAATGCATGTGTATATCTCCTTGTCGAGAATTCCCTAAGGGCCATCGTCGTCATAATTAGCCAAGCCACCACTGTCTTCTTAGTACATCAAGCCGAGAGGAGGAGCTACTGGAGTCTCGAATCACCGTATCTCATCACCATCTTTTATCAACGCCGGAGAGCCGCAACATCACTGGAGACAAAGCCATCTTCACCGAGATGGGTCACCAGTCACCACCCACCAAACCAAGCGGAGAAGGAAAAGCAAGACCCTAAGTCCCTAACCGTTTCTTGCGCATAGTCACCAAATCTGATCCGTTTTCTCCAATCTCACCGTCACTAGTCACACATGTTGTACAAAAGTTTGGTTTTTGAATAAATTTTACATTATATGCAAGAGAAAAATATGAGAACTACCAAGGTTTTGAAAATATAGTACAGAAACGAACAAATTGAACACGTTATAAATTCATAACTTAGTAACAATAAATATACATCCACATATAGTGATATAGATGTTTAAACATCTTTCTCCAAAAGAAAAGAAAAAAGTTTAAATATCTGCAGAGGAAACTCTTGAATTAGTTTGGAAGGTCTTCTTGGGTTTCTTCATTTCCCCGATTTTAATCTTCTCTCCAACCTTGTCCTTCTGTTCTTCTGCTGCCGCCGCCGCAAGCTTCTTCTTCATCTTTTCCTTATAAATCTTTCTCATCGCGTAAACCTCTGCGAAACCCACTGTTCCCGATCCACCAACACCGTACATCTTCAGAAACAATTATATATCTACGAATCAATACGAAAGAACTAAACTGGTTGTTATGAAATGAGAATGAGATATTAAGGAGAAACGTCATGTGTATTTATAGGGTTGTAGAGGGAGGGTAGGTACATGGAACTTTCTTTGGCGGCCAATTTTGATTTTTTTTTCTTTTTTTGTTGGTTTCTCATTTGGGAAATATAGATAACGTAGAAAATGGGATAAAGTAAAGTATTTTTGCTTGGAGACCAAGGGATAGATTCGGTACCATACAAGCGACAGAAGCAATCCCCATCATCGAAAAACACTACTGACACTCTTACATTTAAGAGAGTCAACTGCGATTCGATGCAATGTCAATTTTTTTTTTCTTTTTTAATAATCAAAGTGATCCGACCTGTTAGACAACCTCGATTGCATAATTGTTTTAAAAGACACTCACAAAATAGCAAAATAGGGTAAATTGCATTGTAAAATAGTTAAGTAGATTGAATTAAGCTCTATTTTTAAATATTTTACTAGATTGTATCACTCTTAAATCGATTATTTTTATATAAGTGGATTTCAGAAAAAAAAAAAAAAAACGGTCAACTTTGACATCCACTCATGCTGGTTTATTTTTGTTTTTGGTAACAACGTTGACTATTGTTTTCTCTAGTATCTTGAATCATGTCATGCATGACGATAAAAATGAACGTCAATCTTTTGAGAAATTCGATATTTATATAAACAAAATATATCAGTCGAGAGAATTTAATATACTATTATAATATAAATTAAAGTGTATTATTGTCCGAAAAGTGGGTTTTAGTTTTGACACATTTCATTTGTATCTATTGAGCATTTGAGCTTACTTTTAACCGTATATTTAAATATCACTATTAAGTAGATTACAAAAATAGTTAAGGTCACTAATTTATAATTGGAAGGGGGATACTTTAGGTTTAGGTTTTAAATGATACTAAAATAATACTTAATGTTCTCTAATAAGTGTCTTTTTAGTATTTTTTTTTCTTACAAATAAGTGGATTTCTCACAAATCAATGCAAAAGTTAATGTATTTTTGTTATTTTGACTATTTAAATTTTGCAGATTATTTTTTTAACGGTTGAGATTGAATTGTATCTGGAGTTTATGATAAAACATGTTCTATTTTAAAAACTTAAAAATTAATAACTTTTTAGTCTGTGTGCATAACGAGAAAAGAACACTTATTGGAAAACAAAGGGAACACAAATTTATGGTTTTTTTTATTTTGTTTTAATTGTAAGAGTGGAACACTGTTATTAATACATCAATAAATACATCTTATTTTAAGAAAATTTATTTCACATACTTATGTCATGCATGACATATGTCAAAATCAACTCTTTATAGGATTTTTGTGGAACACTTTTTCAGGAAATTATAGATACAAAGTTTATATAGCCTTCTATACAAACTAGTCCGAAATTTGTTATTATATACCTTCTCTACAAAACTAGAATTTTTCTTACCAAGAGCTATTCGTTAATTAATTTTTTTTTTATGTAAAATATTGGTAGGTGATAAGTATTATATTGATTAATTTGACTATTTCGAATAAATTTTGATAAAATTTAACATTTGGCACCTCTGTCCCCCCCCTACCCACCAATTGAAGATATCTTAAATATAATTAGGGAGTTGCTCTCTCCATTTGAGAGTGTCCACATCAGCACAAAAACATTAAATTGTATTTAAAATATTTAATAAATATATGACTATTCATATTTCTTTACATTTATTCATATTTAATAAAAATATACAAATAAATTGATTAATTAATAGAAAGTATGTGATAATTTGATGTTAAAAGTTATCAAAAAGTTGGAATATAAAATAGAGATGGAGTAAAGAAATATTCAACTTCAAATAGTATATATTTACTTTATTATTCAAAGGATTTATCCTACTTTAAAAATGTTAGAATGTGTTTACAAGTTAAAAAGTTGAATATAAATTAATTAAGACAATAGAAAGCTAATGAAACATTAGAGTTAGAGTTTGTTTTTCTAAACAAATAGAAATAGAGTTTTATATGTAAATTTAATTGTAGTGAAAAACAAGAATATGTTTACAAATTTTAACCTTCAGTCAAATGCATATACATATTTATAAATTTTAACCTTCAATCAAATACATATACATGTTTACCGTCTAATAGAAGTAAACATAATATTTATAACATGATAAAATTTTAGAAATAGAAAACTCGAGATAAAGCAGAGTGTTAATATCCTAATAAATTAAAATAAAAACAAATTATTCATATTTTTTAGTGTTAGTGGTTGAGTTAACTCAAAACATAACAAAAACATGAAAGTTAACACAAAACCATCATAATTCAAATCAACGAGTATAAATAAAATTAAACAGAAAAACTATCGTAAACAACCCCGCGCTTGCGCGGGGCTTCAAATCTAGTTACCTAATAATACATCAGTAAATATATCTATTTTAAGAAAATTTATTTTACATGCTTATGTCATGCATGACGATATGTCCAAATCAACTCTTTTTATGATTTTTGTGGAACTATGGTGTGTTTTTGTTTTATATTGATAAACAGAAGTTGATTCGGACTTTTAACATCCGGCCAATCTTACTATGGTGTGTATACTAGTCGAGTAGTCTGTTCACCAAAAAATTTTGTTTATGTAAAGCTTAATACATTAATACTATTGCGACTGACCAAATGAAATATGGACAGATAATTCCACGTTTGAGAGAGAGGTATATAATGTGTTTTGGACACGCATATATGCAACACAAAAACGTATTTAAACAACTGGTTTAAGGTTAGCAAAAACTTTTACCAAACAATTTACTATTTTATTCACATTTTCCTTTTCAACCTCAATGGAGTAACTTGGAATCTTCTTTATCAAACAGTTGTGAGACAACCATCAATATATGCTTCTTATGCAAAGAAATTGAACATTTTCATGTTGAAAAACAAAGAAAAAATATGAAAATGCCACAATAAAGATTTTCATGTTTCATGTTTTCCTTTTTTTGTATTTTTCAATGCCACAATAAAGTTTTCTTACACGAATTAAATGCTCCATCATTTGAACCAAGTCATATAGTTTTGTTTTAAAGACTAAAGATAATGATATAAGATTATGAAGCACAGCTAAAAATAAAGCTGCATAAGTCCCAAGGTTGCTTGAATCCATCGGGACTCATAAGTCTTTTTAGTTGTTAATTCCCCAGTCATATTGTTGGTAAACAACTCTAAACTGAGTATCAACTAGCAAATCCAGCAAAGCTTCTGAAAGTTCTGGCTCTAAGTACGTTGATGCATGCTTCAGTACCTCTTCTTGGCCTTTTCCAAAATCCACCCCATACCTGCGCAAGATACAAGTTTAAGAAAGTGAAATCACATAACTTTTGAAATCTTTTGGACTAAATGAGATATATATGTTTGCGCAATTACCAATTAAAGATCTTGCTAATGTATGCAACCTTGGAATTGAGATCAACTACAAGTCCACCTCCTCTTACAAAATCACGAGCTGCCTCCATAAGTTCTTTATCGATATCTCCGGGCGAAAAACATCGAAGAGGTGGTCCAGACCGAGTACCACAAACCAGAGCAAAATGAGTCAAAGGCTCTACATAAGGCAGAGCAACCTGAACACAAAAGAGTATAAAGAATCAGCATGAGACTTTGTATCAACACTCAAGCTAAGCTTATTTCAACAGCCTTTTTTTCTCTTTTTATTACCTTGGAACGTTTATCCTTTGCACCAAAAGGTTTCATAAGATTGTAAGGTGGTCGCTGGTTACCCCTTATAATACCATTTTGGATAGCCGAGAGCGAATAAGTGTAGCCACCAATAACATATTTGAACTCCCCAAACATCTTTGTTCTTTCAAGTGGTCCTATTGGATGTCCCCATACTAGTATTGCATGTATAGCCATCATGTTATAAAGGTTCACGAAGAAGGCGAGCTTTTCCTCTCTCTTCATATCTTCAACCTCTACTCTATGCAGCTCCTGGATTATTCGCAAGTACCTTGGCAAATGAAAATGATACAAGGGTCACAAACAAGCAACAATGGTAAATGAAAGATGGTTATATATACATACCTTGCAAATTCTTCACTTCCATGGATGCTTCTATAGTCCACATGTCTTCCATCTTGAGAAGTGTAAGCTTCAAGGATAGCTAGACACAGAAGTCTAAGTCTAGATGCAATTTCGACGGTTGGCCTTGGCTTCAACTCAATTATTCCTCTAGGGATGTTGTGGCATTGTGTAGACACAATAGGATCATCATCAAGAAACCGGTACAAGTGATTCCCATCTTCAAACAGATTCTCACTACTTTGAAAGCATCAGAAAAGTATACAAAATGAGAAACATGCAGGAAGCAAAAATGAAAGAAGAAAACCTCAAAAACATAGGCGTGGAGGCAAAACAAATCTCACTCTAGGACATGTTGAAAGAAGTGTTGGCTTGCAAGCTTCCGAGCAACTTCAACCGCCTAATTTAACAAAACATTGCATTATAACCAAACCATGTATATAATTTACTCTTAAGAACCCTAAAAATGATCGTATTACATTTTCTCATACCTCTTCTCTTGCTAGACATTGATCCGTGGATAAGAAGTCAACAGCTTCTGAACCTAAGAAACAGTTTTTAAACCTTCTCAGCTTATAAAACCGATCTTTAACGATGCATGGCTTCATCTTCAGCACTATCAAAGCTAGTTCATCTACAGGACCTTTGCTTGAAGCATCATCTTCCCCTGAAAACGGTGGCAGAGGAGCTTCCCTAGGCGGTGCTTCCTCTACCAAATGTTGAATCTTCTCATCAAGCTCTCCTGATTCATCCAACTCCTTAAGCTCCTTCAAACTCCCAACTAACTCTTCATTGAAGAAAACCTTAGGAACATCTGAAGAAGAAGATCCGCTGATTCTTTCCAACTCCAGCTTTCTTGATGGATACACATCAATGTTTATCTCAACATATCTTAGCCTCTTCTCATGTAAAAAAACCCTACATTCTCTACACTCTTCACATCCTAGTCTTGTGTAAAGTATAATCCTACCTTTCATCACTACAGGCTCCAATGCTTCCTCGATCTTCGTCACCGTTACTTTATCGTCGTCATCGTTCTGCATCATCTTCAGATAGCTTAAAGGGTTCCATAAGGATGATGATGATGACTTTGATCCCTCTGGTTTAAGAGGTTCCACTGTTTTGTTTTCCTTAGACTCATCATCTCTTATCTCTTTCACATCGTTTTGAGTTACATTTTCATCGTTCATTTTCCCGGAGACACGGCGCATAAATGTATGCACCGCGACTTCACTCTTCACTCTAACGAAGTTCTTGATCGCAGCTGCTTTCTCTGTCCATGCAGAACTCGATGAGTTTGAATCCAGCGAGTCAGGTTTCGGCTTCTTCTCCTTATCATCATCATCATCCATTGTTTCTTCTTCTTTAGCTATCTCTGTTTCATCATCATTGTCTTCTGACTCACCGGAGCTCTCACTATCCTCCTCCTCCTCCTCCTCATATTGTTGTGCCTCAGAGTCATCTTCGTGGATGTCTATAGACTCCATCTCCTCGATCATTTCCTCCATTTCAACAATGGGTTTATGAGAAAACTGATCACCTATCATCTCAACAGAAGATTTCGAATTTTTAACCTCTTCCTCATTGTTCTCAGAAGCAATTACAACATTGTGTTTAGGAGGAGAAACTTCCTTGGCTATGATCTCAGCAGATTTCATCTCTTCCAATGCTTCATCTTTGTTCTTCGAAGCGATCACCGAAATATCTTTAGGAGAATTTTCCATATCCATCAACGAGGCTTATTCCAAAAACAAAATCTGATTCCTGTTAAAAATAAAACAAAACCACAATCGAAACCTCAAAACGTGTTCCCAAAATAGCGGTCTGAATGAATATACGAATCAGTATTAAACGAGAAATTCCAGGAACTCAACCAAAACAAACGATCAATGTATTGAGAAACTTACAGATCTGGAGAGAATCGGGATTCGCAGAAATATAACAAAAATATGAGAGAGAGGGAGAATTTAATGTAAATTTCTGGTAAAGAAAAAATATGATAATTTGATGTTTAGATCGAAATCGGAATTGGAAGAAGAAGAAGAAGAAGAGGGAGAGCGATTTTCAGACAGAGGCAAGAGAGAAGCAGACGAGCGGGAGAAGCGGGAATCTCAATGGGGGTAGATTTGTAATAATTGGAATATTTGAGTTTTCTCTTCTTCTTCTTAATTGCTCAATTTTTTTATACGAACTTCTCCTCATATATATATATATATACACTGAACTGAAACTATGATAAACTGATCATAATGACAAATTGACAAGTAACATATCTTTTTGCTAATAATAACATTTTTTAGTAAGGAATCTATATATTATTTTATTATTTAGATTACAGTTATATTTATTGCTATATATCATTATGAGTGTGTTAAGTATATTAATTGATTTTTGATTTTGAAAAAAAAAAGTAATAATTAATAAAACTTTATACTTTGGAAATATATTCTTTTGCGAGATAAATAAAATCATGAAAAAGTAATTGTCTAGTCTCCTCAATTTTAACTTCTAAATATTTTGCAAAAAAAGTTAAAGTTATTTCCGGGTATCACTTTTGGTGAAAGAAATCTAGGCTCATTTCACACATGGACACTATTTTATGGGAAACTTCAATTGCATGAAAACTTATACTCAATATAATAGCACTTGTTTTTTTTATTTATTATTCTTCCGGTGTTCTCAAGGGCAAGATGACTTTGACGGCAAAAGACAGGATGAAGCTCCAAATTCCCGACGGCTCTGTGATCGAGAACAAGACACCGAAAGATAGAAATGAGGTTGTTCCTTTCAATTTGCAAAGGGAGATACTTGTTCGACTGCCTCATAGATCGTTAGTGATAGTGAGATTCTATTGTGTCTGTAAGAATTGGGATTTGGAAGTTCATGAGAAAGACTTTATAGATTTTTACTATCTCGGGTCAATGAGAACACCTCGACTGTTGTTGAGTATAACACCCCCAACCAGTGATGGAGCTAGAGAGACGGAGCTAGAGAGGTGGCAGGTGGGTCAGCTGACGTGAAATAGGATAAATAAATTTTAATGTAGCTAATTTTTATTAGAACTAGCAGCTCAATTGTTATATTTGTGGGCAATGACCCACATGAACTCAAGTTCGAACCTCTAGTGACCCCTTTCATAAAACTTTTCTCATATATTTAAGTCTTTTTATAACAATTTTTTTGTTATGACCCTTGTAAAAAAAATCCTAGCTCCGCCACTGCCCCCAACATGAAGGCTTTATAGATTTCGTCATTGAGTCTGTTTATCAAGAAGATGAGCATTTGTTATCCTTTGGTCAACGTCAAATACGTTTTACTAGTATTACTTTATGTTCTCTGTCCATCCGAGGGTCATCTTTTTTTTTTAATTCTGTTCGGCAATCCAGGTTTGAACAAATTTTTCACGTTACCCAAAATTCCATCCAGTCAAATAAAGGAGACATTTGTTCAATTTGGATACAATGAACATAACAACGAAATCAAATTGTTACTCTCAAGGTCGTCACAAGGAGCATCATGTTTTGACAATTGGAGAAGTAGATTGGAGACTTCTGGAATGCCGTTATATTAGGGTACATATGCATTGTGTGGTAGAGGAGTGGTATATTTCGGAGCTAAGAGATTTCCCGATATGGAAACAGTTTTAATGAGTTTCGATGTGGGATCCGAAAAGTTCAGCATTATTCAACCACCACAAGAAACTGACATTGTTATTATTTTTATTGTGTTTTCTCAAATACACAATTGAATAACATTTGATTTCATTTTCACTAAAAATACACACTGGAATACAATATCCAATAACACCTCATAAAACATCTTTAAACATAGTTTAACTTTGATCAATGATTACAATGGACTGTTTCGGCAGTAAACAAGTAAAAATGCTATGGGAAAGTGACTATGCTGATTTCCAAAAATCGGTGGTACTATTTGGTCAACTGTAGTTTGATGGAGGAATCCACACAATTAAGGTAATCAGCGTTTAGTTTCGAAAATCGGCATGTCCAAATTCTATTTTTACAAAAATTCATAGACCTAAATCTGATTTTCTTTTGATATCAGGCTAATAATGGAAGTCCGTCTTGTAAAACTTGTCTTAGTCAAAAAACAGACAATTACCCAACAAATCGATTGTATATACAATTTATATTGATCAAAATGTTTATCATATATAAATTATATAAAAAATGTTTAACAAATTATAAAAATATACCAAAAAATTTTCTCCGAGAATTCTCTTTATTATCAAAAGAAAATTCTAAGTATTCTCCCGTTTTGTTTCTGAATTTTGAAAAATTGTACGTCCGGACAAAGGTAATGATACATATATATGAATAATATATATATATATATATATTTATTTTTATTTTTTTCATTTTCCGATATAGTCGAGCCTTTTTATTTTGCCTTTGAAAAATCGAAAGTCCTCTCAGCAATCCGCATCTCTCGCTACGCCGTTACCGTACCATGAACCGCCGGTGATTCTCGCCGGAATAGTTCTTCGGTCTCCGTCAAAAAAAACTCTGGGTTCTCTCCGTCTCTCTCGCCTTGGCAGTCTGAGATTCACTGTTCCACAATCCTTCTGAAACTTCTTAGGTTATGGTTTTGTAAACGAAGGATAAGACGATGATAAAACGATCTAGTAACTGTGCAATTTGCGAGAACACCAATCGTTCTTACATCTGTAGCCTTTGCGTTAATCATAGGTATACATCGATTCCACCAAAATCTAATCAAATTGAGCTTTTTCAATTTTCGATTTTTCGGATTTTGATTTGTTTTTGTTTACAGATTAATTGAGTGTAACACTTTGTTAAAGTCACTAAAGACTCGACGAGATTCTTTGCATTCAAAGCTGAGTGAGCTATTGGAAGCTAAGGTTTGTTTGTGTCACAGAGATTCTTCAAAGTATCAGTCTTTATCATCTATTTTTGTTCTTGCAACTCATAATTCACGTTTGTAGGGAAAAGCTGATGCTCAGAAGAAGTGGAGATTGCTTCAAAGCGAGAAGCTTTCGAACTTGAAGAACAATCTTCGGCGTAACAAGGAACAAGTAACTCAAGGTATGTTTTGAGTCAACGTAACCACAACACTCCATAGCAATAGAGAAAGAAGTCTTGCTCTGTGAAAGTAATGTAACTTTTATGTAACAAATTCACAGGGAAGGCTAAGATTGAAGGAGAATCTCGTGATCTCAAACTGAAATATGGAGTTCTTGATTCAGCTCGCTCCACAGTAAGGAATCTTGATGCGTATGTGAAAGAAATAAATGTTTTTGTCACAGTTTACTGATACTCGTTTAATATGCGTGGGACTGTGTTTGCAGCTAGAGAAAATTAGAGTTGAACAAGTGGAGAAGTATTTTCCCAATCTAATATGTACACAAAACCTTGGCCTTGTAAGGATCTTCTATATAGCTCTTTAGATTGGTTCATCAATATAATATGAAAATCTGTAAAGTGTTGAATTTTATATATTTTTGGAATTGTAGATGGCAATCTCATCTGAGCGGCTTCATAAGCAGTCAGTGGTAGTGAAACAACTATGCAAACTGTTCCCTCAACGCCGAGTAAGTTTCAATTTGTGTAAATTGTATTTTGTGAAAACAAATAGTGCTTTTACACTAGCTGCTCTGTACTGTATCCCAGGTTAGTTTCGACGGAGAGAGTCAGAACGGTTCGGTTGGTCAGTATGATCTCATTTGCAATATACGTCTCCCGAAAGGTCTGGACCCTCACTCAATCCCATCAGAAGAGCTCGCTGCCTCATTAGGGTAATGTTCTTTCTCTCTCTTTCTCCTCTTTAAAGGCTGATACATTTCTGTACATTCATATAATATATGCCCCCTGACATGTGGAGTAGGTTGATGGTCCACCTTCTGAACCTTGTTGCTCACAACTTAGCAGCCCCTGCACTCCACACCTCAGCTTTTGCGGTATGGTTGTTTATCTTCAATAACTTTGCATTTGCAAATTGATAAAATCACCATACAAGAAGCAGTAATCACTGTTGGTTATCACCACGTAGGGCTCTTGCTCCCGTATATGGCAACGAGATACCTATTGGGACGCACGTTATTCAACTCGAAGGTACAATCTGATTCTACATAATCTTGCTCTGAAGGAGGATAAAGTAAATGAAATCTAAGCAAGAGCATAGATTTTCTGTTGCAGCAACGAGTTTCCTCTCTTCATACCTCGACAAAACTATTGCTCAACGAGCGTTGAGAACTCATGGACAGATAAAAACTCGAGCAACTTCGGTGTTGCTTCCATGGAATCCGAGAGAAAATATGCGCCGCGTCTGGACTCTACAAGAAGCAACAGCTTTAACTACTCTTCTGCTTCTCCTCATACGGTTGAGTCACATCTAGATCTTCAGCAAGGGATAGCTCTTCTCAAGAAAAGTGTTGCCTGCTTGACAGCGTATTGTTACAACTCACTTTCCCTCGAAATGCCTCCCGAGGCCTCTACTTTCGAAGCTTTCGCCAAGTTGTTGGCCACGCTTTCGTCGTCAAAGGAGGTCCGCTCTGTTTACTCCCTGAAAATGGCTTCTTCTAGGTAAAACCAGTCTCTCTGAAAATGGCTTGTTTATAAAACTGTGTAGTTTCTTGATATGGTTGTTTAATGTGTTTGGATGATGCATCAGATCATGCAAGCAGGCTCAACAACTCAACAAATCCATATGGAACGCTCACTCTGTCATCTCAAGCTCCTTACTTGAAAGTTCCCATCTTCCGGTACACGTTGATTCCTCTTTTTCCCCATTATACAAGCGGCCAGAGTTTTTTAAATGTTGATGTGACGCTGTTTTGTGGCAGAGGAACACAAGGTATAACCAGGATCCGAACTCAGCAGCGAGTTATCTCTCTGGGACGGAAGCATCGGAGAGTCGGAAGAATGATATGAATGGATGGGATTTGGTGGAGCATCCTAAGTACCCGCCACCACCATCACAGTCCGAGGATGTTGAACACTGGACACGCGCTATGTTTATCGATGCCAAGAAAAAATGAAGGGTGTGTTGTTGCTTGTTGAATGAAGCTAAAATCTTTGGTATATATAGTCTTACAATGTACAGAGAAACACCGATGATATGTAGAATGTATTTTGTCTTGCCTTTAGGAACCGAACAAAAGACAAATAGTATTATGGTGTTAGATTATTGTTTAAATTCTGATGTTATAAAACCAAATGGTAGTTTCCCAGCTACAAAGATAAACCTTTTACAAGCAGAAGTTGACCTTTTACAACCAAATGACCATTCATCTTTTACTATGCTTTGTTGATCGGGAATACAACCTTTCTTCTTTACGGATTTACATATCTAATTCTTCCATTGTTTTCCATATTTCAAGTTTTTTAACATATAAATTTTGTGATATTCGATAAATAGAATTGTAATAAGCAAAAACGCAGCCTGTTAGGACATGAGTAATGGGGGAGCTTAAGAAGGAGCTTAAACGATTTTTTAATATTAAAACCACGTTAGCACTTGTGTTAAGAATTGTTTGTTTTTTCTTGCTCCAATGGGGGAGCTTATTTTGGGGTGCTTAAGAAAAAAAAAATTAATTAATTTTATGAGTGAACAAAACATAAAATATATTGCATAAACATGATCACAACCATAATATACAACTAAAACGTGCATTTATTATCACCTAATTAACAACAACACCACCACTAATCAAATGAACATTCAATTTCCAGAATCCAAAGGCTTGATGAAGAAGAGAGAGTCAATTACCTCTGACGAAATAAGCATTTCCATAATATGACCTTAAACAGTAACGGACTAATCCAACCGCATCAAGAGCGTCCCTGCACATTCCCAAAAACACAAACCAAATTACAACTTCAAGAAACACAACAATTTGAGAAACAAAATCAATCATGTAGCCTCACACCTAAAGATGAAAACAAGAGAATCGAATAACGTCATGACCTAGCAACAGAGCTAAACATCTATAAACTTACTGCAAAATCCGAGCTTCCATGGCTTCAACAGTAACAATATAGAGCAAGAGCAGAGTGATATATTAACACAGTTCAAGCGTGATGATCCTACAAACCAAAACGCAATTTATTCGTCGACTATACAAGAACACAAAAAGCATAAAACAACATCATCATACTAATTTCATACTTCAATTTCTCGTCTTTTCAACATCAAATGTCAGCAAACATACAAAAATCTGGTCTCAGTCACTCTCATATCCAGCCAAATGAGTCTTTTTTTCAGTTAAAAGACAGAGTAATCAAAATCGCTCACCCTTCAGAGTAATCAGCCTGGAGAAGGTCAAGGTATGTGTCCCATTTGTTCCCAATCACCTATATGACATTATCAGATGATGAAGCTCCATAAACCTCAAAACTTTAACTTCAAAAATTGAAAATAAATATCTAAACGATCCAAAACTAAGAAACGTGTTTCTATCTAATTCTTATGTAGCAGCATTAATCCATTCAGAAACAACAGAAAAGCCTTGACCTTTCTCAAATCCAGATTGATTAAAGACCTAATAAGGACATGAACTAAACCCTAGAAATTGAAATCTTCCTCCTTTCGGAAAACAGAAACACGAATCGAGATCGATGAACGAAAGAGGAGAAAAAAGGAGAAACCTTTCCACAAGTAAAGGTGAATGAATTGTGATTGATTCCATGTTTCGGAGAATCGCCAAAATGGCCTTCCAAGAGGTGAGAGAGAGGAGAGAGAAACCGGAAGAGGAAAATGAAGAAGAAAAAGAATTTTGTCTCTTCTCAAAACCGCCGAGCCAATCAGGTCTTGCCACGTGGCAGGTAAGCTTCGACGCTTCCCCAACTTAAATAAGCGTCGAATTCTCAATTTTTTATTTATTTTGATTTAAATTTCGCCTAAACACCACGTTAAGCATTCCGCGTTAGACGTGTTCTTAGACTCATGTGTGGGGAATTTGGAGAAATAAATACTGCGTGATCTCTATGTATTTTCACAGATTTTTTTTTTCCTCAGTTTTTTTGTGCTGCTTAGAAGCCTTCAAACTCATGTGTCAAGCTCCGGCTTGCTGTGATTTTTTGGTGTATTTTACCGATTTCAACTTAAACATCGTTTTCTACCCAATTTATATTTGAATTTGTATTTTCAGAATTCAATCTCGATTTCAACTTAAACATCGTTTTCTACCCATAAAGTTTAATCATTTTTCTTAGTTGCATGCGAAAAAATTGCGAATTTTGCGTGGGTTTTCAAATTTCAAGTTAAGTTTATACCTGATTTCATCGTTTTGTATCTAGTTTTCTCTCGATTTATATTTTCAGATCAGCTTTAAACTCCATTTGTATATACTTTTAGAGATGGCTTCCACTCTAATCTCATCACGTTCTCTCATCATAGCTTTGGCATATTGGGCAAATGGGCGAGTACATTGGCTTAGCACATTAGGTCAAACTTCTTCTTGTCATACTTGGTCATGGAGGACAAGACCTGTGCCTATTTCTCCCTGTGAAAATACAACGAGACGCAACCAACATTTATTTCCGTATATTTCTATTTACATGAAACATATATTATATAAATGGAAAGTTTTGTTGATTACCAATTACTTTTTTGCACTTTGAGTAATGAGAGGGGCTCCTCAAAGTGATTTTTCGTAGTAATGATTTTTGCACTTTGAACAATTTGGTCCTCACTGGTGTTCATCATATTTTTCATTTCCCTTGTTATCCGTATTCTCTTTGAATCAACGGTTATCAAGTCTTCGGAATTAACAGTCATCAAGATTTATCAAATTTTATATTAGTTACCATTCTTTAAGAATGGAAAAATAATGAATAGTTTATTTATCATTTAGGGTTTTAGAATAGTTTCATAAACATAAGCTTATCGAATACGCAGCTCATAAATCATTTTCCCATTCAAATCCTTCTCACATTTCATGTCCGCAAATGACAAATAGAAACTCAGCAATTACTATCATCATATGTAAATATACTTGACACTCAAGTATAAAAGAGAATTTCGCAAGAACAGAATAATCATATGGAGGTACCAATAGCGAAGAAGAATAAACGATCTTAATTCGGTAATAAGAAAACAAAGAAAATCTTCATAAAATACTCAAGTCTTGATTACTAATGAACAGCAACCATTTTAGGTAATGGTTACTACCATTTCACTCCCCAGACGAAAAAAATCATGTTAGAAGACTTCTTGCCAGGTGCTCACGAGCTGTTGCCAATGCTTGAGTTAACGTCTACAAAATTAAAAAAACACACAAAACGGGTCAATTTACATAATCGTGCTTTTGTTCAAAGCTAGTCTCATATTGCAACTCACCTGTTCAGAAAGAGAACCACTCGCTTCTGCGCTCTGCATTGCTACTTTTCCAGCGATAACATTGGCATCTGTTTCCAGTACCATCCTGAACAATGTGATAGGATTCAAACCAGTAAGCTCCTTTGTTCAATTCACTCAAGCATTACACTAGAGAAGTCTCAAACCCTCATACACTAAGACTTAACAAGAACTAAGCAATAAGTTCTCATAGTTCCTACTAATCTTTTATCTTCACCCACTCTTGTTTTCAGACTTGCAATCAGTAATAAAAATTGTAGAAAATACAATCGTAAGCGTACCCCTGATCAACCATCTCATCAAGGCACAGAAAGATGAGATCCAAGTTTTCAAGGGCTTCCATCTTTTCAACATTGTTCCTGTAAGGGAGAGAGGAAATCTATATGTTAACTGTGTATATAACGCTGACCAAGAAAAAGCCATTTGTTAAGGCGAGACAAATTACCTCAGAAGTAATGCAACAGCATCGAAAAAGCCTTGAAGAACAGATGACAAGACGAGCTCGTTTTCATCTTCCCCTCCTGTAACAAAGAAGTGAAGGTCCTGGGCAAACTTGTAGACAACAATGTTATTCTCCAACAGTGTGATCTCCGCTACAAAAAAGAGCATACAAGAAGGAAAAATAAACACACTTATAAGTGTTTTGATACAGAGAATATGCACCTATGGAATCAGAAGGCAGTAAGGATTTCACACTCATGTATGATACAGCATTCGGAGCACTACATATGTGAATAATGTGCACGTGTGGTTTCGTCGTACCTTCTGTGCGAGCATTGGTCTTAGAGGTCTTTGTGAAGACGTATTTTTCAAAAGCTAACTTGGCCGCATTAGTTGCCCAATCATCCGAGTAATACTTGACAGCAACACGCTTTCCTTCAGAGTCTAGAAGAAGAATGTTCTTCACCAAAGGACAAGAATCCTGTTCGTTGTAAATTGGACAGTGAACATGTAAGTATTAAGAGAGAAGCAGAAGCAGGATCTACAAAAAGATCAGGTAAGGTTGAACTTCTACAGCAGCAAGGCAGAGAAAGATCTCAGAGTCTATTGGAAAATTACAGGTTCAAAACCTAAGTAGCGGCTAGTCAAATAAAAAGGCTAATAGATAAACATGGTAAATATGATACAAGCTTTAATTAAACTCAACCTGACCACCAGAAGGACATACAAAAACATGGAACACCAGGCAAATGGCGGCTCTAGCATATAGAATCCAAATCATTTAGATCCGCAAACAAATGATGCTGAGATTTATTGCACAAAAGCAGATTAGGATTAGGATTATTTAAGTAATTGGAACATTCTCAGCAGCTGTGATAAAGCCTTATCATGCTTCCAGATTAGGATTATGCAAACAATCTTAGATGATGGGTTCCTGAATCTCAGACTCAACAAAAGAAAATCAATCTTAATATGGTGATTTACAGTCGAATAAAATAAGCTTTTTCACATACAAGAATGCTTCTCAACTCAACCCAAGGAAACTTATGAAAAAGTATCCCTACATCGCAATGCAAAGAATTGCAGAACTAAAGTAAACCATAAAGCATCACAAGACTATTGTTTACATGCTTGCATTATTTATGAATAACAGCGAGTATGAGGCAAACACATAAACATTCATGAAACAGTATTCAATGAGCTGAGAGATGTACTTACATTAGCCCCTGACATCGTCGTTAAACCAAGCTATACCTGAAATAGTGATACGTTAACTGTTATAACTTTGGTCTCAGAAACAAGATCAGCACTGAATAAACAAAGATCTTTTTTTGTTCATGAACAGAGATACACTAAGATCTAAGAAGAAAGTGATAGATCATCAGGGCCGGTCCTGGAATTATGGTTTCTACACCATTACGCCCAAAACGACTCCATAACTAGGTTAAATTACCTTAAAAAAAAACAATAAATTCTGATTCCTAATCCAAAACTTTACGATCAGATCTCTACAATAGATTTATCATTCTCTTTACTCAATTCCTCCTAAAGACGATGTACTTTGAGAATGACACAAACTCTCGGAAAATGAGTATCTAAGAAGAAAATGATAGATCATGATTCGTAAAGTGAATTGACCACTAAAACTGAAAATCTATCTTCAACAGAAACCAAATCCAATTTATCATTGACGAACAATGCTCCGTATATATTAAATGAATCAAACCAAACAAAATCTCATCGAGGAAATAGTGAACGGCTACAAATTTCATCAGATCTCTAGAAATTTTCACATTGTTAAAACAAAATCCATCGATCTGATGAAATCAGAACATCAAGCATAAGAATCTAGCTTCCGAGAAATGGAATAAGAGGAGATCAGAAGCAGAGATCGAAACGAAAAGACAACGATTGTAATCTCGAGAAATTTACCTTTGAGATGGTTTCAAAAGCTGAAGATGACTGCTTGCAACGATGGAACTGTGAAGAAGAAAAGAAAAAATAAAGCGAGGGTCTGATTTTATCTGCAAGTTTGCAAAAGGATGATTAGTCTGGGAATATTATAAATTTACCCCTCATTTGGGAAAATCAACTCAATTCTTGGTTCATGATAAAGAAAATAATTCTTAAGAGACTCAAATTATAAAACTAAAGTAATACTTATAGGTATTTCGAAAAATTAATTATTATAAACCCATTTAATAAAATTAATATTTGTGAAAACTCAAAGCCTGTAAAAAAAATTCAAAGAGTGCAAGAAAAAATAATAAATATTTCATCCGTTTCAATAGTTGTCGTTTGTTCTAGAGTATTTTACACATATTAAAGTTAGTTAAAACTTCTATTATACCCTTAAAAAAAGTTCAAATCTTAATATTCAGCATAAGACTTGGAGTTCTATTTGGTAATCAAAACTAAATTTTATATTGAAAATTAGAAACGACAACAATAACTCAACGGAGAGTATTAGGTTTAGATTTATAGTTTTATTTAAAGGAAAAAGAAAAAAATAAAATTTCTGGCAATGGTGTTCATGAAGCATATTTAAAGCACCAGAATGCGGCATATACGAAATCTACGAAAAATATAATAAATATTTATAATCTCTTTTTCTTTATCTATTTATAATCTCTTTCTTTATCATGACTATTATCCCAAACAAGGGGATTACCCACGCCTAATGCGTGGGATTGAGTTAACTTTAAAACATTTTATATTTAAAATAAATTATTATCAAATGGATATGTCATTTTCTATATTATTTTTAGATTAATATTTTTGTTTCTTTATCAATTCATATAAATATTTTTAATATAATAATAAGCATATTGTCTCGATTATTAATATTGTAGTGTTTTTTTTTTTAATAATTGATAGATATTTGGTTATTTATTTATGTGTACTATATAAAAGTTGTTTTCTATTTTCAAAATACATTTGTTCAAAAGATATTTAACTAAATCTAAATGACCATGCATGAGTTATTTTTTCTATTAGTTTGAAATTATTACATTTAGCTTAGGCCTTCTTGTTTCGAGAGCAAGAAAGTAAGATGTGGGACTTACTTGAGGCACACGTAGATAAGAAAGGGCAAGGTTGTGGCCTGCGGGAGAATTCAACATATCTAAAAGACTAAAACTTTCCTAGGAGATTAATTTGAGTTCTTCTCGCTTTTTCAATAAAAGAAATCAAAATGTAAGCACAATTCTCAAAAATCAAAGCTTGAAGCTTAATCTCTTCTTCCACACCAGAACTGAACTTGAACCCTATTCCTAATATACATGTTCGTCATCTTGATATCTTCTTCTTTCGTCCTAAAAGCACAACATATCTAACAAATCAAAGGGAGAAGCTTAATCTCTTCTTTAACACGATCCATCTAAGCTTGAACCCTATTCCTAATATACATTTTCTTCATCTTTATCTCATCTTCTTTCGTCCAGAAAGCCCACAAAGCCGTCCTGAAATCTCTTAGTACTCCTTCGACATATGGCTGCTATAACTCATGCTTTCCGAAAATTATCCCTTAGTTCTTTGGCTATGAACAGCGGAGCTATCGCCGGCTGCAACGTCTCTATTGCTTGCATTTACTTCAAATGTAAAATGAATAAAAGCAAAGAACACAGTTTTCTTTTTTTCCTGTACTCCGTTGTCACCTTTATGATGAAACTGAAAAGCAACAAACCTTTTAATAAAATGAAAACGTTGAAGATGTGAAATGTTCAGTTTCATAAGAAAGCTCTAATGAACCACATTTACCCTCTTTGACAATAAGAGAATTTCGTTAGAATAATTGAACAAAGAACATGACACTTGTTAAACGTATAACCTTCATCACTGTGACTGATTCTTGGAATAGTTACGCAAAAGGTGTCCACATATTGAAATGAAATCGGTGAAATCAAATAGGTGCCGGTCTGAGAACGGGATGTTCTTATATAGGATGTTCTTAGCCAATCAAAAGCAGAACCACCAGTTTCTTCATCAATTTCTCAAGCGAACTTCAAACTTTGCTTTCGATTTATGCAGCTTCTCATGGGATTCGAATTTGAAATGATGATGGTGCTTATGTATGAATTCTTGATGTCAGCGCATCTTTACGTAAAATATTTCAGCGACTCATTCTTTTGAATTTGAATTCCTAGTTCCTTTTAGGTTTCAAAAACTGAAGATGATCGAAACCATATTCTACTTATTTGCTTCTTTGCTATTTGATATCACCTAGAAATCATACTTGTTTGTTCTTGTCTCTTCTCTAAACCAAAAAACAACTTTGTTGAATCAATAATTTAAAAGAATTATTCTGGTGTTCTTGATTAAGTCTTATATAGTGTTTCATTATTAAATTTTGTAAGTTTTGAAGCTTTTGGATCAATGCCTTTGATCAACAACGTAGAAGAGAATTCTGAAGTAGCTCCACAGGTGGAACATTTGGATCTTAGGTTTTGGATTCTATTGCTTTCATACGTGAGAAATTGGACATACTTTTCTGAAATATTCATATGACTTTCCAATAAACAAACCTTTAGCCTAAAAAATTGAAAACACTTTCTTATGAAAGAAATGAAATGATCCTAACGTAGTTCTATTAGATACAACCATTTTTCTAAATTAAACTAAATTTAACTAAACATGCCTTGTCGCTCACTTCAGTTGTCTTGATTTTTGTGGCCTTCTTTTTAATCTCCTCCTCCAACGACTTAGTCTTCTTAGACTCCTCTTCCATAGTCTTTTGCAATTTTATTTTGACGGTGTGCAAAACTTCTTTGATTTGGATTGCAGGTCAAGTGCATCTCCAACTTCTTCTTTGCGTTTAAATGAAGGTGTTGCAAAAGTGTCAGGATTTTCCTGGCTATTAGTAAGCATGACAGGTACCTCAAATCAAATCTACACTCAAAATATAATCTTTAAAATTGTATCATATTAGCTTAACTAAAACAGATTTAAAATATAGCTAATTAGCAGAAATAATTGATGATAAGAAATAATATTAAAATATACCTTATCATCGACGACAATCATCTCCATGGTCTCAACACCATTCAAGTACTGCTTCCATTTCTTCAAGATCTTCACACGGATCTTCCACTGGGATTTGAACGACTTGCAAGAGTAGACATCAACAATTGAAGCCATTGCTGAAAATAAGACAAATGTAAGAAAAAACTATAGTGGAGATCTTGGAAGAGATGGTGAGATTCGAGAATGGGGAAGGGGTCGCTTAAATAGTGCAATGGGTATTGTACTACAGTCTAGGTTTAGCCACGCATAGAATATTTGCAATCCCAGACATGACAACGTTTAATTAATAGTAAAATAATGAGAATATCATAATTTCTGGTTTCGGGAAAACAATGTTATTAAGAATGTAATTTAAGAAATCAAGATGTGAATTTGATATGTTAATTATTTAATTGCATACGGAAAAGGAAAACGTGACCTTGAAGAATAAGCAATAATCTTGCATGGAAGTATTGTTATCCTCCAATATATTAAATAATATGTAAAAAAGATAGTTACCTTATTCGATTGAAACGGTCTTCGGCCCAACTTTGTTCTGTTATCGGCTCCAATTAGCCCAATAGCCCAATAACCAAACGCAATAAATCAAAGAAGAAGTTGATTAAGGGTCCGCGTGTTTTGTAAATGGGTCTCGGGTCAGCTCCAGTTAAAATTAGTTTATTAAAATAAATAAAAAAGAAGCTCAAAAAAATGAGAGCTTGCCATGTGAGCAAATCTGTATGGTCTTTAATATATTGGAGGATGATTGTTTTCAAGATTATAAATTTTAACAAAGGCAACACCACACATATGTAGTAATGGTTAATCAAGGGGAGTGTTATACTGTTATGAAACATAACAGAAACATGTTGATTGTTACATTACTTCTTCTCTACGAATTCATATTCTGTTGATTGCTTTTTTTTTTTTACCATAAAAGCTTTCCATTCTGTTGATTGCTTTGTCTCAAAGTTTACAAGTTTTCTTCTCAAGTTTCACAATCTTTGTCTCTCTAAGCTATTCTACTATATAAAGAGGCATATAGTTTTATTTTTTATTTTTAAAGAACCTTCTTTATTTCTTTCCATCCTCCCCGAAAGAGGCGACGTTTAAGAGGCATCTAGTTCTTAAAAATTGTATGGGATGTGAGAGAGAGGTGAGAGAGAGGTGTGTGAGAGATGATAAGGTGAACATTTGGGTGATCATGCTTCTATCTCTAGATCTCAAACTCTCTTGTTCAACATCTCTCTCCCTCTCTAAACTCTCTTTGATCTTTCTCTTTCTTTTTTTTGGTTGTTAAGTTGATCTTTCTCTCTTTCTCGTACATAAACGCAAATACATATTTTTGGAGTTAGGCATAATGTTTTCTTTTTTTTTGATAAAGAAGGCATCTTGTTTTCGACAAGTAAAGTCGACTGATTTATACAAAATTACAAATACATTTTGAATGCTCAATTTATACTCGAGACACTACTTTGTTTGTCTGAGATTTTGTATCTCAATTCTTTGAAATAGTTTATTATTTGAAAGCATCAACACATATTGCAATAATATTCTTGATGAAAAGCATGCATACATATAAGTATATAACACTATTTACTACCTATATTTTGTTAAAATGCTAACCTAAACAACTATCCGGTACCATATGCGTCAAAATTCGTTTAGTGACCGCTTGAATGTTATAGCACAAAAAATCTTGTTTTTAGGTTTAATGCTTCTAACATCTTAAATCTTCAAACTTTAAAGTATAGTCATATCAAATGGTTGTTATATGTTGCATGTAGATACTCCTTTCGTTTTAAAATAGTTGTCGTTTTACTTTTATTTTTTTCGAAATACTTGTTGTTCTCGTGTTTCAATGTAAATTTTATAATTACATACCTAATTTAACCTAAATCTAATGAAGAATGTTAATAGTCAACTTGCTTTTTAAAAAAATTAAAAGAATTTTTAATGTTTTACTAATATACGTGAAAAAACCTAGAACAACAAAACCTTATAATTAAATCCTGTTGTGATTAATAAACAACTCTAAATACAATTTACACTAAAAGAATTACAAGGGTATTGTCTTTAAATGTTTTTTTTTTGCTAACCAAGCTCATTTAGTAGTAAATTAATAATAAAATTCAGTTTTCTATGTTGCAATAATTTTATTGTAATATTAAATAATGAAAAAAAATTAAAATGTTTGAAATTTAAAATAACTTGTCTTTTTATACAATATTTGCAACCAAAATATATTTCGACATTTCTTTCCAACGATATCTATTTTTTCATACAAAAGTTTTGAATCCTTAGTCAACGTTCAAACACAAATAATAAATTTTCTAAACAAACAACCAGTGCAATCAAAGATATAAACAACCAAAGTCAAATGCATGTTTGGTGTTCGAAACTATTGAGTTGGGAGAAAAATAGAACAAATAAATTATATAAAATATATCAGCTAAACTCATTTATAGAGAAGAAATGTATAATTTTTATTGATTTTTTTTTCGAATTATAAAGATACATAAAGCTTTTTTCGAATTATAAAGATACAGAAAGCATTTAAATTATAACCCCAACAATTATCTCTCCATTTTCTCTTTCCCCATCATCACAGTACAAACCTAAGGAAAGCCTATTAAAATAAAACATCCAAAGGAGAATAAGGAAAACGAAGGAAAGATAAATGAGAAACTGTCTTCAAAATGGGTTCACGAGTTGGGAATAACATCCCCTCTTGCCTCTTGAATGATAGGCAGCTTCAGGACCAATGATGGTTCCGACTTCATGTACTGTGTTAAGAGATGCAACGTAAACGAGTTATAAAACGATAAAAAGAGAAATCAAAGCAACCAAGGTAGAGAGAGAGAGAGAGAGTTGTTGAGTGTTTGTACCTTTTCTTTGAAGGCGTTGATCTCCTCCTGTGTGAGGGCTTCCTCCTCCTCGCTATTGTTTTCCTCCCATCCAAGGGATCTAAGGAACTCGGCTTCTTTTTCATCTGGACGGTCTGTCAATTCGAAACCATTACTCATCTCTACAACTTCAGACGCTTTCTCGACCCCAGTTTGTATGCTGGAAGGGTCAGTATCTTCCTTAATGCCGTATGCCTTTTCCTCAAGGGGAGAGAAGATGCTAGAGCTAGCTTCAAATGGATCAGTTGAGATGTCTGTAGTAGATGTCTTCTCCTTCAAAGCACGGTAAAATGCATTCCTGCTCTGAGTCTGTGCCGGCATAAGTTTGTTCCCAGCAACCATGAGTTCCCTTGGACCGTTTGTAGATGGAGCACCGTTCACCTGGCTCGCAGAAGGTTTCAGGATCACCAGCTTCTTGCTAGCATCAGGCTTCACCTGGCTAGCAGAGGACTGGTGAGTATAACCAACAGGTCTGGCCTTTGATTTATCAGCCTGAGAAATCAACCAACAGAAACTGAATATACATCCCCAAGGTAAAATCAGATTTAAAATATGAGAAAAAAAAAGCTCACTGTGCTCCTTGGTGCTGAAGGAACAATCGGTATCAACTGCCTAGATTGCTGAATAACTCGGTCCTAAGATAAAGAAAAATGGTAATCTTAGACAAACAGAAAATCTAGGGTACTACAATTTAAGCAAACACAAAAGACAAAAATTATATACCTGAGATGGTGTAAAAGTTCTTGATGGAGCCTTCACCAATGCTTCAGCCATGGACTCAACACCTGTCTTCTTCTCAGTAACATTGGGATTCTCAGCCAGAGCCGATGTCCAACTAGGAGAATCCTTTTCGAATCCAGACTTTTTAACCCAGGTGAATCCAGTACCCTTGTAAGAATTAATGTTTCTACCATTTCTGAACCCTATTGTAGGCCCTTGATTCCTACTTGTCATAGATTGTGATCTTCTCAGTTGCTGCTCCTGATCCCTACCAATCGACAAGTTTCCGAAAGGAGGACAAGTGTCATCATCCCATTGATCCATGTAGCTCGCCCTGTACCGGTTGGCCCTTGTGACGTTGAAATTAGTATATGTTTGCTTTGTAGATCCGTTGCTAAAACCCCTCCCTGCATTGGTGGAATAAGACCGATCAAGGGAATGAGACCGGACTGCATAACCATCACTTCTGCTCCTCAGATCCCTGTTCTTGCTATTATGTGACAGAGAAGAAGAATCTAAACCCAAAAAAACAAAAAAAACAAAAAAAAATAGAGTTATGATGCAATTGTCGAGATATCAAAATTACGAAAAGTTCAACAAAAAATTACGAACAAAAAAATTGTTATGAATTCGATCGAGCATCATACCTGAACGAGAAGAAGAAGATGAGACAAGGTGATTATTTGAACATCCAACACCAGAGCCGTTCCCTGAACTTCTCAGCCATTCAGGGACTAGAGAGGGTTCACGTTTCTCCATTACAAAACAGAAATTGCGGAAAAGACAATAACAAAACAAAAATTGCTGAAATTCTCTATTCTCTCTCCTATTTTCCTCTAGAATATAATCACTCAACAAATCCAATCCTTCCAACTGCTTAATCTCAAACGCAAAACTCCGAGAAAAAAAAAATTACGAAATGATTCTCTAAGAGCTACACGAAAATCAGTGATGAGAAAACTCTATCTATTTCCACCTAGAAAATCATTATCCCTATCAATAACCAATACAACAACCTGAATTACAGTGATGACACAACACGATAAACCCTAACACCTACGCAATAATCCCACTCCCGATGTTAATCAGCCTAAGCCCTAGAATTCAACAAGAGAGAAACCTCAATTTGATTTTTATATTTATATATTTTGTAATACTTTGCTCTCTCTCTCTCTCTCTCTAGAATAAGCTTAATTTGTGAAAAGACAATGAACAAGTTTCACAAATTGTTGAGTTTTTGTTTATACAATCCTATGAATTTATAGTGATTTGATGATGTCATAGTAAAAGTATTACCTTATTGACTCACCAAAACCATATTTAATATACATTGACAGGTGTAAAGCACACTTTTTGACTTTACCATTTAAATTAATTATTGTATCTTTGAATGCATTTTAATGAAAATATTACCATTTAGCATTTCTACAAATGTGTTTGAATATTTTTCTGAAAAAGTGTTTATAAATCAGCAAATGTAATTACTAATAACTAAAAAACCTGTTTCACGCCTTTTGGACAGTTATAATTTAATCATGTATATTTAATTAAATTATAACAGTTAAAAAGCGCGAAACGGTTTTTTAGTTATTAGAAGTTGAATTTGTTGATTTGGACGTTTTAAAATATCAAAATTGGGTAAGTTTATAACTAAATATACTAGGGATTGAAGCCCCGCGCAAGCGCGGGGTTGTTTGCGATAGTTTTTCTATTTGATTTTATTTATATTTGTTGTTTGAATTATAATGACTTTCTTTTGAAAATGTATTCCTTATGTTTTGAGTTAATCCAAACACTTACATGATATATTTAATTTGTTTTTTATTTTATTTCAAATTTTAAGATGTGAACTACATACATCATCTCCAGCTTTCTATTTTCTGAAACTTAATATTGCTATAAAATGTTATATTTCTTCATTTTTTGGGTTATTCAATAATTTGGTCTTTATCATATAAAATTGTTTTTTAATCTATATTGTAATTTATTTTTATCTTTTTACTCATTTTACAGATTTTCATCTTACAAAAATATTTATATACTATTAACTCTCAAATCAATGTCGTTCAAATTCAGTAAAATTTCATGTACTGATTCTTGAATACCTACTATGTTAGAATACTCATGTGTGATGCAAATCAATGTAATTACATTAAACATTTTAAATAGGAAGACAAATAAAAGTACATGTTTGGTAATAACTATATAATATTTTCATAAGAAACACAATTTTATCTAATTAAATTAAAATTTAACAGCCGTAACAAAAATTAAAATTTAACAAATACTATTTTGCTATTTATTTAGTTAGATTTTTGTTTTTGATATTTTCTTTTGGGCCACAGATTTTTATATTTGATTGAAATTGCAATTTCTATGTTAAATAAAAGTACCAATTAATATAAATTGTTATGTATTAAATAAGTATTTTAATTATAACTTAATGTTAAAATTGCTGATGTGGACAGTTTAGGAGGAGAGAGCACTCCCTAATTATATATAAGATTTTAGTATAAATATTGCCATAATTTCATAACTAAATGTATTTTAACGTATTTTAATGTGTTACTTTTATAAAATTTTAGACTTATGTGAAAGAAAATATCTAACATATATCAAGAAATACAATGTAGACGTAACTAAATACAATTATTTTGTTCGTTTTATAATATTTAATTTAATTAATTTTATCATATTTTAGTGTAAATACTAACATTATTTTTATAAAATCTACACATATGTCAATTTACAATCAATACTTACTACGTGTTATTGTCAAAACTTGCAATTATTACAAGTCATCTCTCTTGATAAGAAAATTTAATATTTCAATAAAATAAATTAGTTGATAATATCTATAACTCATTATTATATGACCAAATTACACATTTACTGTCAAGATGTTAAAAAAATTAACAACTTTAGAAGTTGGTACTAATCTATAACTCATTAATATATTACCAACATTACAAAATTATAAGGTCAACGTGTCTAAATAAATTATCAACCAAAGAAATTAGTAATTATCTGTAACTTATTAATATATCACCAAAATTACTTAATTACAAAAATTACTTAATTGCAAATGTCAACATGTCTAAATAAATTACCAACTAAATATGTTGATAATTATTTATAACTCATTAATAAATTACTAAGTTTACATCATTTTCAGGTCAACATTTTAAAATGAATTACCAACCAAATATGGTTATAGTTATTTATAACTCTTTATTAATATATTACAAAATTACATAATTACAAAGTCAACATGTATAAATAAATTACCAAAGAAATATGTTGATAATTATTTATAACTCAGTAGTAAATTATTAAGTTACATAATTTTCAGGTCAACATTGAAAATGAATTACCAACCAAATATGGTAATTTTTTTTTTTTTTTGTTTGTGTGTGATGTGGGAGACATTCGTCTCCCACATTTTATTCATAAAAAAAAAACACTAGTCAACAATAACATTTCTTGCACACTCATATCCTAAAACATCATCTTGTAGGATTGAGTCAATGCTAGTAGGAACCAAAGGCAATAAAACATTCATATCCTAAATAATATGGTAATAATTATTTATAACTCATTAATATATTACAATTTTACATAATTACAAATGTAACCATGTATAAATAAATTACCAAAGAAATATGTTGATAATTATTTATAACTCAGTAATAAATCACTAAGCTACATAATTTTCAGGTCAACATTTAAAATGAATTACCAACCAAATAAAGAATTAATTATTTACACCTCATTAATATATTACAAAATTACATAACTACAAATGTCAACATGTTTAATTAAATTACCAACTAAATATGTTGATATTTAGTTATATCTCATTAATAAGTTACTAAGTTACATAATTTTCAGGTCAACATTTGAAAATGAATTACCTACCAAATACAGTAATAATTATCTATAAGTCTATAACTCATTGATATATTACAAAATTACATAATTACAAATGTCAACATGTCTGAATAAATTACCTACTAAATATGTTGATATTTATTTATAACGCATTATTAAATTACTAAGTTACATAATTTTCAGGTCAACATTTTAAAATGAATTACCAACCAATAAGGTAATAATTATTTACAACTCATTAATATATTACCAAATTATAAATTTATAATATCAATATGTCTAGCTTTAAATATTATATATATATATATATATTTATTTTATGAAAAAAAAAACTTGAAATTTCATTAGGAAATGTTTTTATTGGATATGATATAACTAAAGTATATATATACCATCTATTTTAAAGTTGAAAATATATCATTTGTTCCGATAAATGCAAAATCCAGTAACAAAACAATACTAATACAAACATTTATAAACACTGCAGATTATAAACACTGAAGAAGTAAGCAATGTGGATGGAGCAGCGCTCATCTGGCTAGCAGAAGGCTTGAGGATCACCAGCTTCTTACTAGTATCATGCTTCATCTGACTAGCGAGCAGCATAGAGGACTGGTGGTGAGTATATTTTGAGGAAGAAAGACCGATTTCACCACTTCGGATCACAGGTTTGGCCTTGGATTTATTGGTTGACTTCTCACGCTGATATATCCAAGGCCAAACATGTGATCCGAAGTGGTGAGATCGGTCTTTCTTCCTCGAAAGTATACTCACCAGTAATCCTTTATCCTGCTCGCTAGTTAGATAAAGCTTCATACTAGTAAGAAGCTGGTCATTCTCAAACCTGGTGCTAGCCAGATGACCGCTGTTCCATCCAAATCTCTTGTTACGAAAAAAAAACATTAACCTTTTTACGAATGTGTAGGTCTGACTGGTTTAAATGCTGCGGTTGTGGTTGCGGGAGTTTGCTGAAGCGGGCCATTGCAGTTAAGAGCGTTAATAAGTGGTTTGTACGACTCGCATAGCGGTTGAAAACGGATGCGTTTGCGGGATAATTATGACTTGCGAATGTAGTAGCGGTTAATTAAACAATAAATTAACAATATAAATACATTGTATAATTATAAAACATTAATATTATATCATATTGAACAATTATATTTATAGTTATCAATATAATTAATATTTACAAAAAATTAAAATAATAATATGTGCATAATATTTACATTTATCTTTTAATTTCTATAATTTGGATGAAAGATGTGATTTTTATTTAACAAATATTAATGTAAAACTAAGTTTTATATTATTATTTTAGTTGTTATATATATATATATGTATTATTTTAAAGAGACCATTTATCCAGAGAATTTTGATAATTTTAGTGAGTATTTACTAAAAATGGCAAATTTATTTATTTAAATTATAAATATAATATCCAAATCTTAATTTTTGAAATAAATTTATATTTATTTTTTATTTACTTTTATTTATTTTAAAAACAAATTTCACAATAACCGCCGCTAACCGCAAAAGCTGCTGAAAATGAGCTTTTGTGTTTGAAGAATCTAGAGTGGTTTTGAACATTTTAAAGTTTTAAAAAGCGTTTATGATGATTTTTATCAAATGTTAACAACCGTTATCACCCCAAAAAAATTGCGTGTTTACGGGGCAATGAATCAGTCCCAAAGAGTTGGATCATATGTATCTAAAATGTAAGGCCCATCTATGAAGCCCAGCGAGTGAAGCTAAAACTCAACGCGTTTAGAAAAGGAAAAGGAAAAAACGACTCTTATGGGACCCACAAAACCCCAAAAACAAAAAAAATCAGGAATCAAAACGCAGAAACGAGCCTCCATACCAATTATTCCACGAATTACCGCGTTTTTGTTTCGTTTACATTTCTTCTCTCTCTCTCTCTCTCTCTCTCTCTCTCTGTTCGCCGTCAGGTTTGCCTAATCTTCGGTACTCCCGCGGTTTTCTTTCCTCCTAGATTTTCTCGGGAAAATCAAGCTCCGAGGTTATCCCGCTCGAGTAAGAGTTGCGGTTTTCGTCTTACTTAGACTAGTAAATTGGCGTATGGATTTTGCTAGTCATGGATAGAATTCTAGCTCGGATGAAGAAATCGTCGGGTCGGAGAGGGGATAAGACGCCGCCGGTACGGCGGTTAGAGCGGCGAGACGCGGCGAAGGATATCAATTACGACGCAGCTTCTTCTTCCAGCTCGTCAGCTGGAGATCTTTCCGTTTCGACTTCTTCTCTGATGACTCGGTCTCTGGAGTTTCCCGATCGAACCAGTTTCCGAATCATCGGAGGAGGCGACGGCGAGATGGATCGGATTTATCGGTCCCTTGGGGTTTCTGGTCCTGACGATTTAGCGATTTCCTTTGACGCCTGGGAAGCTTGCAAAAAGAAGCGCTCTTCCTCAGATGTTGTTAATAGGTTTAAGTCTCTTGAGCTCGATAATCCCAAGTTTCAGGTCCCGGATTTGAGTGAAGCAGGTCCTAGTGTTGATGTTGTTGCTTCTAATTCAGCGACTCGGGATGTTACTGAGTCGACGCGTTCCGAGTTGAGCGAGATTGGGGAAATTAGCAGTGTAGTTGATCGTGGTATAGCAGAGAACAAGCCTAGTCTTCAGAGAGCACCGACGATTTTGGTGAAGTCGAGAGGGTATCTGGTCCCAAATCCCGATAAGGCTGTGGCTGTGGCTGTTGTTGGTGGTGGTGGGGGCGGTGGTGGTGGGATAAAGGGGATAAGACCACCGGTGCTTAAGCCTCCTCCGTCAATGAAACGGCTTTCAATGGATCATCAGGGATCATCGTGGGATTTTCTTGAGCATTTCGCTCCTCAAGAAAGTGAAACAGTTAAGCGGCCAAGCTCTTCCTCTTCTGATGAGGAGGAGGACGCGGTGGTGGAAGAGGAAACGGAAGAGACGGAAGCGAGGTTTCTCCAGTCGTCGGCGGATACAGCTGATGAGGCGTGCTCATTCACCACAAACGAAGGTGGTGACTCGTCGAGCACAGTATCTAATACTTCTCCGATTTATCCGTCGGCATCATCTATCATCAATTCATGGCAGAAAGGTCAACTTTTGGGACGAGGATCATTTGGCTCCGTGTATGAAGGCATTTCAGAGTAAGTCTTACTTGTTGCTAATGTCTGTTGAAACTTGAAATCAGATTCTTAGTGGTAGCTCGTTCTTTTCTTTAGAAAAATAGACTTTGAGTTGGGAAAATTGGAAATCTTGAAAAATACGAGTTTTCTTGATGCCTTGTCTTTGGCTGATACGAACAAGATGCATTTTTGATGGATGTGTATGTTAAATATAGAGGTGGGGACTTCTTTGCTGTGAAGGAAGTTTCACTGCTTGAACAGGGAAGTGAGGCACAAGAATGCATACAACAACTCGAGGGGGTGAGATATAAACCTTGCTTATTTCACTACCATTGTCTCATTGATCTTTCAAAAGTACTTGCTAATCTTTCTTTCTTTTTTTTTTTTTTTTTTTTTTTTTTTTTTCTACAGGAGATTGCACTACTTAGTCAGCTTCAGCATCAGAATATCGTGCGATATCGTGGGACAGCCAAGGTATGATCATGTTCTGGCTTTTCCTTTTCCCAGTTGCAGTAGCCTAAACATTTCTTTACTCAATCAATAACTTGTAATATGTAATGCATTTCGCTTTTTTGCAGGACGGGTCGAATTTGTACATCTTTCTTGAGCTTGTATCCCAAGGGTCCCTTCTAAAGCTCTACCAAAGGTACCGGCTTAAGGACCCTGTAGTCTCCTTGTACACTAGACAAATCCTTGATGGTTTGAAATATCTCCACGACAAAGGTTTTATCCACAGGTTAGACTAGTACTGTCGTTCCACAAACTCTTTTTGTCATAGCTGTCCCTGTATTGCATAAGCCTCTGATTTCCTGTATTTTGTGTGTCGCTTACTTTTCTCATTTGATGCGACAAAGGGACATCAAATGTGCAAACATATTGGTGGACGCAAGTGGAGCAGTTAAACTCGCTGATTTCGGATTGGCAAAGGTTCAATGCCATTAATGGATGTTTATAGTTTTTGCATGTAATACCTTCGTATATAGCTAACCTCTTTCTTGATACTCGTGTCATTTTGTTATCTAGGTGTCGAAACTGAATGACATTAAGTCCTGCAAAGGAACTCCATTCTGGATGGCTCCAGAGGTATTGTTCCTTAGACTCCTTTGATTGTGTGAATACAATGATAGACATAAATCCTTGGATCTTGAACGGTTGCGTTACATATGGTACTGATGCGTGACATTGGTTATTCTATTCAGACTTATTTGCTGGATTCATTGTACTTGAGGCTATACGTGTAGGGTTGATTCTAAATGGAACATAATAAATTTGACCAGGTTATTAACCCGAAGCGTACAGATGGGTATGGAAGTTCAGCTGACATATGGAGCCTTGGGTGCACAGTGCTTGAAATGCTGACTGGCAAGATACCTTACTGCGATCTAGAAAACCCTGTAAGTTTTTTCAAGATTTTCGTTACGGGATTTCCGGGGTGAAAGAAGAGTTAATAATAGTCAAGAATTGGTGCGAAAAACTCGCAGGTTCAAGCACTGTTTCGGATAGGAAGGGGTGTGCTTCCGGAGATACCGGACACTCTAACACCAGACTCTCAGGATTTCATACTGAAATGTCTCAAAGTGAACCCGGAAGAGCGGCCAACTGCGGCTGAGCTGCTGAACCATCCGTTTGTGAGAAGGCCCTTATCATCCTCGGGGTCGGGGTCAGGCTCGGGATTGGGATTTGGGATTAGGATCTTGGCTTCTCCATAGACAGAGGCTAACTTAGTAGGTTTGCCTATATAGGTGAAGCTTTTTCGTTTTTGTTAGTATATTATCAGAAGTGGTAGATTCTAACATTGTTGTCCAAAATGTGTGAGAGCAGGCGTAAGCAGGAAGATTTGTGAGAGATGAGAGACCCCCATAGAGACTATTGGGGAGATTCGAGAGATGATTCTTCAACACATGTCAGGTTCGGGTTGGGCAACAAGAGTTATATACTGCCTGGGTAGATTGTTTCTGGCTCATTCGTCGGTGACTTTGTTGTAAGTTGTGTGTGTTGGGCTTGATTTGAAAAGAGCCATATTCTTCTAGGAAAAGGGATTAAAACTTGTTTAAAAAGTGTAATTAGAGTGTCTATGTTGGGGTTTTGTGTGCATAGGTTTTGTAAGATTATTTAGTGTATGTATCCAATATGGCTGTGTTTTGTTAGTGTATGCTGTCATGTAATGTATAATTGGTTTTTATAGTTGTGAGTTGTAACTGTGTTCAAATCGTAAGAGCCTTTTGTTTCTCCATTTGGAATCAGTTAGCATTTTTGTGCCGGAAAAATCTGTTGCTCCAATCATCTATTCATGTATAGTCAAATAATTTCGTTTCATTTTTTTTTTTCGGTCAAAGCCACTTTTTTGTAGTCTATTAACTTGTTATTCGGACAACTTTAGATTCAATCAATTCACAAGTAATAGTATAGATAAGCTTGTGTAGAGTAAACTCATGCTATTATCACAATTCACAACTAATATATGAGCTAAACAAAAAAACTAATATATGAGCTTATTGCTACTCCTTGACTAAGCTTTACTTCGGACATTAAAAAAAGGTTTCTATTTTCTTTTAATCTGCAAAATTAACATTATCTGATGAATGAGTGGAATTATTCTGACCATTAGTGGAGGGCCGCACTTGGAACCTACACCATTGAAGGCCTTAATTTCCACATTGACTCGTAAAGTCTTTGCTATATTTTCCACAACAACTCGTAAAGTCTTATTAACTCATTTGCTATATATTCTCCATCATATACCGCAACATCTTATAATTTGTTCTTTTAAATACTTGTCCTATATATTCCTTCGGATCTATGATGATCATGTCTTGGCAGAAAGGTCAACTTCTTGGACAAGGATCATTTGGCTCCGTGTATTTCAGGGTAAGTCTTACCGGTTGCTGATGTCTCTCAAACTTCAAATAAGATTATTTTTTGAACTTTTTTGTTATCTTGATGTGTAAAGAGATGGGGACTTCTTTGCCGTCAAGGAAGTTTCACTACTTGATAATAGAAGAGAGGCACAAGAATGCATACAACAACTCGAGAGAGTGAGATATATGATCCACACCATATATCATTTCATTGTAGCATTGTCTTGTCTCTTACTTTTGCCACATTTTGTTTTTCTCTGATAGGAGATTGCGCTACTTAGTCAGCTTCAGCATCAGAATATCGTGCGATATCGTGGCACAGCCAAGGCATATATGATCCCCTTTCTTGTTTTCCTTTTCCCTTTGGCAACTGCCTACGCATTTTTATTTATGTTTGGTTTTTGCACAACATGTGTTTGCAGGACGGGTCGAATTTGTACATCTTTCTTGAGCTTGTAACTCAAGGGTCTCTTCTAAAACTCTACCAGAGATACCAGCTTAGGGACTCTGTAGTCTCCTTGTACACTAGACAAATTCTTGATGGTTTGAAGTATCTCCACGACAATGGTTGTATCCACAGGTAAGACTATAGTAGAAAATTTTGTACACCGTCTTCCCACAAACTCTCTTGTCATAGCTGTCCATGAGTCGCTTACATTTCTTATTTGATGATGCTATAAAGGGACATCAAATGTGCAAATATATTGATGGACGCTAGTGGAGTTGTTAAGCTTGCAGATTTTGGATTGGCAAAGGTTCTTTTCCATTACAATGAATGTTTAGAGTTTGTGCTCTAAAAGTGATAACTTTGTTTTTCTCCGTCATTTTGTTATTCAGTTGTCAAACATGAACGACGTTAAGATCTGCAGCATGTGGATGGCTCCAGAGGTCTGTTTTCGAGAGATTATTACTCTTTTGATTATGTGAATACAATGATAGAAAAACCTATCACACATCAACATATAGTTGTTGGGTCTTGAACTTTTCTTTAATATGTTCGTAACATTTCCTTTTTAATTATTTCAATAATCTGGAACTAGTTTTAAATTTCATTTATCTCAGTTTATAATTTTAACTGTAAATAGTAGTCATACATAACAATGTGAGGTTTTTTCAATAAATAAACCATATCTGAGTTCCTTTCACTTCCATATCGTTCAAGGTGTCTATGCGTATACGGTTGATATGTAACATAATAATTTGATCAGGTTATTAACCACAAGCGTACTGACGAGTATGGAAGTTCAGCTGATATATGGAGCCTTGGGTGCACAGTGCTTGAAATGCTGACTGGTCAGATCCCCTACTCGTATATGGAACCCGTAAGTCTTCAATATTTTGAGACTCGCTCTATGTAAAATAGGGAAATTACGGTAAACATCATGCAACTTTATAGATGTTCTGAAAAATGGGTCTTTATGGGTTTCTGTTAAAAAAATAAAAAATAAAAATTCAACGGCGCAGGTTGCTGCTCTATTTAAGATTGGAACGGGTGTGCTTCCAGACATACCTGAAACTCTATCACTCGACGCTCAGGCTTTTATAAATACGTGTCTCAAAGTGAACCCGGAACAGCGGCCAACAGCGGCTGAGCTGCTGAACCATCCATTTGTGACAAGGCCCTTATCGTCCCCGAGCTCAGGTTATGGCCTGGCTCAGTGATAAGTTGATGGTGCATGTGGCTATTGTGCATAAGAAACCGAGGAGTGGAAGAGTGAACCGCATGTCAGAACTTGGAAAAGAAGAAGCTAAGTGAGAAACATAATGAAAGAATAAGCTTTATTCCATTTACATCTTATATATAATTAGGAGAGTTGCTCTCTCCATCTAGAGTGTCCACATCAGCACAAAAACATTAAATTGTATTTAAATATTTATTAAATATATGACTATTCATATTTCTTTACATTTATTCATATTTAATAAAAATATACAAATAAATTAATTAATTAATAGAAAGTATGTGATAATTTGATGTTAAAAGTTATCAAAAAGTTGGAATATAAAATAGAGATGGAGTAAAGAAATATTTAACTTCAAATAGTATATATTTACCTTTTTATTCAAAGGATTTATCCTATTTAAAAATGTTATAATGTGTTTACAAGTTAAAAAGTTGAATATAAATTAATTAAGATAATAGAAAGCTAATGAAACATTAGAGTTAGAGTTTGTTTTTCTAAACAAATAGAAATGGAGTTTTATATGTAAATTTAATTGTAGTGAAAAACAAGAATATGTTTACAAATTTTAACCTTCAGTCAAATGCATATACATATTTATAAATTTTAACCTTCAATCAAATACATATACATGTTTACAGTCTAATAGAAGTAAAAAAAAAGTAAACAAACATAATATTTATAACATGATAAATTTTAGAAATAGAAAACTCGAGATAAAGCGGGGTGTTAATATCCTAATAAATTAAAATAAAAAAAAATTATTCATATTTTTTAGTGTTAGTGGTTGAGTTAACTCAAAACATAACAAAAACATGAAAGTTATACAAAAACCATCATAATTCAAATCAACGAGTATAAATAAAATTAAACAGAAAAACTATCGCAAACAACCCCGCGCTTGCGCGGGGCTTCAAACCTAGTGTTGTTAATTTATCCCAAACTATATCGTTTTTTACCAACAAACATTTGTCTTATGAAATAAAACATACAGGGTCTAAATGGTAACCGAGGAATCTTGCTGAATGCGGAATCTGGCGGAATTAAATAATGAATAGTTGTGGAATCTGGCTGAATAATTAGTAACATGAATGGTAACAACTGAATCTTGCTGAATGCGGAATTAATATTTATAAATTATTTGTGTAACAGAATGACAAAATATTTACCCAATTTAATTAATAAAGCTAAAAAAATTATATATTTGTGAAATAATCAAATACTTTGAAATATCCAAAAATATTTAGTTATATATGTGAACATCAAAAATATTTTTCAAAAATTAACCAAAATCCATTTAAATTAAATAATTGTTGCATCATCGTGATACCTGAACCTCGCGAACGAAGATAAACGAACCTGATGCGGTCTATATTCCGAATCCAAAAAAAAAAAAACCAGAATATAATAACTCATCAACTTTTGTATCTTTTGCTAATTAATCAACTTTCTATATTGAAAAACATCAGTTAAGGCCTAATAATTTTTTTTGCGTAACAGAATAACAAAAAAATTAACGGATTGATAAGAAAAATATTTACCTTGTTGAAATAATAAAATATTTAAAAACATATACCTGTAAAATAACTAAATAATAGTTAGATATAATAAATATTTAAAATACATAGAATGTGGGCATCTAGATACGTAATAAATTATTAAGCATCAAAATTTACAATTAAGTATATATTTACAAAATTTAATAGTTTAATATTACAAATTCATTAAAATAATGATTTCATGAACAAAAATGTAAAAGCTTAATGGGATTTTTTTGTCATTTTGTGGGATTTACTATTATTCAATTAAAAAAAGAAGCTATATCTGTCACATTACACATCACTTCCATGTTTTATTATTTTAAAACTCAGATTCTACAAACTTTAATTCTGTTGCATTCCTCAACTTCAACTGGTGTCACAAATGAAAAATTCAGCCACATTCCTCTTAATTCCACAATTCATCTAACACCAGTTAGGCCCACAGTATATTTTCTTTGAGCATCTTCATTAAGTGAAATACCCTTGAAGTTCTCACTAATTAAAAACTACTATATTCAATATTTTTGTTTTTTTGGGTTTGGCTGAAATTTAAGTATATATTTAATTTAATAGTAGTATGAAACAAATTTTATTAATTAAATGTATTTATTTCATTTAAAGGTAAATGTATTTTTTTTAAACTACGTAAATAAATATAGAGTCCTTTTTAAGAATATATAAATCATCTTTTATATAAAAAAATGTAGTTTCAAATTCTAGCTAAAATTTTTAAATTAATTTCCTAATTTTATTACTTATGTTCTTCATTGTGATTACATATCATCAAGTTAATAAAGAGATTTTCAGAGAAAAAAAATAAATAGATGATAGTTAATATAAAAATTAAAGTTTAATAATATAAATGAAAAAAAAATTGAAAATTTTATTAAGAGATGGTGAGATGTCATAATTTTACACATAGTCAAATAAAAAAATTGTATATTTTAAGAAATGTTGGTGAAAAATATGTTCTAAAATGTTTGGAATCATATTTGGATACAGATTTGGATTTGGATATAACTAAATTCCAGGCATCCTTCAATGAAACTAGGCATGTACATAAGTACTTGTTACCTGCCCAAAACCAGTGATTTGCCTGGTACCGCTTTAAAAATCAAGTACTTGTTCGAAGTAAAGCAGGTCACAAGTTGGAAAATTTTAATACTTGTAGGTAAAAGACAAGTATCAAGTCAATATTTAATTTCGATACTTGCTCCGTTATTATTTGCTTCACTAATAAATCAAAGCCCAACATATTATAGGTTCATAGTTTAATACTCCCTTCGTTCCATAATACTTGATGTTTAAGCATTTTTTCTTTGTTCCATATTGCTTGATGTTTTAGTTTTTTAAAGTTACTTTTTGACTAATTAATGATAAAACATTACAAACTTAAAAAAGAAAAGCTAAAAGTATTTGAATACTTAAATACTATTGGGTAATGTTGATTGAAAAGTAGTTAGTTTAAGGAAACAATTTATTAAAACCTTAACATTAAATGTTTCTTAATTTACGTGAAAAACCTACAACATCAAGTATTGTGGAACGGAGGGAGTAGTTCATAAGAGAAAACCCAAAACATTCTAAAAATGCAGCCCAATACATGTTTTTTTTTTTTTTTTTTTTCTTTCTTTTTTTGTAAAACTAGGCAAATAAATGAGGCAAAGCAAATACTCACCATTTTTTTCAGAAAATTTATGGGTTACAAAGCAGTGTAAGTATTTGCAAGTCGGCCAATTTTGTATCTCATAAAACAAGTCACACGTCGATTTTTTTATAAATCGAACGAGCAACACAAATCGCAAGTATAGCAAAAAAACCCAAGTATAGCCTGCTTCGATTGGTGACATGTGGTATCACAGTTGAGTTGAAAAAAAATGAAATAGTTGCATTATGTAGTAAGTTTTCTGTGGAATTTAAAAAATAAATAAAAAAGCAGAAAATAAAAATAATATTTTAAAAAAACGTGGAAAGAAGAAAAAAAAAAAACTGCTAGATCAAACTCTACTACCGCTATACCACATTCTAACTGGAACAAAACATGGAATAGTTGCATTTTCCATGTGGTAAATTTTTTATTTAAGTTAACTATTTTACAGATGACATACATCAAAATTCTCTTTCAACTATATACCACATTCTAACTCTAACTGCAAAAAGTTAAAAATAAATTATTGATAATGTTTTTGAATTATGACCATTAATCAAACTTACCACAGAATACCACATGTCACAGGTCAAATGAAACCAACTGCAATTCTCGTTTCTTTGAAGTGAATATAATTTACGAAACCCAATTGGGCTTATGATTTCTCAAACAACACTAAACAAAGCCGAAAAGTTAGGGGCCTTAATTATAATAAACACTGAAATCTCTCGGCCTCAGATTCACCTATCGCCACCGTCGCTTACGACGTCTCCTCCGTGACTGCCGCAACCAAACAGCCCCTCATCCGCCGGGTTTTCATCGGTTCTGATTCTCCGAATTACGCTCAATTGTCTAACTTATTCGATCTCGTATGATCTCCGATCTGTTTCCTGTTAATCCCTAACTGCTCTTGAAGAGCCGTAATCATCTTTTCCTTGTTTCGATATTTGCTCTGAGATTCTGTATCACCGTTATCCAAATTCCCTCACGGATTCGAACTTTAGGGTAGTCAGTGTGTTATCTATTCCAATCCGAAATTTTGTAGCGTTTCGTTCTCTTTCGTGCTTGTGTTTAGGTTTATATTTCGACTAGTGTTGCAGTTTGAACAATGCTTCATTAAAAAATACATACTGCTGAAAATTAAGTTTTAATCGATAATGTTATCAAATTGATTGTCAAATGGGACACCTTTGGATTAGCAAGTAGCACATTTGTTCACGAATCCTATTTGTTGTGGCATTATCGTTACAATCTGAGTTTTTAATGGAGTAGTTCATGGATCATGATCAAAGATGTGAAACTCTTAGGTTTTGTTCATCATTGTTAGTAGTGTCTTGTATTTCAGATTGTGAGAGATATGCTTATTCAGCAGTTTCCTTGAATGACGTCAGAAACTTAAACTCCGTCTTTGAATGTAATTTTGTGTAGAAATGTTGGTTGTTCTGGAAGAGTCCTGTGAAGTATATTCTCAATGATAATATTTTGATGCTGTAGATTGAGCCAGAAGATGGGGAGAGTGAATGCAGATGGTGTCCATTACCGGGCTGGAGAAAGGCCCAAGGCTGTTAAGAAAATCAAAAAGACTATCACCAAAGTAAACAAGGAGCAACGAGAAAAAGTAAAACCTTGGAAGGGCGTGACATGCCCTGTGTGTCTCGAGACCCCTCACAACGCCGTCGTCCTCCTCTGCTCATCATACCACAAAGGATGCCGTCCTTACATGTGCGCCACCGGAAACCGGCTCTCCAACTGTCTCGAACAGTACAAGAAAACGTGCGAAAACGACGGGAAGCCCGCGGAGCTGCTGTGCCCGCTCTGTAGGGGTCAGGTGAAAGGATGGACCGTTGTGAGAGACGCGAGGAAATATTTGAATGCTAAGAGAAGGGCGTGCACGAAACACAACTGTTTGTTTTTCGGAAGCTATAGGCAGCTCAAGAGGCATGTTAAAGCGGATCATCCGAGAGATAAACCGAGAGCTGTAGACACTGTGATGGAGGAGAAGTGGAAGAAGCTTGAAGGTGAGAGGGAGAGGAGTGATGTGATTAGCACGGTCATGTCGTTGACACCTGGTGCTAGGATTGATGGTGACTATGTGATCGAGCCGTATCGCCGTCGCCGTCTTGTCCCTCGGGTTTTCCCTCGGCGCTATCGCTTTGTCTCTCGCTGACAAAATCTCATTACATTTTAGCTTTCTTTAGTTTTTGTTTTTATTCCATCTTCTTGATATCTAAAATGTCATTAGAAGAAATTGGAGTAAATGCCCAACGATGTGAAAGATTCTCTCTTTATAACATTCTTTTTTAAATGATGAAACAAAGAAATCAAAATTTGCAATTTTTGTGTGTACAAGCAATGTATGTGTAGATTTTCATGGCTACAATATCGTATAGTAAATACGTATTAGTAAGGGGGCATATATTTAAAAACTGAAAGTATATGGCCTCTTTTTAAAATCCGCAAACTATTGCAACTATTTTGTAAATTATCAGAAATATCGGGGCGAAACTAAAAAGCTCAAAAAGAGAGAGAGAGAGAGTGAGAACAGTAGCAACGACAACAAACAAACGTCACTAGCGAAGAGAACGATGTGGCGCCGGAGCTTTAGTACGAACGCCGGCCACACATTAGGCGAATTGAGGAAGAAGAAATGGGACGCGGTGGTGATTGGAGGCGGGCACAACGGTTTGACTGCGGCGGCTTACCTAGCTCGCGGTGGTCTCTCCGTCGCAGTTCTCGAGCGCCGCCATATCATCGGTGGGGCGGCAGTGACGGAGGAGATCGTACCTGGCTTCAAATTTTCACGCTGCAGTTACCTCCAGAGCTTGCTTCGTCCTTCTATTATTAGGTTTAACACTAAAACCGATTCGATTATAGTTCGATCGTCTCTGAACTCTGATCAACGGATTGTTTGACATTTTGGTTTGAATTTGATTTGTATTGAAAGAGATTTAGAATTAGGCAAGCATGGCTTGAAGCTTCTGAAGAGAAACCCTTCGTCGTTTACGCCTTGTTTGGACGGACGTTATCTTCTGCTGGGACCAAATCAAGAGCTCAATCATTCTGAGATTTCCAAATTCTCGAAACACGACGCTGAGGCTTACCCAAGGTGATTTTTCTTCAGATGTTTGGGTAACTATTCAAATCAAACAACTCTTTCTTGTTTTGCTTACAGATACGAGAAGCAGCTAGAGAGGTTCTGCGGATTCATGGATCCTCTATTGGATGCAACTCCTCCAGAATCTCTGCAAGGAGCCTCTTCTTTTAATGAAAAGCTGAGCAACAAAATGTATAAATCTGCTTTTTGGGCTCGTTGTCTCCGGCAAGCAGCTTCTTTGGGGCAAAAAGATATGGTGTATGATCGATGTCTCCTAGTTTGAAGTGTTAAAATGCTGTAACATTATCTGTTAGTATGGCTTATTGATTTCATTGAACTTAGAGTCTCCATTGTTAATCGAAATGCTCTCTTTTTTTGTGTGTGTAGGGACTTCATGGATCTTTTATTGTCCCCAGCTTCAAAAGTTTTGAACAACTGGTTTGAGGTGGTTTTAGCACATTCTGGTCTGTTAATACAGCCTCAGTCTCTGAATATTTGATAATCTAGCGTTTTGTGTTGCTCTTGTGCTTGGCAGTCCGATGTTCTGAAGGCGACTCTTGCAACAGATGCTGTGATTGGATCTACGGTAATTGACCTTCCCAATGATCTTGAGAGATTTTTGTGGTTCCAAAAGTTCTTGAAGTCGAGATGAGAGATGCTTATTCATAGATTGATACACGTAAATGTAATGCTCTTAAACATTTTGGTACACAGGCCAGTGTCCATACTCCTGGAAGTGGATATGTTCTGCTACATCATGTGATGGGAGAAACAGATGGAGAGCGTGGCATTTGGTCGTACGTATCTAAATCGTTGAACTTTTAGAATCAGTCCTGGCTACCACTGAATAGCTGATAAGAAGTGATTTGCAGTTACGTTGAAGGTGGAATGGGGTCTGTCTCCATGGCTATAGCCAATGCTGCAAAGGAAGCCGGCGCTAAGATCTTCACAAACGCAGAGGTATTTGTTCCGTTTTAGTTATCATCTCTGTCTTATCGGGAAAAAAAAAGGCACTTAGTATATTCAAATTTGCATTTATCAGGTTTCTGAAGTACTGACTGAGGATTCTAGCATCGTGAAAGGGGTTAGTTTTGTTTTCAATGATTTCTAAAATTTGAAGTTAAACTAATTTGGTATGTACATATGGTATAAGGTTTTACTTGCTGATGGTACACAAGTGGAGTCGTCTGTTATATTGTCCAATGCAACTGCTTACAGAACTTTTGTGGTAAAATCTTTTCATGTCATCCTCGCAAAATCTCCCATTATATTCCCAGTATAAATTGATTTTCTTTCTGTTTTTTCAATAACAGGAGCTAGTTCCGAACAATATCCTTCCTGAAAAATTCGTCGATTCTATTAAGAACTTAGATTACAGCTCGGTAAGCATTTTTAGATGCTAATTACAAAAAGCCTAAATATATTGGTGACTGGTTGTTTAATTGATGTAAACAGGCAACTACGAAAATAAACTTGGCTGTGGACAAGTTACCGCAATTCAAGTGCTGCAACAAAAACAAGTCTAGTCCAGGTCCAGAGCATTTTGGCACTATACACATTGGTGCAGAGAGGTTTGCTTCAATGTTATTTTTGTCTTTCACTTTTTTTTTTTGCGCATCTCCATGAACAAATAAAAGCGATTCCAATGGCTCTGTTCTGTCATCGGCTTGGTCAGCATGGAGGAGGTTCACTCAGCATGTCATGACTCTGAAAACGGCTTACCATCGAGAAGACCAGTGATCGAAATGACTATTCCATCGGCACTGGACAACACCATTTCTCCTCCAGGGAAGCATGTAATCAACCTGTTCATCCAATACACTCCTTACAAGCCATCAGATGGAAGCTGGGAAGATCCTACTTACCGAGTGAGTTAAAGTTGGTACACTCTTCTTCTCTAACGTCATTACTGTTCCTCTTTGCTGATGATTTTCGCTGGAAACAGGAAGCATTTGCACAAAGATGTTTCGGATTGATTGACGAATACGCACCCGGGTTTAGCTCATCCGTCATTAGCTACGACATGCTGACTCCTCCCGACCTTGAACGGGAGATTGGTCTAACAGGAGGAAACATCTTTCACGGAGCCATGGGGTTAGACTCTCTCTTTTTGATGCGACCGGTGAAAGGATGGTCAAACTACAGATGCCCTTTGAAAGGTCTCTACTTGTGCGGCAGCGGAGCTCATCCCGGAGGCGGAGTTATGGGCGCTCCGGGAAGAAACGCCGCGCAAGTTGTTCTTCACGACTTGAAACGCCGTTGATGCTGACCAAGGAGAGCCAAGAAGAAGTATGAATAGAGTATATTGTGTAATTGAGAGTTTTATTATGCTTATGTTATAACAATATGAGTCTCAACTCTCAACATGGTTCGTTATTGATGTCGATTATCCTAAGCCATGAGAGTGTAATGAAGATTGGAACGTGCAAAGCTTCTTTTCAACGATTGATTATTCAGCTTACAGATTTCAAAAATCTTTCATGAAGATCATTTGGAGAGGTCAGAAAAAAGACAAATTGATAAACCAATTCTCCAATATTGCTCATGATCGGTCCAGATTGGGCCTAGTGGGCTATATAATCATGAGAATAAAGAGATGGGCCTTTGATATCTCAAACAACACCGAAAAGTTAGGGCCTTATAAAACACTTGAAATCTCTCGGCGACAGATTTTACTCAATCGCCACCGTTGAGACCGCCGCTTAGGGCGTCTCCTCCTCCGTATTTACCAGAACCAAACAGCTCCTCATTCGCCGGAATCCCGTCGCTTCCGATTCTTCGGGTAAGATCGATCTCTAAGCTGTTCCATTTTGTAACTTGTCCGATCTACTCGAATCCGAAACGGTTCCTTGAGAGTTTTTCCATCGTCTTTTGCCTTATCTCGATCTTTTACTCTGAGAGATTCTTTATTAGGGTTATACAATTGCCTCACGATTTGTGTATTCTGTGTTGTTTATACTTTATTATCGCTTTTACTTTTTTTTTAGTTCTGCTTTCAGAAGATCTCGACTTCTTTATGCTCTGTTTCATCATTTTGAAACTGTTTTTGCCAATTCAATTTTGTAGCTTTTGGTCTCTTTCTTGCTATGGTTTATGTCTGTACATACTGTTGAAATTGAAGTAGTAATGGATCAAATTTAGTCTCTTTGCGCAAAGGAGAGAACTTTGGTCTTTGGGTTATCTAAAGAGTTCAGAAATGAAACAAATATCACTTTGGATTAGCTAAAGAGTTCAGAAATGAACCAAAGATCACTTTGGATTAGCTAAAGAATTGAGAAATGAAACCACGATCACTTTGGATTAGCTGAAGAATTCAGAAATGAAACAACGATAACTTGTGGATTACCTAAGTAGCATTTTTGTTTAGGGATATTGTTATTCTTCTCCTTCCGTTTGGTATTTCTGGTGTTACATTTGAGTTATCCGAAATCTTATTGTGTTTGAAGTTCATGAGCAGGAAAATCCTGAGAGTTTGAGCCAATGCTATCGGCGCGAGAACCTGGAAAGTTGTTGTTTTTTTTTCCCGGGCCGATAAAGCTCTGCTGGCATTAAGATGGGTTAGGTTTGGGTAGGATGGTGTTTAGGGAAAAGGTAAGTATGCTTCACTTACAAAAGAATCATTTAGAACCGTGTTCCTTTCTTTGGGGTCCAAATGTGTTTTCTTGTGCTTATCCCATGGACGTAAAGGTCTCTGTTTTGATTCTTGGACTAGAAGCATTCTTGCCCTTCTTTTAACATGGTATAGTTGCTCTGAGTTAGTAGTTCTTGGATCATGTTCCAAGATGTGATACACTCTTAGCTTGTGAGAAACATAAACTTTTGTACAGGATTGTTGTTGGTTGATCTGGCTATTCTCATTTCTATATTTTTCTTAATAATATCTTCTGATGTTGTAGATTCAGTCAGGAGATGGGGAGAGTTAATGCAGATGGTGTCCACTATCGATCTGGAGAGAGGCCCCAGCCCCATTTTCCGTCTGGAGGTCCAATGGTTCTTAACAAAATCAAAAAGGTTATAAGCAAGGAGAAGCGACATGCCAAGGCTCTGAAAGGAAAAGCATGGAAAGGTGTGACATGCCCTGTGTGTCTTGAGATCCCTCACAACTCTGTCGTCCTCCTCTGCTCATCTTACCACAAAGGTTGCAGACCGTACATGTGCGCCACGGGAAACCGGTTCTCCAACTGTCTAGAGGAGTACAAGAAAGCCTATGCAAAGGACGAGAAGAGCGGTGGACCAGCAGAGCTTCTGTGCCCGCTTTGCAGAGGTCAGGTTAAAGGCTGGACCGTTGTGGAAGATGCGAGGAAGTATCTGAATTCCAAGAAGAGGGCATGCATGAAGGACAAGTGTTTGTTTTCCGGAAGCTATAAACAGCTGAAGAAGCATGTCAAGGCGGTTCACCCGAGAGCCAAACCGAGAGCTATAGACCCTGCGCTGGAGGCGAAGTGGAAGAAGCTTGAAGGTGAGAGGGAGAGGAGCGATGTGATTAGCACAGTCATGTCGTCAACACCTGGTGCTATGGTGTTTGGAGACTATGTGATTGAGCCGTACAACGATGCTTATGACGACGATGATGACATTGACTCTGATGATTCTTCGGAAGGTGAGTACTTTGATTTGGGGTCGCTAGGAGCGTTTGACATGAGCCGTCTTCAGTCTCGTTCGGTTCCGGCCATCTCGAGCAGGGGACTTCGGAGTTTGTTCATGGGCAGCCACCGGTTCCGAGGCAGCAGAGGTGGGAACAGAAGGCGGCAGACGTAATGGTTGATGTTTTGTAAACTGGTTTGATTCTGTGTCTTCCGACAACGATTTAAGCTTTGAGCTTTTATGAAGCCTTGGGCAGCAAGGAAACGAGAGAAAGGGTTGACTTTTTTTGAGTTAGCTGTTTAGGGTTTCAGGTTTGGAAGATTGAGTAGGGTGTTGTTCCCTTGACCTTTGATTTTTGAAAGAAACGATTCAAATGCTTTGGGTACTTTTGTTTCATCTTGTTTCTCTCTTTAGCTCCTTTAGTTTTAGTTTTAATTTTGATAGTTGGATCAAAAAAGTAAAGATATTGGGGAAAAACAAACACACGTACTAGACAATACAACAATACAACAAACCAATTTCGATCCTTCCTCTACTTAGCGTGAAATATACAAACAGTAAAAATATTGGAGAAACCATTTTAAGTAGACCAAGTACACAAGTTTGCAAGATCACATTTCTCTTTTTGTTTCTTCAGTTATACATATATCTCTCCTTGTATCCACTGAAAGTAATGATTAATGAATGAACTTCGCCAGGTTCTTATTTATTTATAGTTTTTAATTGTTTTGCCGGCTATAAAAAATCTTTTTTTTTTAGTATTTATTAAATTAACAAGAAAAGTGTTGAGTATAATATACAACATTTTCTCCATCTAACGCCCTAACTAAATAGCATAACAAAATATTTGAAGAGTTCAACATGTTTCATAATCACGAAACGATTAATTAACATCCAACCAATACCATGAAAAACATTGAGCTAATAATATTCAAGAAGCGATTGATTAATTAATCAAAATGTAAGATCAAAGGATAAAAAAAATATGAAAACTCTAAAGCAAATTCAGTTTCTCCAACAAAACTCCACACGAACTTTCTCTCTTGAACTCATAACTCCCTTTGACTTCTTTAATCACGTTTTGAGAAGTCAGATTGCTCAAAGCTCCTTTCGCAAGAGTTGGAGGAACCGGTCTCCAGTAAGCCAGCATTGAAAATTTGTTTCTGTTGGTGGTCTACTTGAGCTCGTAGATTCTTCTGAAAAATAATTTTGTGCCCTTGCTGCATTTTTCACCTGTTTTAAGGTATAGGCATCGTAAATGTCAAGGACAAAATGTGGATCTCTTTTCTTGATCTCCATATATTCCTCCGTTTTAATGACCATATCCATATTATCTATGATATGAGTCAATGCAGCATCAGACAACTGTTTTGCGTTGTGCTGATGTGCAAAGACATACGCCATGAAAGAATTTTCTGGAGTCAGCTTGGTCACCAAATACTTCTCGCAGCAATCGTTGAGGTGTTTAACTTCGAATTTATCTGACATTACCAAAAGCTGGCAAGCCAAATAATCATCAAGACATACTTCAGCAGTGTAGAGAAAACTGACAAACGTCCGAAGCACATCATAAGAGACGTCACTGATCCTTACTATGCCAGTATAAGATTCTTCCATCTCATTCTCAAGCATTGCTTTGAAGACTCTTGAACGACTTACCTGGTAGCGAAGTTAGAGAGAAATTTAAATTCATAGTTAAATAAATTTTCTTAGGCATATATATGTATAAGTTTATATAATTATTACTTTAACTTATTAGTTTTCAAAAATATTATTTTCTTATCATCTTATCGCATATTGCTTGTTTTTACACCGACCCGAGTTGGGATTGAAGAAATTTATTATCTAATGATTATTACTTTTTCAAGTGTTACTTTATAGAGGTTTTACTGTATATGGAGAATTTTCCTCATATCAACACATATCTTTGTTAAAAACACTAAATGCACCCAAAAAAACACAGTGTTCTCGTTAATAAAATAGGGTTTTTGAATGCTATAGCTTTTTTTTACGTTTTAAAAATGTGATTATGTCAAGTACACATCATTCAAAGTAATGAAAACAAAATATAAAAAAGTGGAAATAAAATAAAAACTATTTTTAGTCTATCCCCTACTTATAAATTTATAATTAGTTTAGACTAAACATGATTCAACTAGCTAATAAATATTGATAATATTGACGTTTTAAATTTATTCAGTTTCGAGTGTTCTTATTCTACTAATTTCGCCCTAAATGTGTAATTTTGAAAAATGACACTTCAAAATGTGTATTTTTGAAATTTCTCCATTCTAGTATTTTGAGATTATGCTCATATTTCAGATCTTGCATTGAACAATTCTAATTTATCCTAAATTTTCATGGTTAGCAAAGATGAATGGATTCATATACAAAAATCATATAAATAACGATGAACAAAGCGTTTTTTGTTTTAGTAGATTCTAGATATTTTAAATGATAAACAGTATTCACTAAATGACGAAGTAAACACATAAAGAAATTGAATATTTGGTAGACAAATAACAAAGTAACTCATCAAAAAGACAGAAATTATCATCCAAACAATATTTGAAATGTGAAAAAAAAATTAGAGAACAAGCCAGAATTGCTTTATGAGCAGTAATAGGAGGTGAGGCTACGCCGTCCACAGAATCAGCAAAGAGAACAACGTCAGGGAATGACCTGGAGCTACTGCCATGATCCAGAGAAGACGATAACCGAAGGAAATCAACTTTGGCCTTAAGGACATTGTTCTCCTCCATGAGCTCTTCCATAGCCTCGCGGACTTCATCGTAGCACTTCTTGCAAGTGCCAACATGGTGAGGGAGGCACACATCTTGACAAGAGTTGCAGCGGATCGCCATGTCAATGGAGGAATCGCTGTTGGAAACGTTGTTCATTGTACACAACAGAGTTTAGTAAACCCAACAACTTTAAAAAATCAGAATCGCACGCTCCCCCTTTTTATTACTGATTCCAAATATTAGTATTTGGTAATTTGTTGACCAGAAACAAATTGCATATATATATTTAGGGTTATTTTTTTTCTTTCCCAAAAATATTTAGGATTTGAATCAAATGCATGCATTGGATTTGTCACAAGATTTGAACATATCTTATTCTGCTTTTTCAACCACGTCAGGGTCCTTGCAATAACTTACTTTTTAGTGGAATCACATTAAATTTATATGGATTTAAATATTTCTTAACAATTCAAATGTTTCTTATTAAAACAATTCTTAGTGAGAAAAAAGAAATGTAGGGCTGGTCTTGCCATTTTTATTTTACCATAAACCTCATATCTGTTTCCTGCGTTGTCAGATGTTTCCGTTTCTGCTAACTTAATGGTCTCTTGTAGATCTCTATCTATATTTGAATAGATTTTTGTCATTTCAGACTTTCCAGATGCACCACATGAGTATCCTTTGAGAATCTCCAAAAAAGGTGATATGTTTTCCCAACTTTTCCCAAATTTTCTCTAAATTTTGGTCTGTTTTCCCAAACTTTCAATGGCGCTAAAATATTGTTTTTGTTTCTTTAGTGTTTGTTAAATTAACTAGGAACTTGAGGAAATTAAATATATAACACATTCTCTCCATCCACCATAACTAAAACTTGACAAATTTTATAAGAGTTTAACATGATCCATAATCACGAAACAACATGAAAAACATTTAACTTATATTCAAATAGCATATGATTATTTAATAAAAAAAGTAAGATAAGGGTTAAAAAAAAATCAATGAGTTCATGAAGGCACGTATAACGCCCCTATCGGCCCTCCCGGTGAGTCACCCACGCCTTCTCTCTGGGCCTGTGGGCCTCACCCCTATCTGAAGGCCGGTCCGTTATTTTTGAGAGACTCTAATGACTTGTGGATTGTGTACTATCCCTGCGATCAACACCCGACCTTTCCCGTGTTTTAGCCTCACTCACACGATTGAAACCACTTCCCGGAAGGTCACCCATCCTTCAACTACTCCAGCCCAAGCACGCTTTAACTCTGGAGTTACTTATAGACTTTTTACCGAAAAGGTAAGTGCACTTTGTTGACATAAGTAGCCAAATCAATTCTCTTAAGCCTCTCCTCATTTATCACAAATCGGGATTTTACACCACCAGTCTAAAACCGATTTAACTTTTTTGCTCATCATACCACAAAGGTTGCAGACCTTACATGTGTGCGACGGGAAACCGGTTCTCCAACTGTCTAAAGGAGTACAAGAAAGCCTATGCAAAAGATGAGAAAAGCGGTGGACCAGCAGAGCTTTTGTGCCCGCTTTGTAGAGGTCAGGTTAAAGGCTGGACCGTTGTGGAAGATGCGAGGAAGTATCTGAATTCTAAGAAGAGGGCATGCATGAAAGACAAGTGTTTGTTTCCCGGAAGCTATAAACAGCTCAAGAAGCATGTCAAGGCGGTTCACCGGAGAGCCAAACCAAGAGCTATAGACCCTGCGCTGGAGGCGAAGTGGAAGAAGCTTGAAGGTGAGAGGGAGAGGAGTGATGTGATCAGCACAGTCATGTCGTCAACACCCGGTGCTATGGTGTCTGGAGACTATGTGATCGAGCCGTACAACGATGCTTATGACGACGATGATGACCTTGACTCAGATGATTCATCGGAAGGTGAGTACTTTGATTTGGTGTCGCTAGAGCGTTTGACATGAGCCGTCTTCAGTCTTGTTCGGTTCCAGCCATCTCGAGCAGGGGACTTCGGTGTTTGTTCATGGGCAGCCACCGATTCCAAGGCAGAGGTGGGAACAGAAGGCGGCAGGCGTAATGATTGATGTCTTGTAAACTGGTTTGGATTCTATGCCTTCCGACAAAGATTTAAGCTTTGAGCTTTATGAAGCCTTGGGCAACAAGGAAACAAGACAAACGGGTTGACTTTTTTTGAGTTAGCTGTTTAGGGTTTCAGGTTTGGAAGATTGAGTAGGTGTTGTTCCCTTGACCTTTGATTTTTGGACAAAAAACGATGTATATGCTCTGGCTACTTTTGTTTCATCTTGTTTCTCTCTTTAGCTCCTTCAGTTTTTATTTTATTTTTATATTGGGGTAAAAATACACACTTAACTAGACAAAGTACAACAAACCAGTGAAATATCTCACTTAGAGCATCTAAGTGTATTTTTACCTTATATATTATTTCGATTTAAATATTTTTTTAGTTCATTTTATTTTATACTCTCTTCGTTTCATAAGAAGTATCATTTGGAGAAAATGTTCTGGACAATATTGGATATATTTAGACAATAATAAGTGTCATTTTGAGTTAAATACATTCATACATTGAATTCTCATTTATCTTAAATGACACTTATTATGAAACAGAGGGAATATCATTAATTTTTTTTTATAACTTTTAACACCAAATAATCATATACTCTCTCCGTTTCAAATTAGTTGTCATTTTGGCAAAATGTATCTGCAAATATTTGGATGTATCTGGACGGGTTTTGCATTGCAGATACATTTTGCTAAAATGACAATTAATTTGAAACGGAGGGAGTATTTTATATTAATTAATTTGTATTTTTTAATTTAATTTATATGTAAGATATAAATATATATATAAATAGTATAAATGACATGTATTTAATAAACTTTTAAAATAAAATTTAATTTAGAATATTTAATTTTAAACTAATAATTATTGTAGGATCTATTATGCGTTATTGTGGGTAGTCTTAACTGAGAGAAAACTCTATAGTTTATATATAAAATGAAAAAGGGAAAATATATTTCGATCCTTCCTCTACTTCATCATGAAATATATATAAAAAAGGAAAAATAATGAAAGACCATTTATGTAGACAAAGTACACACAAGTTTGCAACATCACAATTCTCTTTTTGTTTCTTTTTGAATATCTCTCTTCTTGTAAACATTTAAAGTAATGAATGAAGTTTGAACGTTATGAAAATAAAAACCTTATAAAGGCTTCGTCAAATTCTTATTTATTGAACTTTTAATTGTTCTGCCGCTAGAATTTTCTTTTTAATTAAATTAACAAGAAAAGTTTTGTGATATATACCACATTTGACATTCTCTCCATCTAACGCCCTAACTAAAGAAGCATGACAAAAGAATTGAAGAGTTTAACATGTTTCATAATCACGAAACGATTAATATCCAACTAATAAAAAATATTCAAGAAGCAATTGATTAATCGTAGATCTCCATGGAAAATATTTTTGTGTCATCGCTGCATATTTAACCTTTTTTATTGTATACGCCTCGTACATGTCAACGACAAGATGTGGATCTCTTTTCTTGAGCTCCATGTATTCCTCCGTTTTACTAATCTTATCCATATTATCTAAAATATGTGTCAATGCAGCATTAGACAAGTGTTTTGCGTTGTACTGTTGTGCAAAGACATACGCCATGAGAGAATTTTCTGGAGTCAGCTTCGTCACCAAATACTTCTCGCAGCGATCGTTAAGGTGTGTAACTTCAAATTTATCTGACACTACCAAAAGCTGGGATGCCATTTGTTCATCAAGACATACTTCAGTGGTGTAGAGAAAACTGACGAACGTTCGAAGCGCATCATAAGAGACGTCACTGATCCTTACTATGCCACTACGGGATTCTTCCGTCTCATTCTCAAGCATTGCTGTGAAGACTCTTGAACGACTTACCTGGCAGCAATATTCACACTGTCAGTTTCGGGAAAAGAGACTATGAATTATGGAAGAATGGTAACTTCACTAAAGGTGGTTTTACAAAACCTACACAGCTCTCGACCTCTCGTTATATATATGATACATATAAACGTGACAAACCATTTGACAATCAAACGTACACATGGCAATATTCCATTTTTTATAATCATTTTTGGTGCAAAGATGGAATTTTAGTTCTAACAAAAGAGCACAACACACCATCAATAAAATATATAAGCGATTGAAAATATATGATAAAAAATACACAGTAAAACCTCTATAAGTAATAACGTTGGGACTTAAAAAAATTATAATCTTATCAATATATTACTTTATCGATAAATTTAATATTTGTTAATTTATAAAAATATGTATTTTTAATTCATTATCTATGAAAGTTATTCTTATGTTTTAAGAATTTAGAAAAAATATATGTTAATATGAGATGCAAAAATTTGAAATTATGATTAACTTTTTTGGATATCGTAATAAAATATATTTTATTAGTTAAATATATATTAAAACTTTTGATATATGATCAAATTAAAAGTTTAGGAAAAAATGATTGATATTAATATTGATAATTAAGTTAGAAATATTACGATGTATTTAAACATAACACAAAGAAATAACGTGTTTTGAAAATATTTAACAATTTTATATGCATATAATTAAAATTGTATTATGAGTTTTTTTACATAATAAAAAGTTATAGATAAAATTAAATTCATAGTTTAATAAATTTTCTTAGGAATATATATGTATATATATTTTCATATAATTAACTTATTATTGAGACCATATTTTTACATAGGAGTTTTTCAAAAAAAAAATTTGTCATATCATCTTACAGCATATTGCTTATTTTTACAATGACCGGAGTTGAGACTGGAGAAATTTATTATCTTACTTTAACGAGTAATACTTTATAGATGTTCTACTATATATGGAAAATTTGCCGCATATCAGCACATATCATTGTTAAAAACACCAAATTCACCCAAAAAACAACCACCGTGTTCTCGTTCAAATATATGATTTTTGAATGATATAGCTTTTTCACGTTTTAGAAATGTGATTATGCCAAGTACATACCATTCAAAGTAATGAGAACAAAATAATAAAATGTGAAATTTAACAAACTAGTTTTGGTCTATCTAGAACTTTTAAATTTATAACTAGTTTAGACAAAACGTAATTCATCTAATAAATATTAATAGTTTTGACGTTTTAAATTTATTCAGCTTTTAGTGTTCTTATCCTACTAGTTACGCCCTTAAATGGACACCTCAAACTGCGTATTTTTGATATTTTTCATTTCCAGTATTTTGTGATTCTGCTCATATTTCAGTCAAGATTGTAGTTCTTGCATTAGAACAAGTCTAGTTTATCCTAAATTTCCATGGTTAGCAAAGATCGATGGATTCATATTTAAAGATCATATAAATAACGTTGGACAAAACGTTTTTGATAGTCAATTCTAGATCTTTTATGAAGACCCTTTAACAAAAAAAAGTTCTAGATCTTTTAAATGATTAATGAACAGTTTTCACTAAATGACGAAGCACCGAACACATAACGAAATTGAATATTTGGTAGAAAAACAACAAAGTTAACTCATCAAAAAGACTATCGCCCAAACAATAAATGTGAAAAAGATAGAGAACAAACCAGAATGGCTTTATGAGCAGTAATAGGAGGTGAGGCTACGCCGTCCTCAGAATAAGCGATGAGAACAACGTCAGTGAATGACTTGGAGCTACTGCCATGATCGAGAGAAGACGATAAGCGAAGGAAATCAACTTTGGCCTTAAGGACATTGATCTCCTCCATGAGCTCTTCCTTAGCCTCGCGGACTCCATCGTAACACTTCTTGCAAGTGCCAACATGGTGAGGAAGGCACACATTTTGACAAGAGTTGCAGCGGATTGCCATGGAGGAATCGCTATCGGTATCGCTGTTGGAATCGGAGTTTATTGTACACAACAGAGTTTAGTAAACCCAACAACTTTAAAAAATCAGAATCGCACGCTCCCCCTTTTTATTACTGATTCCAAATATTAGTATTTGGTAATTTGTTGACCAAAACAAAATTGCATATATTTATTTAGGGTTAACTTTTTCTTTCCAAAAAATATTAAGATTTGATACCATATGAGTCAAATGCATGCATTTAATTTGTCACAATATTTGAACATATCTTATTCTTCCTTTTCAACCACGTCAGGGTCCTGCAGTAACTTACTTTTTAGTGGAATCACATTAAATTTCCATGGATTTAAATCTTTTTTAACAATTAGATGTTTCTTATTAAAACAATTCTTAGAGAGAAAAAAAAATGTAGGGCTGGTTTTGCCATTTTTATTTCACCAACCCTCATATTTGTTTCCTGGGGCTTGTACGTTGTCAGAGGTTTCCTTCTAATGATTGGTACTTTGCATCTCAAACCAAATTTGAGCCTTCGTTTCTGCTAACTTAATGATCTCTTGTGGATCTCTATCTATACTCCCTCCGTTTCAAATTAGTTGTCGTTTTGGCAAAATGTATATGTAAATATTTGGACGTATCTGAACGTATTTTGCATTGCAGATACATCAAAATAATTGCAGATACATTTTCCCAAAATGACAACTAATTTGAAACGGAGGGAGTATTTGAATAGATTTTATCATTTCAGACTTTCCAAGTATCTTTGAGACTCTCCAAAATAGGTGATATGTTTTCCCAACCTTTCCCAAATTTTCTCTAAATTTTGGTCTGTTTTCCCAAACTTTCAATGGCGCTAAAATATTGTTTTTGTTTCTTTAGTGTTTGTTAAATTAACTAGGAACTTGAGGAAATTAAATATATAACACATTCTCTCCATCCACCATAACTAAAACTTGACAAATTTTATAAGAGTTTAACATGATCCATAATCACGAAACAACATGAAAAACATTTAAATATTTATGATGGAGGCGGCCGGGGATGGAGAGAGACAATTTCTGGTATATATTCTCTCAAGTTTCTATTATTTCTAACAGAATTAATACACGACGCATACAATTAAAAACAAAAAAACACAATTCATTGCCATTGACAGAAAACAATATTCTCCATCCGCCCATAACGAAAACATGACAAATTTTATAAGAGTCTAACATGATCCATAATCACGAAAAAACATGAAAAACATTTAACTTATATTCAAAAAGCATATGCTTGTTTAATAAAACAGTAAGATAAGGAGAAGAAAAATCAATGAGATCATGAAGCCACGAGTCTAAAACCAATTTAACTTTTTCCAACTAAAATTCTGTTGCTCTTACTTCACACGAACTTTCTTACTTCTCTAGGGTTGCTCTCTTTGACTTCTTTCTGAGCTTCCTTTTGTTATATCAAAAGTGATTAGTCAAGGCACTCTTGGGGAGAGTTGAAAGAATTGATCACCACCACTAAACCCCCATTCAATAATCCAGGTTACTTCTTCTGGTCTAATCGAATCCATTGACTCTCCTGCACCAGAATTTTGTTGTTTCGACATATAAGCTTCATAAATTTCAACCACAAGACTGGGATCCTTATTCACCAGCTCCATGTATCCGGCACTTTTAATAATTTCTTCCATATTTTCTGTGATCCGCGAAAGTGCAGCACCAAACAAGTGTTTTGCCTTGTGCTGGTGGGCAAAGTCATACGCCATGAGAGATTTTTCTGGAGTCAGCTTCGTCACCAACTCCTCATATTGAGTCTTAAGATAGTTTACTTGGTATCGATCTGACATCAGCATAAGTTGGCATAAGATTTTCTCATCAAAAAATCCTTCACCTGTGTAGAGATGATTGACAAAAGTGCAAAGAGCATCATAAGACGTCGAATATCTTGATTACAACTCTACGGGCTTCTTTTATCACAAGTTCAAGCATCGCTTTGAAGACTGGCGAACAACTTACCTGGCAGCAATTATAATTCACATTGTCAGCTTCTGAAAAAGAGATGAGTATGAAAGAACGTTCACTCCTATGGTACACAGAAAGGTGACAGACCATTTGCTTATCAGACAAGGAACACGCATGCCAAGATTCCATATTTTCATCATTTTATTGGTGCAAAGAGCATAAACCAATCAAGAAGATATAAAAGCGATCGAGAAAATATTCAGGGAAAATATAGTATCCTCACAACTTGTGAGGATACAGTCACCAACACATCTCATCATTAAAAGAACCAAGTGCACAATTTAAAAAAAGGAAAAAAAAACAAAACATAACCGTGGTTTTCTCAAAACATAGGGTCAATTCAATGTATATTTTTCACGTGATTCTAAAAAATAAATACAGAACGATAAAAAAGTACAAAATATCAAACTATTTTTTAATCTATATATCCTGCAAGTTTTAACTTGTAACTAGTTTAGACAAAACTAGATTCATCTAATAAATAGAAGAAGAAGTTCTTTAACCAAAAAAATAAAAGAAATAGAAGTCTACAACCAGAACACATGCTACCATATGGTTGCAACTTCGGTTTCATCCAAAATTATCATGGTTGGCAAAGTAGAAAATATTCATATAGATGGACTAGAGAGATTTAAAACTACTCCAGTTTTCCCAATGAATGACGAACTATAAAACACATAAACAAATTGAATATGGTAGAAAAATAACAAATGTATCATAATAGAAAACTAATCGCCCAAACAAAAGTTGAAATGTTAAAAACTAGAGAACGAACCAGGATTTCTTTATGAGCGGAAACAGGAACTGAGGCTGCGCCAACATCGGAGATAGCAACGAGAATAACGTCAGTGAATAACGTGGAGCTGCCACCATGATCGAGAGGTGACGAAGAGCGAAGGAAATCAACTTCGGCCTTAAGGACATTGATCTCCTGCATGAGCACTTCATTAGCCTCAACGACTCCATCGTAGCATTTCTTGCAAGTGCCAACATCGTCAGGGAGGTACACTTCTTGACAAGCGTTGCAGCGCATCGCCGTGTCAATGGAGGAATCGCTGTCGGAGTCACTGTCTAAGTCGATGTGGCAAGGCTGGTGTCTATTCATTCTTACACACAAGAGTGAACCCAACAACTTAATAATTCAGCGACGCTCCTCCCCTTCCCTTTAGTAGTGAATCTAAATTTTTTTATCTTAGGTTATTTGTTGACCAAAATATATATATATATATATATATATATATGTTACGGATTTTTTCTTTCCAAACTATATTAAGATTTGATACCAACCATATGAGTAATGAGTCAAATGCATGGATTTTTTTTTTTGTTGTAGCGAAAGTGTTCAAATGCATTGAATTTGTCACAAGATATTGTTCCTTTTTATATATGTTACGGATTTTTTCTTTCCAAACTATATTAAGATTTGATACCAACCATATGAGTAATGAGTCAAATGCATGGATTTTTTTTTTTGTTGTAGCGAAAGTGTTCAAATGCATTGAATTTGTCACAAGATATTGTTCCTTTTTAAACCAAGCCAGGGACGTCGCAGAATATTTCTATTATTATCATTATTGTTTTCTAATTAGTAGCATCATGTAAATTTATCTAAATTTCGTTTTATTACATACGGTTTCATTGTTTAACTATGACCTTATTTATATTGCAAGTTTATTAAAGGTTTCGACTTTCGACAGAGAAGTTCAAGGACATGGAGATCGGAATGCTGTCTGGACTCTGGATTATAGACAACTAGCCTAAGCCCACGCGATGCGCGGGTTGTGACTATTACAAAGGTTTATTACTTGAATTTCAATCGTAATTTGAATTTTGTAAATATTTTATCTTATATTTTATCAGATATGTTAACATGCGACCGAAATATAAATGTATATTCTTCTTATTTCCTCTGAAATCATATTCCTTATAATGTTTTCCATGTGCCACAAATTAATTATGCCACAAATCTAAATTCTTAAATCTAACCCTTACATGAAAAAAAAAACTAACACTTATAAAAAACATACATTTTTATATGATTACATATTTTTTCTAGAATGAATATATTTTGGTAACACTTATAACAAATTGCAGATAAAATCATATGATAAATCTTGAACTCTAAACCCTAAACATAATAATGATTATATATATATATATATATATATCTAAAAGAGAAATTTTATGAAATACACCTTTTAAGGTGCAAATTTTCAAAACTACACCTATAGTGTGGAAATTTTCAAAAATACACCTTTCCCCAATTTTAATATATATGTTTGGGTTCACTATTCCTAGATTAGGGTTTAGATTTTGGGATTTAGGGTTTAGATTTAAGGGTTCAATGTTAGATTTTAGGGTTTTGGATTTATATTTTAGGGTTTAGAGTTCTTTTACTCAATGAAAAAAGTGTAGTTTTGAAAATTGGCACCATAGAGGTGTATTTTTGAAAATTGACACCTCAAGAGGTGTAGTTTTGAAATTTCCCCTATCTAAAATTCATAATCTACACTAATAAATAATATCAAAAGTATTCAAATCTAGTTTTTGAAATCACAAACCTCAAATCCCTAATCTAAAATCTCAATTTCTAAAACTAAAATCTCAAACCCTAAATTATGACTTTATGATACCCTTCAACTTTACACTCAAACATAAAACCTAAATCCAAAATTATAAAACCAAAATATTAAAAATTAGTAATAAAATTAATTATGAATGAAATATGTCATCAATGACATGACAAATAATATTTTAAAACATTAATATAGACTGTAAATATAATATTTAAATTCCAATATTTAAACTCGTGGCTGAGAAGAAAATTAAACAAATATTAAAACAAAAATTGAATTAAAGAAAGTGGCTGAATTGAAAAGAAGTGGAGAAAGTTGCGCAGTTTTGATATTTAAAAATTAAACTCGTAGCCGAGAAGAAAATTAAAAAAAAAAAATTAATAAAACAAAAATCGAATTAAAGAAAGTGGCAGAATTGAAAATAAGTGGAGAGAGTTGCGCATTTTTGTTTACGATTTCTTTATGTCGTTTCTGATCCAACGCTTCCCATTTAATCTCGACGAGAAATCTGCATCGTCCGATCTGTTCCAATGGATTTGAACCGTCGATATGTTGTCCGCAGTCGGATCTTTTTTAATTTTCTACTTTCTGGGTTCACCCGAAACCCTAATCCTCTGTCTCCTTCCTTCATTTCGTGACAGGTTCGTCGCTTTTCACCTCTTCTTCCGGAGATTTCGCCGACGAGCAACAACAACAACTGAGTAACCACTTTTCGTTCCACAACAGCGAAGATCCATTTGCTAGTTTTCACTAGAGGAGTTACTCTGCTAACGATGTTTTTCTCGAATCAGAGGAGCAAGGGCTTGGTGGAGCCGGTTATGGTTTCCACAAGGCGGTTTAGTTGATGATTTCTGTTCCTCTAGGAGATGACGAAGCTCGAACGTCGCCGGTACAAATCCATCTATATTCGCCTTCTCCTCCTCCGTCTCTCTTCAATGCCTTTAAAATCGAAGAACAACGTAAGCAATGGACGGCGAACCTAGTCTATGCCATCGTCCGAGACGGCGAAATCGGAGCCGGTAAAGCATGTTATTCGAAAAGCTATCTCCGTTTCAGAATATTTCATGCGGTTAGATCTCCGATGAACTTTCGCGTTGGAGACTATCTCCAGCGAGAGGATGTCTCCGAATTTTAGATTTGGTTAGCATCTTCTGGAAATTAGTTTATTGAAACAATGACTTCTTGTTCATCTAATTTACTTCACTTCAACGATAATAACTCATGTCAAGAATCAGCATAACTGGAAACTTGATCAAAACGTATTGTTTCATGAGTTCATAATCAACAGTTGGTTGGGTTAACTGATATTAAGTATTATTTCCATGTGGTTCAGTTTTTGGTTCCCTTTATTGATATTGTAATGATTCTCTACATGTATTACAGGAACTGGAGAAACTCTCGTGGATGCTCGTCGATGGGTTTGGAGCGGACGTATTACTCAACGGTGGCTGGTCGGAGAGGATTTGAGATGGCGGACATTGGAGTAATCGCTAAGCGATCTCGGCGGATATATGTGGATGGTGGCAGTGGCTGGACTGTCCCTTTGGGAGCGCATGCGTTGCGGCAACGTTTAGTCTTCCGTCGTTTCGTTTCGTTTCGTTTGAGTTGGTGCGTTAATGTTTTTTTTTTTTCATAGGGTATGCCACGTGGCAGTTCAATAAACAAAAAAAGATGCTGAGGTGTCCCTCATATGGAGAGAGTTATCCTCTCATTATAATATAGATTATTTGCGTTTCTCAATCTTATCAATGCATTATCATTATCACCAATGCCAAATAATGGTGTATACTTGTTCAATAACTATAAGCTCTGAAAAAAATTCAAATGTTTCTCATAATCGTTTGTCCTTCAGGACGTGGAAATGCTCTTTTGTCGATATAGGATTCTGGATATTTTAATTACACATGAGAGGCACTGTGTGACAATAATACGTAATGGGACTCGTAGTCAAATTTTCAAGTTTCAGTTTGACTTAAAATGTTTTTTGATCAAACAGCAAAAACTATGGGAGACTATATATGATGTGCCCGAGGACAAATCTGAGTAATTGTACGTCTGATTTACGTTTTGGTTATAAATTTGAAGTTAGGAAACATAACCAACCCAAACCCTATCGGGCCTAAACCTATCCAAAACCAACGCAGACGCAGACCACACTTTTAAGTTTTAACCCTAATAAAAACAGAAGCCTCGGCTAGTTATGAGCAGTCGCACAATAACCTAATTTAATTTACTAAAGAGAATCCTCCGTCGGAATCATGTCTTCCTTGAGCAGCAAGTTCTCCAGTAAGTTCCGTCTCTATCTCTGCTTTGAAATTGTTTGGCATCGATCTATCATCTGCTCAAGTCTTTTTTTTTTTTTTTTTTTTTTTTTTTCTGTTTTAATGAAGTCTAAACCATCTGAATTTTAATAGAATTGATCCTTGTCTGATGTATCAAATCCTCTCTCAATCTGAAGTGTCTTTTTTTTTTCCGTTAAATCTTTCAGCGGCTGAGACGGGGGTCTTCTGGGACCTGGATGGTTGCCCAATCCCTGATGGTCTCAGTCCTCTTTCCATCTCTGCTAATATCAAATTAGCTCTCGAGAATATTGGTTATACTGGCAACATGTCCATCGTTGCTTATTCTGTTGAGAAGCAGAGCCAAGAACAAGAAGTAGAGTTTGGATCCGCCCAGATCATGCTTATACAAGAACTAGGTCAATTCCTTGACATAAACCTTAACACCTCTCTCTCTCTCATCTCATCTCGTCAGGAACTCGTCACGACAAAGTAAATATGATGTATGAGAACCTTTTAATGTGGGGAATAGAACATCGCTACGAACCAACAAATGTGATGGTAATCTCAGATAACCTCTCACCAAAAGCTGACTTGGTTTCGGGGCTTGTCATTTTAAAAGAGAAAGAAAACAATATTCTCTTAGCGCAACCTCGAGGGCTGCCGCTGCGTGATACTGCAACTTCAACATGGCTTTGGGAAAGTCTAGCAATTGGAGGGAGCCCTATCGATGCCCACAGCATGAGACCAGAACCAGCTCCAACTTGTTCTGTTTGCAGCAAAAGGGCACTTCGTCTTGCCAATAAGCGAAAGAAACGTCCGACCAAACCTCGTCTCAAAAGGCGGAATCCTGAACCTGAGGAATAGTCATGACATTCCCCTTGTTGTTTCGCTCTAGTCTTATATTACGTGTTCCATTGCACAACTTTGAGTGTCTTAACATAGATTTATTCATAAAGTACTAAAGTTATATAATAGATGTTTTAAACATAGTAAGAAACTCAAAAAAAATGTCTTAGTGAAGACACTAGGTTTTCACACTCTCCAATAAACTTCTAATACAATATTAATATATGTTTTTGAAGACATCCTTGAAGTGTCTTTAATAGAGATGGTCTAATGAACAGAAAATGATTCAAATATTTTGCTTACACTTGTCCGTAGTTTTGATTTTTTGGTTTTATTTCAAGACGCATTTAAGCTGTTGGATGAAATGCTTTCTTTGACAGTTTGATTATTTTAAAGTCTGTATAATTCTCTACTCTATACGCATGGGTTACAAAACAAACTACTCCTATTATGTGTCCACAACAATCGGTGGTACCTCATTGGCTTTCTTTTAACTTCTCAAAACAGAGTTTGTTAAGTACCCTCTCATTCGAAATCACGAGAAACTTTGACAAGTTGTTTCCCAACATTCTTACCATGAAAGAGTCCAACGAGAGCGTCAGGAGCACTCTCAAGTCCATCAGCTATATCCTCCACACAAGTTATCTTCCCTTCTCTTATGTGCGGAACCACAAGTTATGTGCTTGTATGTAAATAAACGGGAGGTTACAAACACCTTCTGGAATGTCTAGATTGTACTGCAAGATCATTCCACATGCTGCGATACGGCCGTGTGGTCTCGTGTTTAGGATCACTGCGTCCAGCATTTTGCCTCCAACGTTCTCAAAGTCAATGTCCTTCAGGGAAATACCTAGGGAAGAGAGAATCTTCTAATATTTAAGTTTGATAACCTTCCATATCCATATGATTGTGAATTAAGAAGAAATAACTAGTTACCTCTTTAAGGCAGAATCAAGATTGTTTTCTTCCTTGTCGTTGAATGCATCATCGAATCCAAAGTTATTCTTGAGGAAATCAACCTAAAGAATCACAACAAAATCAAGGGATTTGATACCTGACCTAATTTATCAAGAAACTATTGGTTTGAGCTAGGGTTACCTTTTCATTGCCACCGGCACTCCCCACGACATAGCAACCCATCATCTTAGCAAATCTTTGTGAGAACTGTAATATTCTTTTTCACATGTGTTCAAATATGACCGATAGATTTAACACATGTCCCGATCATGTTAATTAGTTAATTACTAACTTCGAAACTTTAATATAAAAAGATTTTAATATTAGTTGAAAAAAACTAAGAACAGAACAGAGCAGTCCATGGGCTTCAAAAAGACAGAATAGCCCAATCCGAAATATGCTTTGACGAGTTGAAGCGTGACATGTGTCAAACGTACAAATAATATGAAAGAGTCCCACATCGGGTTTAGGAGCAATAGGTGACATGAAACATCATCTATAAATATTGCGTAAATTGGCCATTTAAGAGATCGAAAATCACTATATTCCAGAGTTCCGTAACAAAGCCATAACGTTGGGCCTAAAGTCAAATAAGTAATTACAATTTTTCAAAAAGGAATATTAGGGTTTTGTCTGAATCTTTCATAATCGAGGCTGTCTATCATTTAATTATAACCCGTAACATCATATCTGATGAAGAAAAAAAAAACATAAATTCACAAAATCGTTTTTAGCGCCAACAGATAAAAAGAAAAGGGATGAAAGTCATGTATTTATTTTAAAAAACTGTTCTATACAAACATTTGAGCTGTGGATTAAAAGAGTGAAACCATTTTTGGTTTTGATTTCCAGCGACACAGAGAAGATTCTTGGCATTGAGGAAAGAAGAAACTGAGTGCACTTACTCTCAACACAATGGCAGACGCTTTAGAGAATCTGCAAGAAGCTCAGAGAAGAAGAAGCGATGAAACAGATTCAAGATCCATAGAAGAAACCAATGTAAACAATAAACTCAATAAGAATGTACTCTGGTTATGATCCAAACTTGACTGATCATGTTCTTAACGGTCATTTCTCAGGGACGAGATTCGGATTCGAGGGTAAAGATTATGAACAAGAACTTTGCTGTGGGTTATTATGATCAAACAGAGTCGATACAGTCCAGGCCAGAGAAGAGGGTAACTAAAATAAATAAATGTGATCTTCATACATTGGAATTGGATACAAAGAACATAGTCAGAATTAAAGTGTTCAATTTATTTATAAGGATGTTCATTCTCAGGCTAAAACTGTTTCTGATTCAAGAGAAAGTTTAGAAGATCTAGAGAAGGGGGTGGTAAATAAAGTAATTGACTTTGATTCTTATATTTGTATTATCATCCCTAGTCCTTGACTTAACTTCTTGATGTTTTTATTCTTCAAATAAATATTGTAGGACATTCCAGAAACTCTTAGCGTTGACGTGCATGATAATTTACATGAACGTATCGAGAAGCAAAAGAGACGGGCTGAAGATAATATGCAGCAACAAAGCAACGACGAAAGAGAGGCTCAGGATCAACAAAATATGGAGCAACAGAGAGATATTGAGAGGAAGGGAAGGGATATTCGTTTCAGACTTGATCAGGTGTTGAATTGTGAACCATCAAAGTTTTTTTTTTTCAAATTTCATTTTGAAAGATAGCAAAGATTAGATTGCTCAACAATCGTCTTCAACTTTACAGTTTTATAATCGACAACGGAAGAAGCAACAAGAACAAGAAATAAAATCCCAACAGAAACCAGAACAAGAAATAAAATCCCAACAACAACAAGAATTCAGTCAACAGCAACAACAAAAATCTCCTCCGCCACCGCAGCAAAACAAGTCGTTTGTTTCACATTTTCATCTCTATCATGTAAGAAACATAAAAAAAAAAAAAAAAAAAAAAAAAAAAAAAAAAAAAAAACAGATGAATCAATATCTTACCTGAAATCGGATTACTTGGTGTCTAAGTAGTCTCTGAGATTTGCAGTTGGTGGAGAAGTTAACAGATGCGATTGAAACTGGAACAAAAGATCAGAATTCTGATGCTCTGGTGTGTGTCTAGTATTTAAGGTTGTTTTTGGGGGTTTCTAGGGTTCTTGGATGTTGAATGTCTAGGTGGCATTGCATTTGCAGGTGACTGAACTGAGTAACCATTTCAACAAGAGCCAACAGCTGTTAAATTCGATTTCAGGATCCCTAGGATCTAAATCTATGGTAACAACAAAAACAAAACAAAAAAGCTTTTGACACTTGGATCAGAACAAAGTTTGCAAGCTTTTTTATTTTTGGTTACGGATCTTCTTCGTGCGTTTTTATAGACTATTGATGGAGAAAAGCGAAAACTAGAAGGCAGTGAGAAATTGCTTCAACAAAGAAGGTAAAGCAAATTGTTACAACATTCAGTATCATATCTTTTATGTGATCAGATTTGATTGTGCTCTTACTTACACTTGTCTTCTTAAACCTATTATGGTCAGGGAACTGATTATGGAATATAGGAAATCTGTTGAAGACATTTTGAAGATAGAGCCTTAGTTTCATATTTCTCCCAAGATGTTTTGAATTAGTCATTTTAGCAGCTTAGCTGTTAAAGAACAAGAATTTGTAGTAACATTAACAGTATACCAACGAGAACTCTCAGATTGTTTGGGACACAAGAAATTTAACCGACATGTGTTGGAAATATATAGGTCAAGATTTTCGTAAATTTTTAGTATTATTATTACATATACGTTGGCCAATAAAGGAAAACAAACATTTGCAAAGCAAAGGAAAGCGTATAAAGAGAACGGCTTAGATCCATCCTTCACCTTAGCCTTTTATACGATGAACGAAATGAATGAACGGAAAAAACACTGTTTTTCCGATGACGATGCAGCTGGATCCTATGGTTTCTTGTCATGACCTCTATTCCAGATCACCCTAGATCAGACATACGTATATTGCTTCGATATAGTCTGGATCACTCTCTTGAAACCCTAAATGAGTTTGGGGTTTGGGTGAAGATAGAATTTTAATTGCGTTTGGGTTTTGTTGATGTTCTGATTGTGTTTCCATTACGAAAAATTAATGAGAATCATATCAGTGATTAATGGAGAGCGAGGTTCTCATGGTCAAACTTGATGTACCAACTTATGGCTAATTGTTCTCAGAGTTTTCTAAGAATAGTTTGATAGAGATGCCTACGACACTGATCTTAGGTTAACAGACGACCTACTTTCTTCCCTCCAAATTTCTTTTAGTGCCAGTGACGCAAGCACCGTAGGTAAACAATTTTTACAATAAGGTATTATAAAGTATAAATATGAATAAATTAATATAAATATAATACTATTTCCTCTATTTCACAAAGAGTGTCATTCTAAGATATTTTGTTGTTTTGACTATTTAAATTATGCAAATTGAAATGTTATTGGTTGAAATTGTTTTGAGAATGATGATAAAATATATATATATTTTTTTAAATAGAAAATTAAATGATCTCTTAATCTGTGTGCAAACAGGTAAAACACCACTTATTCGAAAACATATAGAATATTACTATATTTATTTTTCATAAAATACTAAAAGAAAATATTAATATAATTTAAAGATATTAATCATTCTCAAATTTTTTTAAATATAAATAGAAGCCACTTACACCCACCATGGCACATAAAATTCTGTTTTGACAAACGTCATTTCCTTTATTTTTTTCAGGAATTTACAGAACAATATGTTTGATATATTTCTGGCAGATGTGATGTTTCGCAATCGACCGCGTTCGACAGACCGCACCATCTCTTTTCCTCATAATAATTAGGAAAATACATACCAATAAACAAATACTCCCAGTTTGTGGGTGGTCCACAAATAAATCATCAATTATACCAAAACACTTTTTGTTTTTTTTTTTTGTTTTTTTTTGTCATTATACCAAAAAGCTAAAGATCCTTCTCTTTCTTTCTTTCTTTTTATTTTTTTCATTTTTATTTATTTATTTATTTATTTTTAAAGATCTTTTTTTTTTTCCGACAATAGCTAAAGAGCTAAATAGCAATAAGTGAGCAAACATAATTGGATTTGGGACCCGACAAATATAATGTGCAACAAAATCAATTTAATAACCAATGGGTGCCCTAATAATAATCTGCGTTCTATGTGCAATATACACCTTTTTGTTTTAATTTAGTTGTCATTCTAAAGTTATAATTTTGCTTTATATTACTTGTCGTTTTGTATTTTCAATACAAAATTATTACTCTTTCTTGTTCTACAAATAAGTGGCTTTTTAGAGAAAAAAGTTTGTTCTCGATGCAAAATTAATTGTATTTTGTTATTTTGATGGTTTGAATTCTGTAAATTGAATTTTTATTGGCAGGACTGTTTTGAGACTGATGATAAAACATATTTTGTTTTGAAAAAATAGAAAATTATATGCTTTTTTAATAGATATGCATAGCTTCAAAAAGCTATCTATTCTCGAGAGTATACTTTTTTCTTGTTTTATCCTTACTCTTTTAGTTATTAATTTATTCTTACCAAACAAACCATATTAGTAATTAGGGGTAAAAGAATAATTTAGTGATTTTTTTTAATCTACGTAATAAAGTCCAGAATGATAACTAAAAGAAAAGAAGGAAGTAATATTTACAATAATGTTTTATAAATTTTATTTTGAAGTAAGGATTTAAATCCATTTTTGTAATTAAAATATTGTAAAAATACTATAAAATTATGATATATCAAATTTTAGTCTATTTAAAATATTTTCATATTTCGACAAATATAAAATGGTATACATAGTTTATGTTTACTAATAATTTAACTTATATGATACGTTAAGATATTTAATTATGAATTTTATGATCAAGCATCTGGATATATTGTATTCGCCAATGCTCATCTGAAGATTTTCACGCACTCCCATTTTCCATCAAGGGACTCAAAGCATATCCCTCAAGCTCATTACTGATTCTTATACTATGCGACCAACCCTAGCGCTGCCTCCCCAACTGATATATAGTCCATTTGTTTTACAAAAAGTGTTATTTTAATTTTTTTACACAAATTAAGAAATTTTTATAAATTTCTCTATTATACATTTATAAATATATTAAAATGATAGAAAAAATGAGATTTAATATAAAAAAAATGCATTGAAAATATAAAATAACACTCTTTATGAAACAAAAATAAAGTGTCAAAGTGATACTCTTTATGGAACGAAAGAAATACTATATTTATTTTATATAGCTTACTATTAAAAGCTAACGATTAATATAATTTAAAGATATATTTAAAATTTAAATACAAATAGAACTAGACCACTTAGACTAAAGCAATATTATACTCTAGTTTATTTATTCTTACACACAATATATTAAATCCTAATAGAAGGAATAATTAAACAAACTGTAGTCTAAAGTCCTTGCCTTAACCTACTTTAGAGTCAAGAGTATATTCATGATGTTTTTTTGTTTTTGAAAAAAATATCATGGTATATTGTGTTTTTTATAGATGTATCCACTTTATATTGAGTCTAGGTTCATCCGTTCATGTTCATTGTCTGTATCAACTCAGAAATGATACATTTTATGGTTACCGAAGCTTTATTAGTACTCCTCCTTTCCTATGTGGACCATACATTAGAGATCTGTCTTTCATTTTTTGGTGTTTTCATCATGGACAAAACCCTTTCACGGCGGCAAGAGTCACTCGAAGCCGGAGAGGCTAAGGGAAGGAGAGAGAGGGGAGTGAGTTTTGAGGGAGGAAAGATTGGCCCCTCCTTTTAATATTTGATAGTAACATTATTGGTAGGCATGAGTTATACTGTATATATATCGTTTAATCAGATCTGGATTCTAGAACACATATTTCCTTATCAATATTTAGTTACCCTCAAATCCTTAAGTGGTTCATCCACAACACAATTTGCCATTCAACATAAATATTGATTATTTTACATTTCACAACTTAAAATAATAAAAAATATAGTGAACCACAAGCGGTTCATTTTTGTGAAGAAAAATGATGGACCATTGACAAACCATGACACCTGCATTTTGGGTGAATTTCTTTTACTGTTATATGCGTTTCTTCATTTTTTTAGTCATTAAATAATTATTTACTTTTGATCTTTTAAAAGAATAGTTAAGAGTCACAATAAAATATTATTATATATGTAATAAATTAAATATATTAAAATAAAATTACATAAAACACTAAATAATGTTTTTATGATAATAACTATTTTAAACACTAAACTAAAATTTACATGTTGAAATAAATAAAACATAATATTTTGGATTGTCTGCATATATTATTTAGAATTTTTAATTTCTAAACAATTTTTATAATTTAAAATTTATGAAGAGCCAAATTTTATTATTTGAATTCTACAAAATAAAATAATAAATTTCTATCTCATATAATTATTCTAAATATGTACAGTACTTTGGATCGCTTTATATCTGTTTTTCCCATTCAAACATAGTTTTGAACTGTTGGAACTACTAGATCCGCTTGATACGCACTTAATCCGCTCAATTCACTTGATCCGCTAGTTCCGCTTTTATCACGCTTGATCCACTCAATCTGCAACGCTCAATCGGCTTTCTCCATTCGGAGCCATAGACTCATATCACTGAGATTTATGGCGATGAAATAAAATAGACATTTGCAAAGATTTTGGGTTTTGTGCAAAAAAAACCTCAAACTATATTAGTTTTGCAAGAAAAACCCTCACCTCAAAAAAATCCAAGTCAAACCACTCATCTCCAAAGTGACCCCCAATATAGCCCCTGCCTATATTGATGACGTGATATTGTGAGAACAGTTTTTTTAAAAATAGGCTTTTGTGTAAAAAAAACCTCAAACTATTTTTTTTGCAAAAAGAGCCCTCGTATCAAAAAGCTGCGTTTTGATTAGCCCAGTACATTTGGGTTTTTGGGACGAGAATTAACGGAAATGGGACGGAAATGAGAAATTTGGGAACCCAAAGATGATACCCGAAGTATTTCCTTATTATAACGGGACAGGTAATAACGGAAATGGGAAGAGAACGGGAAATTTGAGAATAAAAAAATAATTCCCGAAGTCTTACTAAATCGAGAAATTGAAGATATTTTGAGAAGTTATGGGGAAAATATGGAAAAAATGGAAAATAAGGAAAATTTGTGGAAAAATGTAGGACAAATTAGGATATTTAAAAAAAAATATATATTTTTGATTTTATATTCTTTTCAAACGGGAAAATCGGAATATTCCGTACCCTTTCCGAACCCTTCCCTTACCCGTTTGAATGAAATTTCCCGTTTGGAAACATTTCTTTTTCTTTTTTTCAAACGGGTAAACGAAGGGTTCGGTATGGGTACAAGACTTCCTGATTTTCCGTTTAAAAAAAATAAAAAATTGATTTTTTTTTTTTTTTAAATATCCCAATTTTTTCTACATTTCCCATAATTTCACATATTTTTTTCATATTTTCCCGTATTTTCCCCGTAATTAACAAAATATCTTCAATTTTCCTTATTTAGTAAGACTTTAGAATTTTTTTTTATTCTCAAATTTCCCGTTTTCTTCTAATTCTTGTTATTTCCCGTCCCTTTTGTAACATCCATAAACCAAAAATTGAGAATTTTGTCTGTTTAATTTAAGTTATCCGGTTTAAGCTAGTTTAAGATTTATTGTTTTGCTTTATTTCATTTGAATTTGCATTATTTTGCTAGACTTGTTTAATTATTATTTTTTGTTTTATTGTTATTGATATTTTATTTATTTAATTTATTTTAAAGACCTTCGCTAGAATTGATTAATATTTATTAAAAAAAAAAAATGTTGGTTGTTTCATTTTGGTATCAGAGCCTAGACGGTTTTAGGACTGTTAGAATTGCTAGGCTTTAGTATCATCCCCTTCAGCTACAAGAGATTCCGCGGTGAGTTTATGTTTGTTTTGAGTTTTGGTTGTGTGGTCTAGCGGTGAGTGGACTGAGTAGCTAGAGGTTGTGGCGAGAGGGCGCGGTGCTCGAGGCCGTGGTGGCAGAGCTAGAGGCCGTGGAGGCCGGGGCCGAGATTGTGGACTTCGGCGGATTCGGGAGAGAGTGTGGTGCCGAGTGTGGCGACTGCGTCGGTGACCCAGTCGGTATCCGTGGCGAGTGAGGCCAGTGTGGATGCGAGTGTTGGTTTGGGAGCGGAGGCTGCTCCGGGTTGGGGTGGTGCTCCGGCTCAGGGTCTTGATGACTTAGTGGTGGGTTTGCTGACGCAGTTATTGGCTCGTTTTCCGCCAGTGGTTCCACAGGGGCTCCGGGAGTACCTCCAGTGGCAGAGGTGCAGCAGAGGGCTGCGGGTTTGTTCAGCCGCAGGCTGTGGGTTTGATGGTGCCGCCTATCTTGGATATGATGGGGCACATGCAGAGGATTGGTACGCCGTACTTTGAGGAGAGTGCCGAGGCGGCGAGTGGCGTGAGATTGGAGCGGAATTTCCAGTCTATCAGAGTTGTCTGGTTTAGTACCAGGTTGAGTTGGCAGTCCACTATCTGAGTGGAGATGCATTTGTGGTGGTTGTAGTTGTTGTTCTTTTTGTCTGTGATAAATTGTGAGGTTCTCAACGCATGTGTTTCGTAATGACCTTGTTAGTGGGCGGTTTTGAGTCCCACGTTTTATTCGACTCTGGAGCATCGAATTGCTTCATTACACCGGAGCGTGCCGAGAAGAGTGGCATCCGGAGTAGCGCGGGCGAGAGCGCGGGCATGGTCAAGGTGGCGGGAGGTGGATTCTTGTCTACTTTGGGCCGTGCTAGAGGAGTCGAGATCGAGATTGCGGGGCAGTCAATGCCAGCAGACTTAGTCATCAGTCCGGTGGAGCTGTATGACGTTATTCTCGGGATGGACTGGTTGTCACACTACAGAGTTCATCTGGATTGCTACAGAGGTAGAGTGGTCTTCGAGCGAGATGCAGGGAGGTTGGTTTATCAGGGAGTGAGACCGACTTCCGGGAGTATTGTGATATCTGCTATTCAGGCCGAGCAGTTGTTAGAGCGGGGCTGTGAGGCGTATCTGGCGACGATTTCTATGTCTGAGTCAGGAGCTGGAGTTGTTATGGGAGATATTGAGGTTGTCCAGGATTTTGAGGATGTCTTTCAGTCACTGAAGGGATTACCACCATCTCGGTCTGATCCTTTCACGATTGAGTTAGAGCCGGGGACAGCACCGATATCGAAGACGCCTTACAGGATGGCGCCAGCTGAGTTGGCAGAGCTGAAGAAGCAGATAGAGGACCTTTTGTCTAAGGGGTTCATTCGACCGAGTGTTTCACCGTGGGGAGCACCGGTGTTGTTTGTGAAGAAGAAGGATGGAGTTTCAGACTTTGTATCGATTACAGAGGTCTTAACCGAGTCACTGTGAAGAACAGGTACCCACTCCCGAGGATTGATGAGTTGTTGGATCAGTTGAGGGGTGCTACTTGGTTCTCCAAGATTGACTTGGCATCGGGGTATCATCAGATCCCGATAGATGAGGCAGATGTCAGGAAGACTGCTTTCAGGACGCGTTATGGGCATTTTGAGTTTGTGGTTATGCCTTTCGGTTTGACTAACGCGCCGGCAGCCTTCATGAGATTGATGAACGACGTGTTCAGGGAGTATTTGGACGTGTTTGTCATCATTTTCATTGATGATATTCTGGTATACTCGAGGAGTCAGGAGGAGCATGCGACTCACTTGAGGTTGGTTCTGGAGAAGCTTCGGGAGCAGAAGCTTTTTGCTAAGTTGAGCAAGTGCAGTTTCTGGCAGCGAGAGATGGGATTTCTTGGCCACATTGTTTCTGCAGAGGGAGTTTCTGTGGATCCGGCTAAGATTGAGGCTATCAGAGATTGGCCTAGACCTAGTAGTGCCACCGAGATCAGGAGTTTTCTGGGTTTGGCAGGATACTACAGGAGGTTCGTCAAGGGGTTTGCTACCATGGCGCAGCCGATGACGAAGTTGACCGGGAAGGATGTCCCGTTTGTTTGGTCAGCTGAGTGTGAGGAGAGCTTTAGTCAGCTCAAGGAGATGTTGACTACTACACCAGTGTTGGCGTTACCCGAGCCAGGGAAGCCTTACATGGTGTATACAGATGCTTCAGGCATTGGTCTTGGTTGTGTGCTGATGCAGGAGGGCAGAGTGATAGCATATGCTTCGAGACAGTGGCAGGGCAGTGAGCGTAACCGTCCTACACATGACTTAGAGTTGGGAGCAGTGATCTTCGCGTTGAAGATTTGGAGGTCTTACTTGCTAGGTGAGACAGTACAGGTCTTCACGGATCACAAGAGTTTGCAGCATATCTTCACTCAGCCGATGATGAACGCGAGACAGACGCGCTGGGTTGAGTTCTTGGCGGACTATCAGGTGAGCATTAACTACCATCCGGGCAAGGCTAACCTAGTGGCGGACGCGTTGAGTAGACGGAGGTATGATTCCGCAGTTGAGCGAGATGTGGAGTCTCTAGTTGGCGAGATCAGTACCTTGCGTTTGTGTGCCATTTCGCAGGAGCCTTTGGGTTTAGAGGCAGTGGATCAGGCGGATCTACTTAGCAGGATCAGAGTTGCTCAGCAGAGTGATCAGAGTTTGCTGGATGCGACTAGAGTGACTGGTTCTGAGTATGAGGTCTCTGCGAATGGGACTATCTTGGTTCGTGGGCGAGTTTGTGTGCCTAAGGATGTGGAGTTGAGACATCAGATTTTGGGAGAGGCTCATGCGAGCAAGTTTTCCATTCATCCAGGAGCGACCAAGATGTACCATGACCTCAAGAGGTACTATCATTGGGTCGGGATGAAGAGGGATGTAGCAGACTGGGTTGCGAAGTGCAACACTTGTGCCTTGGTGAAGGCAGAGCATCAGGTTCCGGGTGGTCTTTTGCAGAGTTTACCCATTCCAGAGTGGAAGTGGGACAGGATTACGATGGATTTCGTGGTTGGACTACCTGTTTCGAGGACTTTCGATGCTATCTGGGTGATTGTGGATCGGTTGACTAAGTCGCACATTTCTTGGCCATCAAGAAGACAGATGGAGCTGCTGTCTTGGCTAGGAAGTTTGTGCGAGAGATTGTGAGGCTGCATGGAGTGCCAGCTAGTATTGTGTCAGACCGTGATCCCAGATTCACTTCAGAGTTTTGGAGGGCGTTTCAGGCAGAGATGGGCACTAAGGTGCATCTGAGTACAGCTTATCATCCGCAGACAGATGGTCAGTCAGAGAGGACTATTCAGACTTTGGAGGATTTGCTGAGGATGTGTGTGTTGGATTGGGGTGGCCATTGGGCAGATCACCTGAGCTTAGTTGAGTTTGCATACAACAACAGCTTTCAGGCGAGTATTGGCATGGCTCCATTTGAGGCTTTGTATGGGAGGCCATGTAGGACACCCCTATGCTGGACCCAAGTGGGGGAGCGCAGCATGTATGGAGCTACTTATGTTCAGGAGACGACAGAGAAGGTTCGTGTTGTGAGGCTGAACATGAAGGAGGCTCAGGATAGGCAGAAGAGTTATGCAGATAGACGCAGACGAGAGCTTGAGTTTCAGGTGGAGATAGAGTTTATCTCAAGATGGCTATGTTGAGGGGTCCTAACAGATCCATAGCAGAGAACAAGCTGAGTCCGCGATTTATGGGTCCGTTTCCAGTAGTGGAGCGAGTTGGGCCATTGGCTTACAGGCTGGAGTTGCCTGAGATTATGAAAGCCTTTCACAAGGTTTTTCATGTGTCGATGCTGAGGAAGTGTCTTCACCCTACAGAGGAGTTAGTGGCTAGGATTCCAGAGGATCTTCAGCCAGATTTGACAGTGCCGGCAGTGCCTGTGAGGATTTTAGAGAGGAGGGAAAAGGTTCTGAGGAACAAGAGGATTCCCTTACTGAGGATTTTGTGGGATTGCAGTGGTTCTACAGAGGAGACTTGGGAGCCAGAGGCAAAGATGAAGTTGAAGTTCAGGAAGTGGTTCGACAAGCAGGTCGAGGAGTGAGCTTATTTCATCTTTGTAGCCTCAGTTGTTATTTTTGGCTTTGGTGTTATTGTATTTTCGTTTTCGTTGTAACGATATACATTTTGGAGTTTTAATGAGATGCAGTTTTTCCTCATTTTGCCTTGTGTTGTAATGGTATTCGGATGAAAATGGTTTCGGATGTTACACATGTTTGACCAGTTTTTAATTCTGAGACGGTCTAGACGTCTTATGGTTATAGACATTTTCCGGAATTTTTACTCTAAGGATTGCGATCCTGAATAACTCATCATGTTTTTGGAGACTTCGTTCTCTGGCAGACTCTCTGGGTGCAAGTAGGCCTCAGTTGAGTGTAGCTTATGGGTGCAAGTAGGCCTCAGTATAAGCAGTTTAGTTCATCTGGGTGCAAGTGGGCCTCAGTATGGACGTTTTCGGGTTCGTCTGGGTGCAAGTGGGCCTCAGTGCGGACCGGTGTGGACTTGTCTGGGTGCAAGTGGGCCTCAGTACAAGTGTGTTTGGATGATGAGTTAGGAGTGAAATTTTCTTGGAACGTGTTTATGACATAAGATATGACGTTTGTCTCGGGGATCAAGTGAGGATCTCCGGTGTTGCGGCCTTGCGAGGTGGGTTTTGTGGTCTTTGTGACGTTTGCGTTGGGATTCGAGGACGAATCCAGAGTGCAGCCGTCTTCTCTTTGGAGAATTTTCGAGTTCAGATGCTGTAGAGGAGAAAAGTTGAGTTTTTGGAGAGATTTTCGAATTTTACTGTTCATCGGCACTGTTCATCGGTACTGTTCACGGGTTACTGTTCATCGGTACTCTGTTCATCGGGTTACTGTTCATCCGCGATTCGGCACTGTTCATCGTCCTTCCTTTTTCCTTCAGTTTCAGTCAATTGTCAAGGTGAGTGCATGACTGTGGGTCCGTGATTTGCTAGATTAGATTTGGTTTGTGGTTGTTCTTGATGAGTTTATGTTTTTAATTGTTATTTTTATGATATTTTGGTTGTTCATGTGATGAATTGTGTGTTTGTGTGGTTTAATCTGGTTTATTGGTTTAATTGAATTTAATTGATTTGATTCTAATTGAATTTAATTGGTTTAATGGAATTTAAATAGATTTAATTCGGATTTAATTAATTAAATAATATTTATTTAATTAATTGGTATTATTTTAATTATTTTAAAATATGGAAAATTATTATTTAATTATGAGAATTATTTAATAATTGAGAAATTGAGTTTTAATTATTAAAAGTTATTTAATAATTGGAAAATGGTATTTAATAATTATTGAAGTTTATAAATATTATTAAATATCTAGTAAATTGCGTAAATGGCTCGTAGGCAGAGTGATTGCCTCACTAAGTATTTATTAAATACTTACGCAACTCCATTCCAATGTGTTGCAGGTAAAAGATTTGTGTGATCGCGGAATCAAGGCTGAAGAGGGGGATGATAGGATGTTTACTGTTTTATTGTTTTGCATTATTTTGCTAGACTTGTTTAATTATTATTTGCTTCCGCTGAGCTGATTTATTTGTTATTGATATTTTATTTATTTAATTTATTTTTAAGACCTTCGCTAGAACTGATTAATATTTATTAAAAAAAAATGTTGGTTGTTTCAATCTTATTCTATTTTTTATTTATCTCTTATTTGTCTTCTTGTCCCTTCACATTTTAGTTTATTTTATCTTTATTTTCTTTTTCCTCTTCGAGTTTTCTTCTTCTTCTCGAAGTTTCTCATCTTCTTATCCACTGTATTCTTTTATTCTACTTGTGTTTTTATTCCTTCTTATCTATGTCTTATATTTCACTTATCAATTCATTCGATAGTTTAGATTTTGAAGGATTCGTGAAATAGTTTTTTATCTTTATATAGTCGAGATCTTTTAAAAGTCTATTTTATTTGCTTTTATTGTTTTAGTTTTTTTCTATTTATGAGTGTATTTTAGAATGGTAGATATAAATTTATGATCAATGATTTTTAATTTTGATATATTTCTATTATAATTCAAATTTATAAAAATGCACCAGAAACTAAACCATACACCCATCAATATAAACCCTAAACCTAAACCCAACCCCACATTATAAACCCCCCTCCCCCTAATTAAAGAACCTACACCCTAAACTCAAATCACATTATAACTCCCCCTCAACTTCACACCTGAACCTCATATTACAAATTAGTTCTTGATTTGCTTTTATTTTAATTTTTTTTTTTTTGTAATTGTTGTTTTCTTATCCCTTTTATTCTTCTCTAGTGATCTCTATCTTCTTTTTTCTTCTATTTTTTTATTCGTTGTCATCATCTTTTTTTTTCTGCTTCTTCTTCATTTCCAATTTTTATTCTTCAATCGTTTCTTGTGTCTTCATATCCTCCAACTCACTATTCTTCTTTTTCTTTCTAATTTTCTTTACATTCTATTTCCGATTTTTCTTCTTCCTCATTCCCCCTCTCTCTCTATCTTTATCATCTTCGTCTTCTCTTACATCATCTTATTATAGTTTTTATTTATCTCTTCTTTGTCTTTTTTTCTTCACATTCCATTTTTCTTCTTTGATTTCTTTTTCCTCGTGTTCAAGTTTTCTTCGAAGTTTCTCATCTTCTTTTCCATCATCTTCTTTTCTCTTACTCATGTTTTTCGTTCTTGTCTACGTTTTGTATTTCACTTATCAATTCATTTGATAGTCTAGATTTTGTTAATTTACAAATTCAATTAATATTAGATTAGCATTTTCTTTTTAATTACTTTTCTTATTTTTGTAATGTGTTTATTTTCCAAGGAAGTAATAGCTTAACATTTTGTTAATTTGATATGAACTTATAAATTGTGAAAGCACAAAAAAATTAGTTAAATTTTGTAATGATTGTTTTCTTCTCCCTCTTATTCTTTTTCAGTGATCCCATCTTTTTTTTTCTTCCATTTTTTTATTCTTTGTCATCATCTTTTTTTTTTGCTTCTTCTTTTTCCAATTTTTGTTCTTCAATCTTTCTTGTGTCTTCATATCCTCCAACTTACTATTCTTCTTTTTCTTTCTAATTTTCTTTACATTCTTTTTCCGGTTTATCTTCTTCTCATTCCCCCTTCTCTCTATCTTTATCATCTTTCTTCTCTAACATCATCTTATTCTAGTTTTTATTTATCTCTTATTTGTCTTCTTTCTCTTCACATTTTATTTTTCTTCTTTGTTTTCTTTTTCCTCTTCGAGTTTTTCTTTCTTCTCGAAGTTTCTCATCTTCTTATCCACCGTCTTCTTTTATTATACTCGTGTTTTTATTCTTCTTGTCTACGTCTTATATTTCACTTATCAATTCATTTGATAGTTTAGATTTTCAAGGATTCGTGAAATAGTTTTTATCTTTATATAGTCGAGATCTTTTAAAAATCTATTTTATTTGTGTTGTTATCTTTTGATATGATTTGCTTTATTGTTTTAGTTTTTTCTATTTATGAGTGTATTTTAGAATGGTAGATATAAATTTATAATCAATGATTTTTAATTTTGATACTTTCTATAATAATTCAAATTTTTAAAAATGCACCAGAAACTAAACCCTACACCCATCAATATAAACCCTAAACCCAAACCCAAACCCACATTATAAACCCTCCTCCCCCTAATTAAAGAACCTACACCCTAAACCCAAATCCACATTATAACTCCCCCTGAAACACACACTGAATCTCACATTACAAATTAGTTCTTGATTTTTTTTTTTTTTTGTAATTGTTGTTTTCTTATCCCTTTTATTCTTCTATAGTGATCTCATCTTCTTCTTTTTTCTTCTATTTTTTTATTCGTTGTCATCATCTTCTTTTTTCTGCTTCTTCTTCATTTCCAATTTTATTCTTCAATCGTTTCTTGTGTCTTCATATCCTCCAACTCACTATTCTTCTTTTTCTTTCTAATTTTCTTTACATTCTATTTCCGATTTTTCTTCTTCCTCATTCCCCCTCTCTCTCTATCTTTATCATCTTCGTCTTCTCTTATATCATTTTATTATAGTTTTTATTTATTTCTTCTTTGTCTTTTTTTCTTCACATTCCATTTTTTCTTCTTTGATTTTTTTTTCCTAGTGTTCACAATTAATTATTTGTAAGCTGATGGAATCGAGAAGTTCAGATATGGTCCCAAGCCAGAAATATTCTTCCCCAAAAATAAAGGGTATGAACATCTTTTCTTTTATATATCAACTTAATATTCATAAAACCCTAATTCTAATGGCGAGACTATAACGTTTTTTGTTTTTTCCAGTATCCATATTATTAGTTTCATAACGTTTTTTTATTTTAATGTTGACGTGAACCCTTTCTCTTCACCGCAACCACAAAACTATGTTGCTGTCTTTGCCTTCACTGGTGGATTTTAGATCTTAATTTGTATTTAGTTTTATTGGAATGGGTTTTGTGTGTTTGTGTCTCTTATGTGCAGTGTTCAAATATTCATATGTTTCATGGATTTTCATGTGTTTTGTGTGTTTGTGTGTTTGTGTGGCTTGACTATATATACGTATTACTAGAGGCTCTGCGGCTTCATATGAAAATACAGAAACAGCTTTACAAGCAGCTGGAGGTATGTCTTATCTATATACATTAGTAGAGTACCCGCACGTTTGTGCGGTGTGACGTTGTTGTTTTGTGTAGAAAATTTAAACCCTAAATCCGAACCCGACAAAAAACCCTAATCAAAAAAATTTAAAAACCAAACTTTTTTAATAGGTCTAAACATGAAAATCCGAAATCAAAAAATCCCGAAAACCCTGACTGAACAAAAAAAATCTGGAAACTTTTTCACCCGGAACCCGACCCCAATACCTAATCAAAATTTTAAAATACTCAATTTTTTTAATATATCTAAACCCGAAAACCAGAAATCTAAAAAATCCGGAAAACCCTAAACTGAAAAAAAAAATTGAACCTAACCCGAACAGAAATTTTCAAAGAAACCCGAACAATTTCTATATCTCTATAAAATTATGTCTCAGATTTTCACCCAAACCCGAACTTGTCTATAAAAACCCGAAAATCCAAAAAGCATATTCTATTGATTTGGAATTATCGTTAGATTATGTTAAGTTTTTTTTTTGCAGATTTTTAAGAGATGGAAAACGGAAGTTTTCTAAACCATCGGTTTATTTTAAGTTATTATTCTTGTATCCAAACAATTTTTTCCATTTATTCTTCTATCCAAATAGATTTTTCTCTTATTCTTATATCCAAACAACTTTTGTTTCTCATTTATATAAAGATAAAGACGTTGCCTATAGCTTTGGTTTTTATGTATGTGTTTAAGCTTTTAGATTCATGAAGCTGCAATTAGTAGAAATAGTGAAAGTGAATCTAAAGCGATACTGATTTGTACTCTAGCAACAATTCGCCATCAATTTAATCTCTTCTTCTCATTATGGCTTTACCACTTACTATCTTACTTAGTCATGAATCGGGGGGTTTTCTATTAATTAATTGTTATTTGAAGTAGTACGTAGAATTTCTGATTACATGTTTGGTACTCTAAGGGATAAAATTGAAAGATTTTGCAGATTGTGTGGCTGCTACAACTACAAAGGTCTGCTCAACAAGATTTCGGTGGAGGGATATGGAACTTGCCTTGCTGCGGATGATTTCATATATTTTTGGGAAGAAATGCACTTAGTGGAAGTGACATGGAGGATGGAATGTATTTGTTAAGGCTTTACCAAAAGAAATTTGTGAGTTTGCTTCTCGGAAAGTCACACACTCCCGAGGGTAAAGAGATGCTTTTAC